GTTGCAACAACCAACAACCAGATCTCAGAGAGCAGGAAGAAGCTCGGACAATCCACAGACAGCAACACCCCAAACATCGTCCAGACAAGGAAGGACAGCAGCACCACCTCCCTTTCCCCAACCTGACGTCACTCAACTCCACACCAGAGAACAGGCGGACACATTCTACAACACCAGAACACTTTGGCTACAGCTTTACGCAGGAAGCCACCCACAACTAATACCCAAAACACAACAGGATCCCCCAGTAACTGCAGCAGACATCTACAACAGAAATGACTTTGAGGAATACGTGGCAGAAGGTGAACCAATATCACCTCCCACACCACGGATACTTCCCCCAGCGCCCAATCCATCTCCAGTTCCACCAACACACACCATATCTAATACTGCAGCATCTAAACCTACGATGATTGAAAAGATTGATGACTTTGATGGGACCCCAGATAAGGCCCAAAGATGGATATCATCCACAGATTTACACTTTGATATTAACGACACTGTTACAAACTGTACTTAAGCATAGACTTTATTTTCCTTCACAAGTAGCTACACTCCGCTACCTACATATACCTTCCCACACACATTGCCTATTTCGGTATCACCCGTCCTCGTTTGTTTAACACAAACACCTACCCTAAAGTAGACACTATATATACAGACCTGTATTGTAGTTACTATCTCAAATACGATTGTACGCTTCAACAGTGTAACTTGGTATTCATCAGTTAAAACCCTCATTATCAGAATACGTCTCAAACTTGTCCACGACGAGCTTATCAGAAACCACTTGCATATCAGAAACCCAGTGTTACCAGGCTTGCACATCCCAAGCGTAACAGTTAATAAACAATATATGTGATTTTAGCTTTGCTTCATGTCTGAGTCACGTACTACATTGTTGACTCAATGGCAGACTCAGTCTCAAGCCCCATCCAAGCCATATTATTCAATGTTCTCATACCAGACAACCTGGCTACTCCCATATATACATATCAGTCCATACCGGTCCATAACATGTGTCCAAAAAATACATGCTTGGCTGATTCTAAGCAACCTGCCGCTGAGCCTGCCATGGTCTGCCAACTCGTGCCCGAGCCCCATCCAAGCCATATTCTTTAATACTCCCATACCAGTCAACCCTGCTGCTCCTACATATACATACCAGTTCATACCATATCTCTGTGAGGCAACATTGTCGATGATGAGAACAGCTGTTAGAAAACCACACACAAAAACAAACTAACACACAATCCTCCCAGATTCCACGGAACTTGTTTATGGGCTTTGCCTCCTAGAACAGTGGGTGCTCTGGTTGTTCGTGGGGTGGTATGTATGAAGATCCTTCAAAGTAAAACCCAGAGATGTATGAGTGTGGGTTTTGAGGAGGAGGGATAGTTGAATTTATAGAAGATAGGGGCTTAGTGACGAGTATAGATGAGCACTACCTTGCTAATTGTAGCATAAGGTAGGTTTGAGAACGACGAGGATGACAAGGTGACGAGGTTCCCAGTGATAGCAGGCTCCTGACGCACAAACTGTAGTGCTCAGAAGGACTCTAATCGAAAGGGATAACAATGACTTCAAAAGTGGGGAGTGATGATGACAGCAATTAACAGTGGAAGCAGTGGGAAGTGTTGTGACCACACTGGATCACAAGTAGCAGTAAGAAGTGGACTTAAGATTAGAGAAGAAGTCTGGAATCGAGTACTTGTTTTTTTTTACAAGGTAAAATACAGGGGTTTATATAGTAAAAGAAAAGTAGGCTATGCACAGTATAGCTGTGCAAAAAGAATGAGAAAGAATATGAAGGAAGGAATGTATGCTGACAAATCCTGCGTAGGTAGTACAGGATAAGATTGTCAAAAAAAGGAAAAGAAAGGGATAGAACAATGAATGCTGTGAGTAATGTCACAGGTTTGTATAGCCATAAAGTAAAGTCCAATAGCAAAAAGAGAGCAGGAAAATCATGATGTCATGGGAAGATGCAGTAAAAAAAAGGCAAGGCAAAACACTATCAGTATCAACACAGTTCCTTTATTGTCAGTCAGGCATTCTAAAAAATATGTGTCCATAAAAATGATTCAAAAATCAAAAATAATTGCACTGTAAATGAATGTTCTGCTGAAGAAAAAGAAACTGGAGCCACCGGTCCACCACCTATTCCAAATCCAACAGTTCCATGGCCTTACCAATGGACTGGTTGTGTTGGACCACCTGATCAAACAAGGGAGGGAGAGGAGTAGTTCCAATTTGGAACAAGTGAGTCCCAGGCAGCGTGTGATAGGTGTAGCTGTAGCGAAGACGATGGACAAAAGATAAGTGTACCCAAGTGAATGGGACAGCGATGAACATGGGTGACGCAAGGGGATGAACCTTCTCCAGCTCAAAAATTACCCACCCACGCTCCAACCAGGCAAGACAAGCAACCGATGTTTTGATAGTATATGATGGTAGATCGACGTCATGAAGATGGACCTGTTTCCCTATTTGAACCGGCCGCCGGGGCTTTGCTGATATCAGCAGTGGCATGTGGTAGTCGACGGATTGGCGACAGAAGCGGATAGGAAGTGGTGACATCAGAAATGGTGGGGGAGCAAAGAAGATGAGGAGGAGGAGGGTGGAGGTGACGAGGAGGTGAACTAAAATGGGGATCCAGAAACGACCGTCGGGTGAGAATAAAAACGAGAGTAAGGGACCCATGGTGGGGCTAGGCAAAGGAAGGGAAGTGAAGGAAATGACAAAAACGAGGGCGCAATGCAATGTGTAGCCAGTGGCGACGTGAAAATTTGCCGAAATGCCGAAATGCCGAAAGTACCGAATGGAAAGCAAAGGTGAGTGTGACTGGATTGCCTAATAGAGGTGGTGCTGGTTAGCCACAAGTTCAAAAAAGGCAATATTAATTACTATTCCACGTGGCACTGTGCCTGTGTGGCACAAAGGCGAGTCTTTTTGAATATTCACTTCGTTATTGACACCTGTCCATGCTACCAATCAACTTTGGTGCATGACAATGTTTAAACTATAACAAAATCAATACCCGTCTCCGACTGCACTTGCAGGGAGTAAGAGGTTCAAATGAGCTTGAGGTCAACAGATGCTAGTAAATATAGCAAGTAGAGGACTTGGGAGTAAACTCAAGGATTTCGGTTGAGGAGTAAAACAGGTAAATCAAGTAATAGAAAGCTAAAGAACTATACATGAGATGTGTAGGGCTTATATAGCTAACTGTCCGTCCCTCAGACCAAAAGGGGAATAAACAAAAAGTGGTCTGAGGAATAAATCAACCAATAAGAAAAAGGAATAACTATTGTACGACTTTGAATGATTAATCAGCAGGTGAGAGAGTTGTACTAATAATAGGTGTTGTCACGTATGTTCAGGAACTGTATCCTCATGATGAGGTACGATCCTGACTAAAGCATCTATTAGTATATCCAGGCACTGATGGGGCTTGGAGCTGGTTGGCGAGATGCCTACTACCAGTCCCTACCCATTGTGCTCGCTAGCTTGGAGTGATACCCAGTCTCTGATCTGTGATATAAAGTGGTAGTGATGGTTGAGAAAGCCTGTGAGGGCTATGAGAAGTACAGTAGCAAACAATACCTCCAGCCCTAGAGCCAGAGGTGTAATGGGAAAAGTGTTCGAGAACCAAGACATAGAGAAGATAAGAAAATAATAAAATGGTCCTTACAATCTCCAAAAAATACACGCTTTGTAACGACCAAGAGTTTCTTACTCTGGTGCACAACTCAGACAAGCATAAGAGAGAAGAGAAGGAGGGATCACCCCTCAGGTTTCAACGGGTTTGTTGTGCTAGACAACAGGAGGACTCGCTGAGTCCTTCCCCATGTATTGCTACTAGAATACATGAGGTACTGTACAGTTGTAAATAAAGTTTAAAGTCCGATGTCTAGCATGTGACCGGTCACATGCTGAGTCTAGACACTGGTAAGGTGTTGTTGTTAGTTTTGGTGATTCTGCACCTAGTTGTGCTATCTATTTTCCCTTCTTTCTAAATCACTTTCCTCTTTATTCTTTTTGCTGTATTGTTCAGTATTCACTGAGCATTCTATAATTTCGCCTTTGTGGCTGATTTGTTTACCTTTGTTTACAAAACTTCGGACTAGTATTGCAGAGTCCAGTATTCCTATTCTTTAGTTACTCATACTGGACTCTAGGTACTGTACACATTCTGTACTCTCTGATAATATAGTTACTCATACTGGACTCTAGTTCTGTCCCTGTTAGCTCTCAGCAAGTGGCTAGACACTTCCCAGAAGTTCTCAATTGAACAGTTGTGTCACATGATTGGTCATGTGATTATGAAAGTCCGAAAATGAAAAGTAAAGTAAATAGTCACGTGACTGGTCATGTGACTTGGAAAAATAAAAGTAAAAGTACGAAAAAAGGTGAAGTGTAAGTAGGTACTGGTACGTCAATTGTAACATGCTTGGGCAGTACCAAGCAACCTGCCGCTGAGCCTGCCAAGGTCTGCCAACTCATTTTCAACCTATCTCATATGGGTATCTGTATGGTGATGTTTGCCAATCACCACCAGGAAGTACCAGAGTTCAACCGTTTTCGTGATGAATGTAAGGAATTAATTTTTCATCAATTGTATTAATGTCTTGGTTCTCTCATCCATTCCCAGTCACTCCCCTAGCCATTGGGTGGGAAGTCACTGCAGGTATCCTCTTCATTTCAATATTAGCTTGGATTTGCGCATTAAACACATACTCTTCATTATGAAACGCTCCATTCTACCACTTAACAGAGACTTAGGTGGTTGTTTGGTATTGTTATATAGCTTGGTTTTCTTGTTGCCTGACAGATATGACAATACCAGTGTAAGATTCATAATCCGCTACATTAATCAGATATACCAAATGTTTTCCATAACTTCAAATCCTATTTAGATAGTCTAGGCAATGATATCTTTGTATGAGTCATTATTATCCAGAGCTTTGTAGTATCATGTGGGTTTACTGATATATATCTCTCCAAAGATTGTCATTTAACTCCCAAACACATTTACTATCAAATATGACCATCTCTTTCAGATCTGGATAAAGTAGGGAAAGTCTTCGGACATAGGATTGTTGTTCCAAGTAATCCAACCGGCTTTCTATGCTACGCGGGTTGTGCACATACACAAATCGAAGGTTTGTAAGTGCAGAGGGTAGAGGTACATGTCCAAGGACAATACTATCCATTAAGCCCTATAGGTTCAATCTGTCAGTGTCTCGTGTAAAGAGCTGAAGTAAACCATTGTGGTACCTCAGCGCTACAAGAGTCATTTGTGGGGAAGCCATTGTTGTCCGCAGAGATCAGAGGCAAATATGCTTTGTCCCAGTTCTGCACCTGGAATCGTAGTGGTATTCCAGAGTCGAGTTTCAAAAGCTTTTTCGGACACATCCTGTGAGATATTTCTGTTATTTCCCGCATTTTGATTTCTTCATCAGACATAGTGAAGTCACTATCATCTTCAGAGTCTTCTGTGGACTCTGCAATAACACGGATGAGTGGAAGAGCTTATGGAGCAGCATACATAGATATCGCAAACCATTTTCAGAGTCAGAGTCACTTGGGACTGCCATGTTTCTAACCGGTGGAAGCTGTAATGTGCCCATTCTGGCTCGCATAGCACGAAGCTCCTCAGAATGTGAGATATCATACTCTGGAGGTGTCCGTTTGATATATTTGATCTCTAGCTTCAGTAGGCTAGCTCCAAAAATGGATGTCACGGTAAACAGTATATCTGGTCCTATGGGGCACGAAGGAATGGCCAGACTTTGCAGACTTGGGCTCAAAAGAGAAATTTGTGCCAATGTACTATTCAAAGTTTTGGGAGGAAAGGCATCTTCATCTTCATCGGTTATGGTGATATGCCGCACAGGGCGACCCTGAATGAACAATACTACAGACTCCATCGGCCCACTATATGAGGAGAGTAGAGGGATGGCAGTCGGAGGCAGAATTTGGGAGAGGGTCTGAGTCGTGGCACTGGAAAAGATTGTAACGACAAGTGATGTCAACTGAGGACAGTGAAGGAGGAGCTGTAAAAAGCTTTCGCTCCAGTCTTCCAGTACAAAAGTGTTTAAGTGCGTGAGGTTATTCAAAGGACCAAGTGCAGTAAAATGAGTGAAATATCTTTCCATGTTGGAGGTGACGGAGAGACTAGTCAAAGCTTCTGGAGAAATCTGCAAGATAGACTGGGATCCGAATAGCATGTTGACATGGAAGGTCTTCAAGGGAAGGGGAGTTCGAGTACTATGCTCCAGGGAGCACCTGCACATATGGGTGATGAGTGTCTCGAGGGCCGGTAGATGTTCCAGCGCTGTGCACGATGCATCATCAATACGAACTTGGTGCAGTTTCAGCAATTTGAGGTTGTGGTAAGCAGGAAGAACTGCAAAGAAAGTTGATTGTCCACATTGGGAGAGATCATTTAATAGTCGGTTTTTGGTTTCACGTATGCGGTACGTGTACGCTAAAAGTTCACCAAAGAGCTCCCAGCTTTCGACCCAAGAACGTAGTTGGTATAAAGAAGGATCTCTTGTCAAAACCTCAAAGCGCTCAATCGATTTCTCCAGCATACGCTTGGAGAACATCCAAAGCTCCGCTTCTCTCGATTTAATAGGTGGGTGGTGTTGAAGCCGCCTGAACAGTAAAGGCAAACAGATGTGACGAAACAACCAGCACGTCCGAGAGAGCTGATGAAGGTCATTCCTGTTACAATACTGCTCGTTCCAACATTCTGACCATATTTCAGTAGGAACATTCTGAACGACGGTCAGGGTGTTGAACAGTGACATGATAATATCAATGATTGCAGTCTAACATGAGTGAATCGAATGTGTATATAAGCTTCGCACAGTTATAATGCAAAGTATTAGTACGCACCTTGAACTTGGACTAAGAAACTGGTCCTGGGAAAGACGTCAAGAAGGATGTGAATAGTCCGAGTGTCTGCCAACGCCATGCAAACAAGAGCGACCTTCGCTTGTGTCACACATTCCCGCACAAACAAACTCTTTCCTTCTACACGATCACCGTCTTGAACCCAGGCTTTAGACTCTTCCAAAGCTTCAAATATGGCAGTTTTTGTATAGGTTGACCATGATGATGGTATGATGCCATACTAGTGGCATGAGTGTTCACGCGCTCGGGACCAAATATACATATTTATATATCCGATCCCTTGAAGGAGTTCAACGCCCTCACTTTGGAATTTCGCTTTCACCAACATGTCTTCAAACCAACAACAGGATTACTTGCACGGCTTCTATGGCTGGACAGACACTCTTAAAGGTGTATACTATGGGCCCGGATCACTCAGGAAAGCTCTGCCCGAGTTATTGAAAGTCTTAGGGGGCCATAAAGTTCTCATCGTCACCGGAAAAACTCTGCACGAGAAGGTGAGCATTAGTGTTTCTTATTCGAGATAAAAGTGCAGACAAAATATCAGACAGATATCGTGCGGCGAGTTGAAGCTATACTCATAGAACAAGGTGCCTATGGTGCAACATTTTTTGAGATAGGGCAGCATACTCCGATCGCTGGTATCCGAAGGGGAATACAGGCATTCAAAGAAGCAGGAGCAGATCTCATAGTCTCTGTTGGTGGTGGCTCACCAGTCGACGCCTCCAAGAACATTATCTACAGTCTCCAAAAGGAAAGTAATGGCCCCTTCCTGCGTCAAATAGCCATCCCCACAACACTAAGCGCTGCAGAATATACGGTATGTTCTGTCAGGGCGCATATAATGAATGATAATGTAGAACAACAGTCTTTAGATTGGAGGTGGATATACGGATGAGCGAGGTCAAAAAGTGTCGGTCAACGCTCCCGAGCTAGCTCCCGCTGGCATAATTTTGGATGCCGAACTCACGTTATCTACTCCTGAAAGACTTTGGTCAGCTTCTTATCTTTGTTCTTTGAATTACCTGTTGAGCGGAACTCGGAATATGCAGGCTATCTACAGGCATACGTGCTTTGGATCATGCCGTCGGTATGTTTACCATAATGGGATTACCCGATTTTACTAACCCATCTCTCCTAGAAAATCTCTACAGACCAGTGGTTCCTCTGCCGGTCAAATATCTTTGTTACTCTGCTATAGCTGATCTTTTTGAATATTTGCCCAAATCGAAGGCAAATCCTCAAGATCTGAATGTACGCCAAAGGCTTCAGGTTGCCTCATGGATGAGTTTATGGCCTATGAAGCTGGAGAAATACAGGCTAGTCATGCATTTGACACTAGATATGAATAGGATCTGATATCGACACCACAGTGCCTTGGGTTTGTCCCATGCTTTGGGCCATAAATTGGGAGCAACGTACAGTATCCCCCATGGAATCACGTCTGTGAGTTCTCTCCGTTTTCGAACAACCATCAAGTTATAATCAACCATTACAGTGTTTGACACTTGCTTCTGTTGTCGCTCTCAAAGCCAAGTACGCGAACCAGGAGGGGAAGAAGTGTCTAGCTGATGCGTTGTTTTACCTACGAGAGCCTACTACAGGGTCCGTGGAGGGAGATGCTCACAAATTGGCCACGAAGATAGATGAGTGGGTAATCTGTCTTGATGTACATCGTGCCTTGCTTATTGATTTTTGCACACATAGCCTTGTCCTGCGCCTTGGATTGCAAACCAACCTACAAGAAAACAAGGTCCCTAAAGAAGATCTTCCCAAAATTGCCAAGGGTGCAATCGGTGAACAGGAGAATGAACCGCCTATAGAGGAAGTAGAGAGGCTATTGGAAGGTATCTATACAGCGAAGAGCCTCCAGCTGTGAGCCGATAATCGAATTTTAATCTCGTTTGTATTGCAACAGACTTGTGCTGTATTCCTTCCCTGTTATCATGATGTAGGCTGTACTATCATGCGAGTTCGACAGGTCGGTTGCTTCTGCGGCGATAGCTACGAAGTTGCAGATTGTCCTGATATGTTATTTGTGGGGCGTCAGCTAGTAGCTTGCACGTTGCCAGCCTGTCTCGTGTCCAAGCTGAAGCTTGAATCTGGACGATGCCTTGTCTGCGCGTCCTGGCGGCCGCTTTCAAAGGTGTCAAACGGATCCAATAAGGTGTTCTTCTAATACATGACAGCGTCTAATGTGTATTACTAGCAACATATGATCGTGTTAGTATAACTTGAATTGGCGAGGGCATGAACGGGATATAGGCCGATATGCTGAAGTCATCTGTCAGACTTGCCTCTTGCCTCCATAGCCGGAACGAGATCCACCATAGTATTCCACAGACTTGCACGACGATAATACTGCCACTAGGCATCCAGGTTTGACACTTGTTTATAACAGCCATGTTTGCTGGCGGGTGCACAGCGTGTAGTCGCCGTGCGCTACGTGTGCGCTACGTGGCGGCGGTTATTAGAAACAGCTTGGCGACATCGACCCCACAATTATCTGTATCCAGTTCTAGCCGTTTCTCTTGTGGACCATCAAGGATATCTTTACGCCGAATATCTCGCAGTGCACCCCAGATCTTCGCTTCATCTCCGTTTCTTGAAGCACATTCGCCGTTGGGCAGCTTTAACAGTTCTAGTAGTAAGGCACCACTAAAGGTGCTTGCCAGGTCACCCTCCTTGGTTAGAGTTTTGAACCCAGGGATGTCTCAAAGGCGTGTACATTCGACAAAGAGCAAGTCGGAAGACGAAAAGCCCACCAATGGTCATCGTAAGGATCACGAGCATACCGAAAAAGCAGGCCATTCGCATTCACACTCACACTCAATATTCGGCCATTCACACTCTCATGACGACGGCCATAGCCATGATGCAGAAGGTATAGTAGCAGCATTGCAGGGTAACGGTGTGTAACGTCCACTTTAGGAGATTACATCTCTGCTCACTATGCAGTTTGACGGCTTGTGTGCTAGGAGATAGAGGGAGCCATATTACTCTCGTTGGCTTATTTGCTAATGTCATTCTAACGGGGGCGAAAGGTACCGCTGGTTGGTACATGCATTCAGCATCTTTACTAGCAGATGCCGGTCACTCCTTGAGTGGTTCGTTTAAAGGCCTTTCATCACGATACCAAGTATTTACTCCATTTCTCGTAGACCTCTTGGGTGACTTTGTCACACTTTTCTGTTGGAAACTATCACGGAAACCACCCTCAGAGCTTTATCCATATGGTTTCGCCAAATTCGAAACTCTGGGCACCACAACGGTCTCACTCCTCCTCATTGGCGGTGCTCTGGGAATCGGTTTCCATTCATATAACCTTCTAATTGAGGCATTAAGCCACGGCGTCAATACTCTCTCTCCAGGCATGCTCCACGATCTTCTGCAACAAGCTACTTCAGCAGCGCAGCAAGTGCCTGTTATAGGGCACTCACATAGCCATGTCGACGTGCTTGATCCGAATGCCGCTTGGTTTGCTGCTGTTAGTGTTCTGGCTAAGGAATGGCTATACCGAATCACAAAGAAGGTCGCGGATGAAGAAAGCAGCCCCGTGTTATATGCCAATGCCGTACATCATAGGAGCGATGCATATTCTAGTGTAGTTGCCTTGATGGCGATTTTAGGCACATGGTATTTCCCAGCTTTGCCCTTAGACCCCATTGGTGGTGAATATTTTCATTCTATGCAGCCCTACCTAGAAGGACTGACGTAGTTGAAACAGGCATACTTGTATCAGTGGTAATCCTGTGGCAGGGTTTGGGCCTCTTTGGAGGGGCCTTTCGTGAACTTACAGATGCAGGGATATCATCTCAATCACACACAGCATTAATCCAAACACTAGAACCTCTAGTTTCCCCCTCGTCGCCAATTCCCTCGACGTCTAATGGTGACCATTACGATAACCCTAGATTGCTTGCAATTCGTCATTTACGCGCCAGGCGCGCAGGGTCTTTGATCTATGTAGATCTCACAGCAGATGTCCCTGAAACACTCCATGTGCATGCAACCTCCGAGTTGGAGGAGAAAATTACTCGAGCGCTGAAGGAAGCGCGTAAAGAAATTTCGGAAGTACGGGTGAAATTCCATCCTGTACATGAGGACTAGACTCGGTGATGTGTTGGTGGTCTCTTTTTTCCGTATCGTACTCTGTAGTGTACCGCATCTCACCGTAAGTAATTTATTGTGTTCTTGGTTCTGTATCTGTAGAATCTTTGCATGAATGTCAATGGTCGTCGGTCGTGATTTGCTCAAACTCAAGTTCTGCTCACATGATCTGTGACAGGCGCGTCGAAGGCTCGCGTTTTGATTTCAAGTTCTGTCACTAGTAACTTCGCCTCCTATAAGTATCATCATGGCTGATGGGATAAACCTCAATTTTTCAGCCTCGTCTTGTTCAGAAACAGGCTCATTCAGATTACTGGAACTCCCTCCAGAACTTTGCAAACTGATCGAAGCAGCGGTGGAAAGTCCACTGACAGCACCTCCAAGGTGAAAACAAAACCAGACAGCTCTTTCGTTATTAGCAAACTCACAAAGACCTAGCTTGACAATAAAAGGACAACCAAACGAGGATGCCGTTCTCTGCACTGCAGATAAAACATACACCTTGCGATCCGTGGTTTTGTCCAACACGGTACTAGTCACCACGCCGGCACAAACGGATGGCAGCGTCGAAATACGCGACCAGTTGCATGAGATTGTGGAGCTGGTGCCTACGGTTCCGAGGATTCATAAGTTATCTGGTATGCTAAGAGGAATGGAGTATGATGAAGGGGACGAGGATATGGATGAGGAGAGACGAGTAAGCTTTACCCACCATCATCCGATCAATGTGACAGGACTTAGTAGTCACACTATCCCTCTCCACAGTCAAAGAGACCAAGGTACAGTCACGACCAAGCTCGGGAGGATATTCAAGCGAGTGATCACGAATTGGATCAAGGATTGATACAAAGACGGGTCCTTGTTATTGATGGTATAGCACGTCCAAGTTCCCTTAAGGTCTGCGTAGTGCTTACCTTGTCTTCCATTTAGGCCAATTACGCCCATTAGCTTCAGCTCATCTCAGCACAATACTGGAGCTATTAATCAACTATCTCATATCGTTGAGCTTATCACACCAGAAAGCTCCGGTAGAGGAGCTGGTGTCGACGCTGGCAGATGAACACGAGATACCAAGACAGGTTTCGACGCAAATCATGTCTTGGTTTGGAGATATCAACGAAGGCATTTGGACTATGAATGTGGATGCGATAATTAGAGAGATCGGGTTGGGCATCCTTCGCAATCACAAAGTACGTCCAGTTTTAAGCCTCGAGGGTCAATGAATGCTGAACCTGCCACCCAGGACGAGCCAATTTCCGAGCGTGACTTTATCAGCAAGTGGAAGAACATGGTTGGTGATTCTTTCGAAACAAATGTCCAGTTGTCTTTACTCCTGGTATGGTTTATTTCATTCACATCGTCTCTTTTGATTGTCATCGCTAAGCCATATCATATCATATTAGGGTAATTACCTTACAAATATCTTCCTCACCAGTGGCCCTCCAGTCCAGATGCTGAGTTACTTCCCTTCGTCTGCTCTACCTGTCGATCCCACTGCCCGGTTTGCTGATTTGTTCCTCACACGACCGCGTTGGAAAAGCGACGAAATAACCCCCTTCCTCTCCGACATCGCTGTCAACTCGAAAGAAAGAGACAAGCTGTTACTCAAATTCGGAAGAGCAATAACAGATCCGCAAGGAATATGGTACACAGCGCGCACGAGTTACAACGGCTAGCACGACACAAGTATGAACTATACATGAACAAGGAACTATTGAGGAACATAAATATTGAACAATGTTTATCATAAACTACACCCGACTGCTGTATCGCACATGCTATATTTTACTTTTTTGCCCTTGAGCGCGTCTTCGTAGGCGGACCGAAACTTCTTATTGGACTCGGCCGATAGTCTTCATCTGCGTCATACACGTCGTCCTCATTCTTGCGTTTCCTTCCCTTCTTCGTGCTACTAGACCCTTCAGAACCAATACCACCCAACTCTTTTAGCCCTCCAGGTGCTGTGACAGAGGTGATATAGTCCCACAAAACCTTCCCCGTTACGGTGTTGTTGCGAATATCCCGGAATTGATCTCTGACATGCAAGCGCATGTGGAGTAACGCTTTTGCCCGATCTTCATGAGTATGATTTCGCATTACATAGAGCAAAACACCTATACACATAAATAATGTTCGCACTAGTAAGAGGGAAACGGTGGGCTGAAAAAAAAACACAAGTAAGGCGTACCAATGAAAACAAACTCCACCGGAGCGACGCGTTTGTCGACCTTGACGAAAGCAGCGTTTAACGCAGGCGTTTTCGCTATATGCCAAAACTCGGATAACACATCACTGATTTGTTGCTTGAAGGTATGTGGAGGACTATCAACACGAACAAGCCATTTCTCTAGCTTTTGAGCTGTTGGTAAGAGATGGTCCGGAAGACCGTCGCAGCAATAAACAAACTGCGCGATGCATTGGAAATCCCGACCACGTTTGATATCCCACGTTAAAACTGATGCTAGGCCATCGTCACCATCAACATGTCGACCATCGAGAGCAGCTATCCACTCAGCCCAAGGCGAAGCGATGGCCTGTAGTTTTTCTAATGCGCACAAAACCATAGTTAGTGTGATTGGAGACATAAGTGTAAGAGATAAGCGGACCGGCAGCAGTAAGGGACATCCCTAATTGAACCCTTTGGAATATATCTCGCTCAGTTCCAGGTGGCAGTCCATGGTATTCCACTGGAGTTACAATGTTTTATCGAGCCCTATATTATGGGCGTTAAATCCAACTTACCACACGTAATCTGCTTATTACAAAACACATGCTTCCAAGGCTCTGGAATTTCCGTCTGTGTTGCTTTGCCTACCCTGCCAAGAGTATACCAGAAATTTTTCTTGGTTTTAAAGTCGCGGTCTAGACGGAACGGGTAAGATGGCGATAGGGGGCATAGCGGGAACGCACGCACGAGGTATCTGCATTCACTCAAAGTAAGTATACAGTGATATCGAAGAGGGATGGTTGGTGTGATACTCACTTGCCCGTCAAGGAATTTCTGTATTGATGTCAACCGCTGCTTGCCATCCACACATGTTCTGACCTCTTCTCCGTCATCATCTATGTGGACAGCAAATACAAGGGGAGGGATGTAGAAGTTGCGAAAGATAGAATCAATGAGTCCAATCTGTTTGGATTCCGGCCACACAATGTCTTTGAAAATGCAAGATAAGGAAAAGGAACATTGATAGACATGGACGAATTGAGAAGCTTACCTCTTTGATATGAAGGGTTGAGGTTAATTACACTTTGATGGACGAGAACTATAGGTGCTTGAGAAACATCCAGGCGAGAAGACGTAAGAAAAGCTCACCATGCAAGTCTTTCGTTGAATAACTTTTGGCTGAAGGTGGAGAAAGTTGGTCGTGAATGCGAAACACATTAGGATCTTCTGACTCCAAGTCGTCCATAAGTTCGTCAATGTCCTTATCCTGTTCATAGGACATTTTGGAGGTGTTGATTAAGCCTTGGGCTCACCGAGGGAGTTCAGAATGAAGGAGTATACAGATGGAAGCTACTAGTAAACCTGTGGGACTGTGGCACGCGCCAGTTGCTTGTTCCATACACGCTCTTAGTAAGTTAGCTTGAAGCAGCTCTCACTGCCCTTGGGCTTTACTGGCAGCATAGGGAGCGAACGTCCGGTTTATACCGCTCATCGCTAAATTAATTGTACAGTTGTAATCCTTTCCTTCCTTAAGTTTCACCAACGTCTTTCTTTGTATCCAACCGTATGTGCTTCTGTTAGCAACTGCCAGTGAAACATGTCGTCCTGGATAACCTCGCTGCTCAAACAAGAAAGAATACCAGAGGATGAAGAAGAGAGGCGACTTATTCTGGGCATTGACAGGGAACTCAAGGACATGGACAGGGCGCTGAGAGAGGTCGACAAGACGCTCATATGGACAGAACGGCTGTCAGAGGAAGAGCTTTGTAAATTTTGGAGGGATGCTGCCATCAGCGAACAGAACCGAGCTGGTGAGGCAATAGTGCTTCTGTCTTCTACGTGCTAACTCACCTATTTTGTAGCAAGATATGCGAAGAAACGTGCAAGTAGGTGAGTGCCTAGACTCAATGATAATATGGTCATGAACCAACCATTCTATGGCTTCACGAGCAGAGGGGATGTAACTTAGAAATGTGCCACCAGTACAAACCTTCAAGCTCAAGGTAAGATTGGCTTCAACGTGGGTGAGAGTCAAAGCAGCTCATCAGCTTTCCTAGGTTATGTCCAACAACCAACGAAATTCATTAATTATATCCCTTTCCTCAAGCTGTGACCCAAACTACTTTCAAAACTCTCATCTGCATATATTGTCCATGATCCTAATCTTACCATCAAACATGGCACGAATACTGTACGTCCTCTATAAAATTTTAGGGGCATACATCAAGTTTGATATTGTCACTCTATACCTTAGTCTGTCCGAGCGCGGGTTCGACAACATTAAATATATCATATATCAATATAAGATTGCAAAGTATAACTTGTGTGTGTGTATGTGTGAGTTAGTGCTCCCAAAAAACAACGAAGGAGATTATTGACGTGTGCGATTGTACAATAGTAATCATCCCATTTTTCATGTAGGTCCCTGGGGTATATAAATCATCAATGGAACTTCTTTCCACCATCATTCCAGTCTCCAAACTCGTCAGGATCATCCCGGAAGGCCTCTCGTGATCCACTAGCATGATGTCGGGTAATCGTAGCATCTGAAGATGTAGACCGACGAAGCTCGTGGTCTCCGTGCGAGTCAGCGTCATTGCTCTGTATCAAGTTCAGCCCTTCCTCTCCAGTCCTACTTGAACTTGTACCAGTGACGCCTCTCGGGAGATGAGTTTGCGACCGCATAGGATGGCTGTCTTCCTCGTCGTCACTCGCGTCCCCCACTTGCCATAGATCACCCTGTTCGTCAGTCTCACCTTCCTCCCCAGATCTCAGAGCGCGTCCTTCGTCGTCGTCGTCGTCGTCGTCTTCATTTTCCTCGTCATGCCCTGCTTTTCTGTCTGCTTTGGTCACAGCTTTTGCCTTCTTACGAGCGGGAACAGAAGCAAGCACTGGACCACCTGACGTACGATTAGATCGCTCCGGTTTCTTGTGTGTCAACAGAACAACACCCGAGATAAGGATCATCATGGAAACGAAGATGAGAAAAAGGATCCATGGTTTATATGCATCAACTTGATTGTTGAATATCTAGTTCAACATAAAATATTGTTTAGCGGATGAAATGATATGGACTGAGAAAAGGCTTACCAGGGAATCGAGGAATCTGATGTAGAATAACAAACCAACAAATGAGTATGGGAAAAGAAGAAATTAAAAAGGACTCACCCCGTAGCGGTATAGACACCGTAGAAAACGGGAACAACCAAAGTGGAGTCGTAAACCTTCAGACCGCGATTGAGACAGATGATCTGAAGGACAGCGGTGATGACGAGGAGGACGATAGTGAATATGGGAGCGGCATGACCAAACTGGTTTCCCGGGTTTTCATGGGACAGGCTCCCAGTCAACAGCTTGACGCTAAGTTAAAAGAAGTAAGCATAAGTATGAAATAAGTCGAGATGATGGGACCCACGTGGCTTTGGCGAAAACTAAACAACCACCAGCAAGACCACCTCCGCAGCATGCCCAACCGATGCCAAGCGTCCATGCAAGTTGCTTTTCGTCCTTTGGCGCCGTCCAAGCCTCTAGTTTCTCCTTCACCCATAGCATGGTTCTATCCCAGACCGTCTTCAATTTGCCCAGAAAAGTAGAAGCAGGAGGAAACGATCTCCGAGCGCTTAGGCCTGAAAAAGGCTGAGAGCTGAGATCGGATCGAGAGGCGAGTACGGCATCAAGTGATGATGTGAATATCAGCACAAATATCAGTGCAAAGGCCATGCAGAAGAAGAAACTGAGCCATCCCCCACGCCGCCAAAGGCTTGTCAGGTGGTCGACATTGGTCTCGTCGGAAAGTCCGCTGTTTATAGCACCGAATGCAACTATACCAATCACGCCGAGTACTACGATTAGGGTACCCTGAAGTTGATGTGAGTAGAACAGAAGAGAGGCCAACGAAGGAGTGACTCACATAAATATCTGTATGAGTAACTGGTGTGCCTATGAGAAATCGTGCAAAAAGGAAGTTGAAGATGAGAGATGTAGATCCAAGTGGAGCAACATATTCTAAAGAATGAAGACTCTGTTAGACAAAGGGAATGCAGTAGATGGGGAGTACAAACCAGCTCGCATGTAGTCAAGAGCAAGCGTGCTTCCAATTAACTGTGATAGGCTGTGCGCAGGATATAAGTTCGATCGGAAGTTGCACCATCATTGATAGGTCACTCACATATACAGTAACATGCCCAAGAGCCATAGCGGTCGTAGCCAATCTCTTCTACGTGAGGCCTTAGGAATAGCGCTGGTGCGCACCTGTATGAACAAGGTTATATAGAAAAGGCATGGACCACGAGGATGACCCACATGATCCAATTTCGTGAGATTCAAGCCAGCAGCATTAAGGATCGAAGCAAGAAGAATGATAGCGAGACCTATTATGAAGGCCACTACTGGACTACCATGATGCGCTGGTACTGTATCACTCTGTGTGGAATCTGCAGCGGCTTGTAGTATGGCTGACGGTGTAGGGTCGAGCGCTGTGCTTGTGGACGCGTCCATGTAAGAACGACGGGTCCAGAAAGTCTAGAAATTTAAATGGAGCAGTTATAACCCAAGATTGTTTGATATTCCTTCGAAATGACCAGTGTTGCAAAGGAGAAAGAAAGTCGTGAATGCAGTCTCAGTGGAAACCGTGTAATCCAGCGCCAACTGCCAAAACGTCGTCACGCTAAAACCGTCGGGTGGCGCCAACGGGCAAAACCACAGATGCCGTAATCAGCATCGCTCCGTGGCTGACACAAACCAAACCCTCAGGCGAGCTGCCACTCTCAGCATCCTTAAGCTTGCTCACAACTGTAATGGATCCCGTAATATCTAAGCTGCAGGAAAAGCTGGAACAGAATTCCGATAATGCAACGTTGCAAGATTTACTCTCTTCTCTGATTAACTTGCAGCAGGAATCTCCATCTAGGCCCGCTCGCAGGGCAGCTTCTCCAAGTTGGGACCTTTTGACAAGAGACTTTGAAGTGCTAAAGGCCAGGGCTATCTGGGAGGATACGGACGAAAATGCCCAACTTTTGGAGAACTTGCGTATTTTTCTTACCGCTGATTCGTCCAATCCAGAAGATGCCGTCAATGGCAGCTATCCATCCGCTTCGTCTCAGCGGTCAAACCACAATTCAGGATCTACGGAAGCCATGCCGATTCCATCTGTGATGACGACCAGATTTCCACTTTTATCATCTTCAGTTGATCCCGTTGTTCTTCCTCTCGAGTTAGTCGAACTCCTCAACCATGTTTACTTTCTACATCTCGTTGCTACAGACCCGTCAAAGGTACTACCTCCTGGGAAATCGTTGTTGTCTATGATGTCTCGCACTCATGCGCAAGGCGACAGTCAAGATGATTCCCTGTCAGGCCTACGCACCAAAGTAGAGGACATGGTACACAAAGCTTTCTGGGATGAGGTGCGATTGTCACGCTCAGCTATTTCCCATCTGGTGGGTTCTGAGGCACGCTACACAGGCTTTAGAATCTCTGTCGAATCCTGAGCCGTCTTCTCAACTGCCCCGTCTCAAACTGCTGTACAGTGATTTACAAGTGGCATTATCGCCTCTTCTACCGCCTCACCATCCAGTTCTGGTTACGATGACCGCCCCCTTGTCACCCACCTCATCACCGCTACATTCCGCCATAATGCATCTACGGGAAGTACTGGCAAGTCTTCGACAACGGTGTGCTCCTGTGCGGGATTCGCATCTTGATACTCTCAGCCGCGCGCTGGATGACCCTCCACCGAGGTCCTCGCCACCAGTCGCTCTGGCCACACTAGTAGCAGAAACCGTGAAATCGATACTGCAACTTGCTGATGTCATGAAAGACGACTTATCACAGTTCGTACTAGGGAACATGACTGAACAGCAACTGCGTTCTACTGTTATTCAACAAGCTAAAACACAGGAGCGTAGTATCATTCTCGATATCTGGAATCCAGATCGAATCTCAGAACACTGGACAACCTGGCTTGATAATATACAACAACCCGTTCATGTTCCTGAAGATCGCCATAAATGGGTTGTTCGCCTTGTACAGTCTCTGGGAGGGACATCACCTGTCTCGTGTACGCTACCTACGAAGAAAGTATCAAATTCTTCCCTTTCCAACGGTTCAACAGAAGACGAACAGCCTACGCCCGCAAACCCAAATTCGTTACCTCCAATATTCTTCTTTACTACGCCCACACTGCTCTCCCTTCAGAATTACCTGCAAGCTCTAGTAATCGCCGCTTCATTACGTTCTCTAACTCGTTTGCCTCTACCAAATTCAAGAGCAAATTCTGTCCAGGGAAATAGCCCAGGTGCGGACTTCATGGAGCGGGTCTGGTCCATGCTCAAAGCAGAAGTCGATGAAGAGGAAGGTACAGGCGATACGAAACTAGTCAATCTTGCAGACGAGGTTGTCCGCGCCAGAAGATACGCATCCACTCTTGATGCGACATCACTCGACACAGGCGAGGAATCCCGTCTACGGGCTGCCGTGGATCGTACGCTGAAACCTCACGATCCCGTCTTCGTCCTCTTGCAGAAACGGTTATTGAATGCACTAGCTGCGCGACTTGTCCAATGTCGGGATGAAGTAGTGGCAGAATCGTCTAGGGTACCTGAGCGCATGCAAACAGGCCGAGAGGGAGAACGGGCAGGCAAACGGCCGAGATTAATACTAAACCTCGAAGACGTGGGTGTTAATGGAGCCGATGCCCAGAAGGCTCCTGAGATGGTAGCTGTGAAGGGCTTCGAGGATCCTGTCCTTGCGAGAGCGGTTGGCGAGGTGTTTGGGCAGATGAAAGATTGTATAGACTGGACCGAGACAGTATGGAGCGATGTTATTGAAGGAAATGAAGTGAGTATGTGAAGGATACCTGGTTGTTTGACCTTGGAAGGGGTAATACCAGTGTTGATTTACGATTAGGCACCAATAAAGTAGATGCTACGCTAGATAACACTTTACATTGTACTGTACTGTATTCAAAGACGAGTTGTTACTAATAGTTTTGAGGTGCCCCGGGTCCCACCCATTAAGTCTGGTGGTTGAGTCATCTGCCACCCTTGACGTCCTTTTTCCTTTCCTTCACCACTGGGAAGGCTTCAATCTACGCTCCACATGCCGTCTCAACGAGATGGGAACTATATGAATGTAGATTCAGATTCCGATATCTCTCTCTTGGGGGATGGAGACGGAGACTACCACCTGCGCGGAAAGAACAAAGGGAAAGGCAAGGCTGTCGATAAAAAGAAGAAAGACAAAGGCAAGAGTAAAGCGAAGGATGTAAGCCTATTTGTCTTTCACTTCGTGTTTTGTTAACACTTATGATTTTCTTCTTTATATCTAGCAAGCGTACACTTGGGAAGCTTCGTACACGCGTTCGTGGGATACAGTACAAGAAGATGAAGCTGGAAGCTTGCAGGGCGCAGTAGAGGACTGGATAGCAAGGGGTAGGCGTCGAAGGTACGTCGCGTCGGATGCCACAACTTGAGCGTGAACGTTAACTTGTGCTTTTAGATTACTGGCACCTGCAGCCGCAATTCGTCGCACGATTATTCGACACCTTATTCTCCTACTAGACTTATCGACGTCTATGATGGATCGTGACATGAGGCCAACGAGATTTGATCTTACTTTAGAGTATGCCAGAGAGTTTATCACTGAATGGTTTGATCAAAATCCCTTGGGTCAAATTGGCGTGGTAGGTATGAGAGCTGGTATTGGTGAGCGGATAGGAGAGATGTCAGGTGAATTAAGTTATCTGAGCGCATCGCATAAAGTGAATTCTAATTTCTAATTTGCAGGAAATCCTCAAGATGTCCTAAAATCAATTGCCGATAGACATAGACTAGAACCCACGGGCGAACCAAGCCTTCAAAATGCCGTCGATATGGCGCGTAGTAGCATGAGGTACTCTGCCCAATATTCGCATTTGAGTTTAATCCTCATATATCTAGCCATCTCCCTACACACTCATCTCGAGAGATACTCGTTATATTCGGCTCTTTGACTACTTGTGATCCTGGCAACATTCACGATACGCTGGATGCATGCGTCAAAAACAAAATTCGCATCTCTGTTGTTGCGCTTGCCGCCGAGATGAAGATATGCAGGGAACTGTGTGACAAAACAGGCGGTGGGTAGGCGTCCTTACCTTTCCGAACGTGTCGCTTTATTGGTTTGTCAAGGTAGGTCAATTTGGGGTCGCCTTGAACGAAGGTCACTTCAAAGACCTCTTGTTCGAGCTTGTCCCCCCACCGGCGCAGCGTGCTATGACCCGTGCTGCAGGATCAGGCGCAACAAACCCAGCGGCTGATTTGATGATGATGGGCTTTCCTACTCGATTGCCAGATACGTCTCCAGCCAGCTTGTGTGTCTGCCATTCGGAAATGAAGAGCGAAGGCTTCCTCTGCCCCCGTTGTATGGCGAAAGTCTGCGATGTTCCGACTGACTGCGACATCTGCGGCCTGATGATTGTTAGCTCGCCTCATCTGGCACGAAGCTACCACCATTTATTCCCTGTCAAGCCGTACGATGCGATGTATGTCCCCTTAAGTTATCTTGGGTAGCTCTCTTCATTAACATACGAATATTCAGTGGGTCACTTGCTGATACACCCGATGCTGGGCTGGCTTGTCACGCATGTGCTCGTATATTCCCGACGACTGCACTCACTTCAACGTCGACCGAAGGTATGAGCCCCCTAAATCGCTACCGGTGCCCTGAGTGCCACAATGATTTCTGTGGAGACTGCGATGTGTTTGTGCACGACGTCGTCCATTGCTGCCCTGGCTGTGGCAAGTGATGCTCATTGGTAGTCTCGACTTATATACTTTATACTATCACACATTTTACATAGTGAATGCAATAAAAATGACAAAAAATGGAGTAAAGTCCGCGACCGAATAATGGAGCCAAGCACATAAATTTCTGTATTGGGCCCACTTTTAAATACCGCCTTCGGATGCGAGCCCTCCATCGCCCAAATAACTTAGACCAGTCCGTCGTTGTACCCTAATCAACACCAGCCAGTTTTCAAAATGCTGTTGCTGCCCTTTACACTCCTTTTTTCTTCTTGGTCTATCCTCGTCACCGCCGGCAGCGTCAGCAAAGGCGGCAATTGTTCTGCATCAGACAACCGTCTTGAAGTCGGCACCTATCAGTTCTACACTGACTGCGATGCAGAAACGTATTGTTCTTCGGCTGGCATCTGCGAGCTCAAAGGATGCAGAAAAGACCAATATCCATTTGGTTATGCCCAAAATTCTACTCTTCCTCCTAAATGTCCAGCTGGCCAGTTCTGCCCCGACGAGGGCGATGCTTGCCAACCTTGGCTCCCTGTTGGTAGCCCTTGCCAGTTCGACCGTGATGGTAGGATGGTTTGCTGCACATTTTATGACCGCACTCAACTGCGTTGTCCCTCTAGATCAATGCGAACCACCTCCCAACTTTCAGGAGCTCAGTGATACGTCCAATTTCGGCCGCAACTTCAATGGATCTGTCTGCTTGAACAATGCTTGCATGTATGTACTCCAAAGCCTCCTAGAGGAAATATATATGTTGATGTTCTTTCGTAGGTGGGCCAATGTTACCGTTGGTCTCAACTGCACGGTGGAGAACACGGCATATATCGCGTATGCAGGCGCGAATGAATTCCTTGACATCGTTTCTCGGTACGTCATATTTCTTTTTGTCCAATAGCCTGTTGACAAGTTACGTATGCAGTGGTAACTGTCATGTTGGCCTTTACTGTGATTCGCAGCAATTGGTGTGCATGCAGAGTATGCAACTGGGTGAAACCTGCGAAGCCGACAAACAGTGAGCCCCTTTTTCGCGAGTACTTTCGCAGTCCATTGACATCCAAGCAGATGCGCGTCATTCAACTGTCTGAGCACGGGTGTATGTGGAGATAGTGCCGATTCGCCACACCACTTTGGTGTCTGGCTGTATGTCGTCGTTTGCATTGCGATATTTGGAGGTACGTGCATCTCTGTGCTTGAAAGAACCAAATCCTCGATCAATTTTAGGTATGATTGCCACGTTGACAATTCTCTTCTTCCTCCATCGCCGTCAACGTGATTCCGAGCGTGAAAAACGTCTTCAATACTGGCGTGAACAGGTAATCCTTGCGAATTTCCTTCCGGTGGCTCCTATGCTGACTCCTTTTTTGTAGAACGCATTCCGACAGAACATCATGCAAATGCGCGAGACTGCCCGCGCCTCGATCTTGTCTCTTCCCAGTAATAGTCACAGCAACCGCAATTCAACGTACAGTCGTGCCAATTCGGAGGAATCGACCATGCCTATGCTGCAGCACTCCACGAACAAAGCAAGTGGTCTTCGTCAATATTTCTCTGACGATGGCGATTACGATGAAGGTCTTTTGATGCGGGAAGGTGGGGAGAAGATGCACAGGCTCTAAGCATGAAGGACTCTTTATATGACATTCGCAGACGCTTTTTCCTAAAACCACGGACTAACGGGACTCGGTTTCATGGCTTTCTATCTTCCAATCATCTTCTTATACTTAGAACTAGGCTGTGTCCTCGAGTGCAGATAATATCACAAGTGTTACGTGTGTAAAGCTTGACAGTGCTTTCGGCTGAGCTACTAATAATAATAAACCGGTTAATCTGTACCATACTCGATCCCAGTTACTCAGTCTAGACCGATGATTCAGATACAACCGGTAAGGTGGGAATGTCCCACTCCAACGCATCTGTGGTTCAGGAACGTTGTGGCCAACGTTGGAGCCATATACTCGACTATATTTTACAGTATTGCTAGTGACTGGGTTTGCAACTCACACAAGCGCGGCTAGACACTTGTGTTAAAAACGATCAATCGGGAAACCCTGCGGAACCACGCGTTCGAGCCTTACTCGCTGCCATTTGTAACACACTTCCACACCCTTGTCGACGACGGCGACGAGAATAGGACGCATGGCCTCGCTGGCACCTCCAGAAAAAACATCCCTACAGACGTCGTCGTCCACGCCGCCGTCGCCAACGAGCGAAGAAGACCTTTCACGAGCTCACGTATGGGGTGAATTTGAATACGAACCATATGCCTCTCAGGAACACTCACCGGCGAGCAGTAGTAAAGGAAAAGCAAAGGAATCGGTGTCGGACCATTCATACGACAGCGAAGAGGGGCATCAGAGAGGGGCTGCAACTGAAGTATATCCACCTACGAACGATGAAGCCGAGGAAACGCGTAGAGTGGAACAGGTGCGTACCATGGGTGTTTCTTTGCTAAGCACGCTGTAACCATACTATACTTTCTCTTGTCAGAATCTGAAACGGTGGGAGCTGGCTGAACGACAAAGGCGGAAAGCAGCTCGAGAATCAACACTCGTTACAGGAAGCGGAGGTTCACTATTGACAGACGTCACCCAGAGAGCTAGCCTGTTATTAAGGGGGAGGAAGCCTCAACGGGCCTCGAGCAGTGGGCTCGGTAATCATCAAGCTCTTCAATCCCAGGACTCTGTCGATGCAGTACCCCTTAATGACATTGACGGAAGTCCTTCTGTAATCTTCACCCCCTCGACCAGTCCAATACCCGACCACCCAACACACTCCTCCAAAAACCCTTTTGCCCATCCCGCCGATTCCATATCCCCTTTTACCGACTCCGACCAACAAATGATAGTCATGACCGAATCATCAACACCCCCTCTTACCGCAAACTCTGAAGCCCCCTTTGACCCAAGTTCTGGATCTTCAGAACCTGCTACGATACGTGCCTCATCTTCTTTGCGACATCCTCCCGCTACAGCTCTGGGATTACCTACTCCTCGAACGCCACCTCCCCATGCAGACACACCAAACGATACTCTACCCAAGCCAATACCCGCCCCTGCACTACGACCGCCTGCTGAACCAGTGAATGAGAATAAGGAGGTGAGATGGTGGCATGATTGGCTATGTGGATGCAGCGAAGGACCAGATCGAGGTGGGGAAAACCAGGTCAGTCCGCACTGCATTTACATTCCATGTCGAACGTATCTAACGTTCAATATCAATATCTACAGGCTGGTCGAACAAACCCCTTTGAGTAAAGCAATCATTTTTCGGCCTTTTTTATACATGGATTATAGGCGTATGAGTACACTGATACATTCACTACACACTTCTCCTCATCATTTCAACCTGATAATACAATTACATTCAGGACATTCTATATGTAGTTAGACTTCTCTGGCCCTCGGACATTTCGCACATACATACCCTATTGTTCAAGCCTTTGCCTAGACCGTTCGTTATCAAGCGACAGGGTGTATTTGGACATGATAGCTTTTATTGCACGAAACGCACGGGTATGAACATATATGATCGTAAAGTTCCGGTAACATGAAGAACGTCGAAGTAGAGGTAGCGAGAGAAGTCCGGTGAGGACGCACAGCCAATGTTATTGAGCGTCAGGGAAGCGGACACTTTTAGCATCAGTTGCGTGAACTCGAACGTCATCTCCCTTGGTTTCTTGTTCTCGAACGAGAGTTTCCTCACAATCACCGCGGATATTCTTGACCTGTTACGATACTCCCTCAGTTAAATCCATTAATACCAGATAGACGACGAGCTTAAGTACCTCGGAAACGTCGCCAGAAAGCCGGTTTAAAACCTCTCCCAAAGGCCCGGGAGGTAGAATATCAATAGACTCAGCCGCACCTGGCGCCCCCGGCATAGTGACTGTCGAAGTCTGACTCATGACTTCTGATATACTCGGTCCATGTATCTCCACTCCATTGGGGTTGTTTGAACTCATTACAGCTTGCTCTGGGTCGACGTCAGAAATTGCCTCAGACTGAATGTACGGTGGTAATGGACTCCCAAAGCGGCGAATAGAAGATAGCCACTCGCGAGGAGCATGTGTACTCATTGTCCAGGTAATAGTCATAGACTGGACACGAGAAGGGACTGTACGTCCAAAGGATATGAATGGGATAGACAAGCCATCTGCATCACGTTTAAGAGGTTTTACTGTCGAATTTTTAAAAATTGCAACTTACGAACGATGATGGAGCCAAGGACAACAAACGCGACGATAGTCTGTAAAGTCGCAGCAAGGAACTGGGCTTGGTTTGCTGGGGGACTTTCGGGAGTGGGGAGGCGTGTCAAGGCCATGGTCGATATAAAAACGGCCCCGACACCCAACTACATTTCGGTGAGGAACCTGTCAAATACATTGCACAAATTTTACTTACCGGACCTGTGAAACACTAAAGTCAGCGACGCAAACGGTAAATGTCAATACCACGTTATACCAAAGTGTCCGCAGAAAAGAGCCTCCTTCCATGTAGTGATTTCTGGCACGAATTTATACAATAATAGTAGAGGGGGAATGCGCCGGAGAAACAGGATGGCAATGACCAAAGTAACCAAGCGGCCAATCGTAATGTCAAGTTCAGGTGAGTGGAAAGCCGCAAACGGCAACCAAGCACCGATGTATATGAAGCAGGCACAATTCAGCACAAAGTCGATCACTGAGGCGAATATTTCATTTTCAGTTTGTAAACTGAAGTGACCATCCCAGGATATGGCGCAGCCTACAATAAACATGAGTAATGAATTGCTGAAAGCAGAGGATACCTTTTACCTGCTGCAAAGGCGGCCAAAAGATCGTCACTACCGATTGTACTGGCGACACCGATGGTGAAAATAACCAAAGCGATGTATTGAACAACGTATGACTCACGGCCAATCAAGCCCTTTGCATGAGATAATTTCATGATTCTGGAGAATATAAGGCCTGGGTAAATGCGTTCAGGAGTAATACAAATGAGAAATGTTCGTTTACACACCTATGACAGCACCTATTACTGTTCCCAGAATGACCTGATCTGTTTTGGAAATGTCAGAGTACGCCAAATGTGATATGAGATTTAGATCTTACATAGCCAGCCGACAAGAAACCATTTACCGATAGCAACGCGAGTGGAGGCTTCCACGGTAAGATATATGGAGATACTAAGGAATGGATAGGCCAGACCATCATTTGCGGCAGACTCTGCTGATAAGATGTGGCGGAGCTTTTCTTTAACGTTCTTTTTCGCAAACGTTCCGGCTATATGCATATGTTTAGTTTACAATACCCAGATATGCAAGCTATTAGTGAACTCACACACAATAGCGGCACAGATTATAGGATCTGTCGGTGTGAGGCAAGCAGCTATGCACAGCGAAGATATGTAATTGATGCTAGGAAACAGATAGTATATGATTACTGTACGATGATCAGTGAGGGTGTGGTGGATTACACGTCCCAAGACTCACAAGCTATAAGAACCCAACCAAACGCCATAGTCGGGACAACCATGACCAAGAGACCCTTCATATGGTCCCACATGTAGCTCTTGGGCAACTCAACGCCGATTGTGAATAAACCTGTTGCAAGGACGACGCGCATAACCTCCAGCGTGATTCTAGAGTCCGAGCCCCAAGAACGAGGATCGAATATACCCGCCACGTGAGGTCCGATTAGTATCCCAAAGCCAGTACCAAGAAGTACTTCATTGATGTAAAGCTGAGAAATAACATGTAGATTATCGCCCAAACCCAGCGATGATAAGATCCTTGCCTTGTCTTTGATAAAAATAGTCATCATAGAAAGCTGTATAAACGGCACAGATGCATTCAGTCATCCCGTAAACGTGAACAGAGAGACACAAATGTGGCGCAACAACAATGTTTGCGACTCTACTAGACTGACACCGACCCAAACCACAAAGCGGTATCGATCTCGGTAGTGATAGAAATGTAATGGCAATGAAACCCACCAAAACAACAAAACCCCCTAAGCATATATACGCCAAGCTTGGCGCCGATACCTATACGGGCAAGTTTGTTATGTGCGAAACCGAGAAAATGGTCCACGAACTTGCAGAAGATCCAAGTCCATCATGATGGCAAAATGGCAAGCAGAATTTTGGGATATACTAAACGAACGATGTCCTGATGATGGTTTGTGCTGTTACCTGTGGAAGGTATTGCAATACAAACCTGGTCGTGTATAAGTATATCCGCCATATTTTTGTTTGTTTGTTCTCTTGCATACATGCACCCGTCTACTTAATTGCTTAATTGGCGTGTAACTGTACTTTATCGGACGCTGCTCCTCCATTTTCATGGCAATATTCGCGCATTTACGTCCTTGGAGATAATGGACTTCATCTCCTGTGTCATACTATAAATCGTTCTGAGATTATTACCAATCCATTCATCGTCGCAACTCAACGGTCTTGTGTGGTGTGGTAGGATTAACGGTGGACGCCCCATAGCTGAGCAACTGTGACACGAGGCAAGGTTTGCCAATTCAGGGATGCGGCCATACAGGAACCCGATGGTCTGCTTATAGGAGACTACAGAAACCCTGACTTCGTGACGTTTCTAACAGGAGACTTATCTAATTCGCACTGTCTGTCATGTCCAAAAGCAAAACCCGGCTATTCTTCTCGTTGGTGCTGAAAGTACGATCATCTCCCAAGTATAGATCCGTGACATGAAGAATGGTATCAGAGTGCTCATAATGGAATGGATAGCCAGCGGCGTCTCAGCTTATAGAAACAGCATGCACTATTGTCTTTGTCCAGGGGTGTACCAAGCCAAGTGATGGCCGGAGTTACCCGATCAAGACCTAGGCTAGGATTTGGCAGTCCCATGTCAAGAAACTGCCTGCCAGCACCGCCCAGGTCGACGTCCTGCAGGTCAGAAAGCTCTAATACGCTGACAACGTTGTCCGCATCGGCCTAACTTCGTTCGGAGTACTGTCGTTCCACACCATTTCGGATCAGTACTGAGTATTCAGACGTCACATTGTCACATTTCCTGATACCTGCAAACTGGCACAACAGGCGTGATTTCTGCGTGACAGATGAAAAATGCGGATAACTACTTTGTTTTCGAGCTGGCAAGACTTTGAGGAGCGTTTTTGAGGCCGTAGAATTCACTGAGAGTGTGATCTAAAGTAGGACAGTCGTCCGAACCCCCAGTATAATCCGAAAAGGGGAACGACAGTACCTCAACATTGTCCGCTCTTTTTCCTTATGACCATGCCGTAAATTATCAAAACGTTGTGATTATAATTGTAATGCGGCTACGATCCCTTCAGGCGCGTATGGTGGACCGGAACGGAGGGCTTGCATGTCATGGGAGAACGGCCAAGTGTGTTACGGATTGACAGGTACGATTTCGCGCCGACGGATGTACAGCGCGTGAGTGTGGAAGTTCTGAAAACCACAGAAGCTTTGTGGTCGTATCTTGAAGGAGATAATGTAATATGTTAAGAATGTGGTACGCACATAAATATGTGGGAGCGATAGAAGAACATAAGTATAGACCAGGATGCGCTCATTCTGCAGCGGAAGCATTAGCAGTGATCGCGGCTAATCTGAATCGTTAGATGCGGCAACAACAAATGGAGTTCCGATACATAAGGATTAAAGAGCCGGCTACGGACGTCTGCTGAGCATTTTTTTGAACGTTAACTATAACCGTATGAGTCGAAACAAAAAAAAGAAAATTACCAACATTCGTATCAGCAACATATAAATGCAGGTGCGGTCACAATCAAGGTACCCAAAACGCAGACTCATGGCCCTTCCTCAGTTGCCCCGTGTTCTTCTCAGCATCGCCGTCCTCTTGGCCGCCATTGTTGGCGGTCTTTACCTTCAAATACGGCCGTTACTGCTTGCTGGAGGCCTTGGACGTGTCATTGAGTCTGTCGGGAACCGCAATTGCTCGATGGTGCCAGAACTGCAAGCATGTGAAAGTTCGTACTATCTTTGTATACTTTGATATTATATGTTGACCATCCATGGCTCTCTACAGAGGTCGTGCTCCATCAGCCCACAGGTAAAATATACCTCGCATGCTCAGCTCTCGAAACTCGTGTTTCTTGGACACCGGCTCTCAATCGTTTGGACGCGACTGGCGTGTCAGGGCAAGATTATGTCGCGACATATGATCCCTCAACGCATGGTATTACCCGTTTGAAGTTGGCTGGTTTCAACTCGACGCGCGGCATACACGTACATGGCATGGACGTCGTCCCTTCATCTGTTGATCCGTCATTGCTCTATGTTTATCTCGTGAATCACCGACCACCGGCCTATGGCGATGCAAAGAAGCTCGGGGCCGATTCTGTCATTGAAGTTTTCAAGACTCGCCTCGGAAGTGATGTGCTCACACATGTGCAAACCTATGCAGACCAGATCATCATCACTCCGAACGATGTCGTTGGTTCCTCCGACGGGAACAGCTTCTACTTTACAAATGACCATGGTTTGAAGACGGGGCTGGTGGGTTCCAAGTTCCCGTGCCTTAAGACGCGCTTAACTTACCATGACGGCAATAGAGAAGACTCGTTAGCACACTCCTTTTGACGCCCGACTCGTCCGTTGGCTTCTGCCACGCTGATCAAGGATGCAAATACGCCATCACAGGCTTACACAGTAGTAATGGCATCACCCGGGGTAAGAGTATGAACGACACATTTTATGTCGCAGACTGTGGACTGGGTGATGTCAATGTCTTGGAGAGACAGTGGGACAACACACTCGTTTTGACAGAGGTCATCAAAACAGGTGAACAAGTTGTTCAGCATTTTGTCTGGAACATATACTGACATTTGACTTGATAGGCACGGCGCTAGACAATCTTGCCTTGGATGATGATGGTGCCGTATGGGTTGCTGGTATGTTTTGTTGTTTTGCAGCTGACACAGTCCAAACTCATCATATCGCTGCAGGACTTTCGGATGCCATTGGCCTACTTACTAAATTTTCCGATCTCTCATACAAAGTGGCTTCATCAGCTTTCCGGATCACTATCAACTCAGGACCTAGTTCATTCTATGGTGAGAGGTACCAAGTAGACAAGGTATGTTATTACTCTTGGACAGGAATCTTAACTTGGCTGACATTGCGATTCAGGTGTTCGAAGATTCAGGTGAAATTGCCTCGGGTACCACGTCCGTAGTATATGATTCCCAGAGAAAGAGACTGTTTTTACATGGTATGTTTGCATTCATGGCTGATTTCTAGGTCACTGACTCCTCTTCAAAGGAATTGCTTCTCCTCATCTATCGGTCTGCAGGCTTTGATTTTCTCTTCGTATCTCATCGTTCTGGCTACATATATTAATGGATTACACACACTAGTACGTTATCGCTTTCACATATTTATCTTCATATGCCACAGTCGTTTGCAATCCCCTTCGTTCAAGTTGCTGTTCGTGTTCATGTTGATTTTACGCTAGTGTGATCCATTGGTGTAACTAGTACCCACTATCTCTTATTGTCTCTTATTGTGATCTTCGTTCTGCATATCCCCTATTGTTATCTTTTCGTGTGCGTAACGCTCTGTACAACAATGATAAAGCTTATCTGCATGGGTGTCACAAATAGTAAAGTTCAAGGGCGTTCTACGATAGCAAATTTGTCCTCCTAACGGGTGCGATGCACAGGGCTATGGTGAATGATTAATGATGCATTAATTGTGCAATGTGTGAGCCTCAATGTTTAAGTTCTCTCAAGATAAGATAAGGCGGGCGGCATTTCGCGTACGTATATTGTTTACGGCTTCTGCCGCTAGGCCTCATGGCTGGGACGCAACTTTCGGGCAGCGTTCGGGTGCAGCTCTTTGTAGACAAATGGCTGCCATTCAAGCAATCCACATCAGAGGACATGAAACACGCCCAGAACCCAAACCACACACTGTCTACCGCATAGAAATCCAAGCCCATGTCCGCTCATGGCAAATGTGGAGACGATACTCTGAGTTCGCGGAATTACACACTGAACTCACCAAATCGACAGGCTCTCCACCAGCTGCTCTTCCGCCAAAGCACTCCTTTTCTATTATTCGTACGTTCTCGCGCGAGCAGAAAATCATAGAAGAGCGTAGAGAGGGTCTTGAATTGTACCTTCGTGCCATCATCAGCGCCAAAGAAGACAAGTGGCGAGACAGCATCGCTTTTCGCGAGTTTATTGGCGTGCCAGTCGGTCGTCATGCTGAGGGAGGCGGAGAGAGCAGTTCTGGGAATGGACAGTTCTCTTCATCATCGTGGTTAGACGAACATCATGAACTACAGAACCGTCTACGCGACGTGCGTGCGGAAATCAACAAGCGCGACGCACTCTCTGACCGTGGTGACATTGGTGCATCACACACGGCGGGGGTTCAGGCAAAGAAGAAGCTGGCCGAGATTCTGTCGCGAGTGCGGACGCTCACACAGGGGTTGCAGGCACTTGCAATGCATGGGATGGCGGAGGGCGAGTTGCAGCGTCGTACTGACATGGTGGCTCGCATACAGGATGACTGCGAGAAGCTTGGGAAGATGGTCACCGTTTCGCGGCAGATGTCTAGGGGACTCACGGTTGACTCGGGTTCAGGCAAGACGTTTCCTGCACCTGAGTCTGACCGTGCTGCCCTTCTCGGCCCACCAAGTCGTCAAGTGACTAGAGTGTTTGGTGCTGCTGCTCAAGAGACAGAGCAAACACGACCATTGGACGATACTGGGGTGTTGCAGTTGCAGCAAGTGCAAATGACACAGCAGGACAATCAGCTCGCACAGTTGACGACAATGCTACAAAGGCAGAGACATCTCGGCGAAGCTATCAATTCCGAATTAGCTACACAGATCGAGCTGTTAGATGATCTGAACAACGATGTAGACCGTGTTGGTGGGAAGCTAAGCAGTGCGAAGAAGCAGATGAATCGCCTAGGGTAATAATATACTGGGACTTTCACTACATTGATAACATAGGAGGATATGTGGAGTAGATACCATGAGAATTGACGTCTATGAATGCTGTGCTACTGATGGAATATAATAGAAGAAACCCAGCATACAAATATGAAGTGAGTGATGAGTCTATCGTGATGTTCAATCCTTCTTTTGCAAGAATTTTCCAACGCCCTGTGTCACGGCGATCAGCATCGCAACTGGCGAGGTGGAAAGAATACCATACCTCAAAGCATGCAATCATGATTCCACAAGCCGGTGCAATCTTCGCCGTCCGAGGAACCATCCCAGCATACAATGCACTAATACCTTCTGTCCGTAGTATCAAAGCACACAACGGTAATGTAGATGTTACCCTCCCCGACGTCGTCCCGGACATAATCAATGCTTGTCGCCTCGTTTTCAATACATCGAACGGTGATGTCAACAACGACGCAGTGGTCCCACTAACCGCGCCACTGATAAAAGCAACCCATGGGCCTGCATAGCCCTTGGAATCGAAGAATCGTTTCCAACTCTCGTACCCAGCCCAGTAAACTCCACTGAATGGGACGTCACGCCATAACGTTGGTCCTAGGCCTCGCCAGAGGAAGCGAACCCCGTGAGTGCGAACTTGAGTGCGAACTGAGCGAAGTACAGAAGGGAGTGTATGTGGTCGGTCGATATATTTAGGGGTTGATTGTAAATTAGTCCGGATGAGTTCTAGAGGGGATACCAAGGATGTGATAGATGCACGAGCGAGAATGCCAGCGGTGAGAGGGACAAGAGTGGGTGATGAAATAAAAGAGGGGACGACGGAACGGAGGAGATGGTCATATGTGAGCATATACAGAGTTGATGATGGTACACCTATTAGACTGCATGACGTGAATACAGAATATCCGGATCATGGAATATGAAAACTCACAGTGATGTCCCTGCACCTTTCCACAGTCCTGGCACGCCCTCCGCGCGCCATATGTGTCTTACAGCATCAAGGAAGCCATTGATTCGTTCTGTTCTAAACACGCCATGGTCCATCACACACACGACCTCACTTTCAATAAGAGGACGAGCATAAGAGGACATATTTCGAACGCAGGGTATGTGGGATGGCTGACAACATGTGTATGGTGGTGGACGTGGAAATAATGGCTCTGGAGGTTGAGTCTGTATCCGAGTCTTTACGACGTCAAACGGGGTCACTATTGAGCACACGAAAGCCATTTAGTTCAGCGATGTCTTTAAGATTTAAAATACACACTTGTCAGGGCGGTCATGGTGGACCCCGTAGCTGCAGCCAATAATTTTGCATGGAATGGCTCCATTCCCGTCGATGGGGACGACGAGGACGACGACAAAGGAGTGACCTAAGTAATGGTCAAGGCAAGAAAACGATAATTCGTTGGTCGGCCGTCGAGGATAACTTACTCTCAGAGATTTGTCATGCCGCGCCGACACGCCATGACTGAAATCACACAGCCACCAAGTACCGTGACTTAGGCCGAGCGTTGCCCGAAACGACTTGACTTGAAATCATATCAACGAGGTATAAGCAAAGCTATGCAAGAATACAATTCTATAATGCTACAAAGTAGTTTTTGATTTTTGATCCACCCTTGATATGCCCGTCATGTCTCAACACGATTCCATGTGAGGTATCTCACGGGCAACCATGTTGGACTTGTCCACTCCTTTTCAACCAGCTCAGACACTATCATCTGTGAAATGACTTCGCCACTAGAATTTTTCGCAAGTAAAGTAAGTTACGCAGTTCTTTGGTGATTTATTGGAGCTCACCAAGCAAAGGCGCGGGGCATCCCATGCCCCGAGTAGCCTGCTGCTATGTATTGGCCAGGGTATGCGTTTGAACCAGGGTTCGAAAGATCTATCACGGGGCCCACCTACATCTAAAGTCAGCGACATAACAATGCCTATTTATCTCTCTTCAAGACTCACCAATGGATCTCCTATCTTCGTATACCCCATGATTCCAGACTATTTTCCAAGCTAGTCACAGGCCAGGCGATAAACGACAATTGAGTCCAGACTCACCCATTCCATCTCAGGTTCCCTGCCCGCCCTATATTTACCTTGAAACACTGCAGGCAGAAAATCACGCAGAACACGCCCCACAGCCGGATCTAGCACAGAGTCGTCGTCCTCGTAATGTTCAAACGATTCTGCTGTCTCGCGACCGCCACCTAGAATGACCAAAGGTGACTCTGTAGCAGCTGCCACAGGGCGGGGAAACCAGTATTCAAATCCCTACCAGATCGTACGTCAATGTCAATCCTACACATATATTCTTTATAAGATGGATCGACCGTACCTCGTTTGCGCCCCAGCCATTATTTCCTATGGTTTTCGCATTGGCCACTGCACGGAGTGCAACAACTTGACCACGAACTGGAATGATCCCCTTCGGGCCGGTGAGAAACGGAAGGAGATGTGATGCATAGCCGTTTGTAGCATGAACGATTCGAGAACAAGCGATATGTCCACGAGGGGTTTCCAGAATGTATCTACGTGACTGACACGTAATATCGGCAGCAGATACGCACGAAATTCCAGTCACTGGCGTATGGGTATGCAGTGCAAGGGCGAAATTTGGGCTTGAACGCGCTTGAGCCAGTTGATAGAGTTTTGTAACGAGCTTTAGGGGCCAGACATTATGTCCGGGGATGCGGATTGCAGGATATGACGGTCCAAACCTCTGGGGATTCATATATACATATTTAAAGAGAGAACAAAAGATCGGGCACGAAGAACACATACAGCTTGCACGTCTTTCTTATCCATCCATTCTATACCTTCGAAACTAACACCTGCCTGATCAGCAGCACTCAAGCCACGCTTCGCGTTTGCGACTTCTTTTTCTGTGAACAGCAGCCTCAGGTTGCCACCTTCGACGAGATCTACCTCGTCTTCGAGGTTATGCTCGTGGATGATTGATACCAGAGTTGCTGCTGTGTGTTCTTCCAAGGCAACAGATCGAATGGCTTCGTCGGTGCCATATTGTGCAGCTACGTTGTGGAAGTTGCGGAATGCTACTGGAGTGAGGTGCCCACCATTTCTGCCTGCATCATTTCAACAGCAAATCAGTATCAAGCACGGGTATAGGAATGCCTACTTTACGCACCAGTGGCCCCAGAGCCTGTTTCGTTAATGAAGGACGCCAGTTAGGCTTACGATTACTCCAGCACTCGTATACACTTACAAAAGTCTCGCGCTTCGAGTATCACGATTTTGAGCGGCCCATGATAACCCGCGAATTCTAAATACTGAACTGCCTCTGCTAGGTGATATGCGGTACCGACACCGGTAATTCCAGAACCGATAATGCAAATGTCAGCATCAGTGGTGAGAGGTCCTTCACTTCCCTCTCTTGCCAGAGGGTTTACATCGGGCGCAGAGTCGAGCCAAAACGAAGCAGTGGGGTTAGTAGAAGGGAGACGCGCCGGGCATAATGGTATTGTGGGAGGCGCAGACAAAAGAGACTGGTGGTGATCAGACTGGTTAAGGAGAATCGGGAGGATTTGCATCGAGGTAAAAGACAGGAGAAATACATCACAGTGCGGGGTGTGTATATCAAGATTAAGGGATGACCGAAAAATTGGTGGGTCAGGATATGTATGTAAATGATTGGAAACCGATCAAATACGAGAACAGAGAACTCACAACAGCTTTTACGGCCGATATCGATGCGGCGGCAAGAGAGGCCACATGTCCTGTAAGAAATACAAAACTATAGCGCTAAAACTTTATTCTTATATATTATTGATTACTTGGAATAGAAAATTATACTCACCGAACGCTGGTTTTGTCAAGCCCAGGTGGACACCGACAACCAAATGAACGAGAATTAACCTTGGAGCCTTGTGCCACGGCGCTCTTTGTCACGTCGGCGCCGAGTCGAGTATGTGCGACTCTCCGAATCCGAATCCGAATCTACCGCGAGCATGATTTGCGATCGTCCTTTATGAATTCAATATTCAGCTGATCAGGTAACCCCGCAAAATGATATCTGGTTTGTTGTCGTACATGAGTCGTACATGTCATCAATTATTATGTTTCGCATGCATGCTTGAGGCTATAATAATCCCGTCTCAATGCTTCTTCAGTCCTTCATCAAGCTTTATCAAGTTTATCTCCATCCGGCTTCACAACAACACTTTCCTGCTTCTCCTCCGCTAAATATCCGCGGACAAGAACATGGACTCATTAGTGATAGCGAGGGAACCACAACAGTGTGAACAATGCTTTGACGACTGAACCGTATCTTCACCAGTGGGGATGACAGCGGTGTAACACTGGCATAGTCAGGCGTAAAGACAAAAAGACGCATTCGGCCGTGATGTATCATTTAGGCCCGCAGTCGTTGTGCCATGCGGGGACACGATCATGACGAGGCAAGCGTGTCAGGCACCCTGTCCTAAAAGTACGATCGACCCCCCTCAGATCTCAGTGATGCTTGAGCAGACTTCACGTTCTGCCTCTGCTTGGAGTCTCTGTTCAAATGAAACCACAGGCCTCAGTCTTCTAATAAATCAGACTGAGTTACCATTGTCATCTACAGTACATTACACCAAATATTTGCCAATGATTCTATCACTTTTTGACTCAACACACTGGTGTTTATCATGCACTCATTTCTTGTTGTGTTATTAGATTGTTGTCTTCCAATCAACATGTTCCAATTATTGGTTATTGTGTGAATCTTACCCATAGGAGGGACCTCGCATAGGACATACAGACGTATTATCAAGCTACAAAAATACCGTTGAAATATTTTTTCAATCCTTCCTCCCCCCGCACTATTGCACCAACAACACCATCCGGCCTCACAATAACAACCCTTGTCTGCTTATCCCCAACCACATATCCAGCATACGCGTGGCAATTTTGATCCATCAACGTTAAATTCGCAGGGGTGGACACGGACTCATCGGTGGTAACCGCGTTTGCAGGAAGGACTACGACGGTTCGAATAACGTTGGAATCGTACAACCCAAGAGCAGAGACGATCTGTGCGACCGTGGTATAATCTGCTGTGAAGACGAGAACTGTGTGATAAATCGGCTGGAAGATGTCGAATAGGCGTGTGGTCGTTGTACCACCCGGGTACATGATATCTACAAGGCCAGGGGCATCAGGGGCCCTATCTCCTGCCTGAAGACATCCATCTTGAATAAGCCTATAAGAATCAGCGGGTTTCGCATCCGTCACGAACTCGTCAAACACAATGGGGCTCCCACGGCAGTTCACACCAAGCATGTATACCTGTTCTCCACGTTGGAAGCGCGCTGCAGCCGTTTGGACATCTTTGCCTTTGTTAAAAAGCACATTCGTCAAATTAAGCATCTCTGCGATAACAGGAATGCGCTCTGTGTTGTACGTATCGAGGATGGAGACAGGTGAAATGTTCTTCTCGACCAGCGCGATCTTCCAGCACAGGTTGAACTGCGTAATGAAAATAGCCGTCAGTATCAGCATGACCATACGGTCAATGTACTCACAGAGTCTTGCACGCTCGAATTGAGCCCCTAGACCAAGGTCAACAAAATATAATGAGTACTATAAACCGACGTTACGGTACCTGTCCACCTGAAGGGGGGTGTATACTATACCATAGAACTACATTAGCACGTAGCGGTGATGAAAAGGAGACAGAATACTGACTGTGCTGCATCTGGAAACAAGGATTAAATATCAAGGTGAATGGTATGTACGACTAAGACAGACCTCCTGCGACAAAGACTCTGCCCTCCCTAAGCTTATTCACCATCCGGACATTCGGCCTGTACTCAGAGCTCCACATCACCTTTTCAATAGTCAAATCGGTTTTGATCAAAGACGAGAACACCTTCAAAAGCTCTTCCTCGCTGGAAGCTAACTTAGGTATGTCGATGTTTCGACCTGAAACCACAAACTGGAAGCCATCCGGTGCAATTTCGTCTGTAGGACGTAACACGACACTGAAAAATATTTTTTTAGTACAATGAAATCTGTTATATGACAGGACCACATACGCATCAGCTTTGAAATCCCCAAAGATGTGCCAATGCTATGCCAGAGAATCAATTTGAGAACAGGTTCATGGACAAATATACACACCTCTCTGTCGATCCCTGGTCCATGCAAACGTATGTCTCCTGTCAACCAATGCTTATCATAGTATGATTCTCCCAAGAATGTTAATCCCAGCTGCTTGCGAACAGCACCTACATCCATCATGATCATTGCTATCATCATTACCAAACACTTAGAATAGAAGATAGTAACGCACCTCTAGCTCCATCTGATCCAATAAGCCAGTTGGCTTGGATAACCTCGAAGACCTCCTTGCCATTATCCAATTTCCTCACGACATGCGCCACAACATGGTCAGAATATTGCTCGATGGAACGGAGCTCTGTGCCAAGTTCAACAGTGCATGATAGCTTTTGTATATGAGAACGTAGGATGCGCTCGAGTGTCTCTTGGCCTAAGGCAGCAGGATTGTACTTGAAGGTAATCAGTGACAACGTAAAGTGTTAGCCAAGAAAAGGCGCATACATAAGGGATAGCCGCTGTTGGCTCGGTATATGGAAACATCGGGAAACTTGCGAGAGGCTCAACAGTGCCCGGTTTATAAGTTTGCATCGGCAAAAATGGCTTTAACATCTGATCAACTTCGGGGACACCGAGAAATCTGAAAAGTTCTTGCGAACGGGGCTGGAGATGACGGACAGTGGCTATTAGCCAAGCATATATGGCAGAATGAAAGAATGTAGATCGTACGTGGATGCCTCCACCGCGCTGACCTACACGATATTTCGATTCCTTGTCTATGATACGGACAGGAATACCATTGCGAAGGAGCGTCAGAGCTGCCACAAGGCCTGAAGGGCCAGCACCGACCTGAACAGAAGGATAAGCGCATGGATATATGCGCGAGGCATAAAACTCACTACTAAGACTGGAATGGTAGTCATGGTACGAGTGCGATATTAAGAGGTGGTAACCGCAGAATGGGTTAAGTTTCTGCCAACAGGACGATGGTCTTTTATACGAAAACTCTTGTTGCTGAACTGTAGCCCTTTTTTGTACACTTCTTTACCAGCGGAAATGTTAAGACATCACTATGACTCGTCTTAAAGCCGCAGGAGTGCCCATGATGCCAGGACGCGTCTCGCCGGCAGCTTCAATGGGTTTGCCCATGCCATGTCTGTATTGTCAATGACGCCAGGGCCCGGCATAGCATGTTGAGTATTTGCCCAACATCGTCGTAGGGAGTCAGAGCCGTGTCTGCGATATGCCGATGGGCTGTCGTGTCCACCTGAAGAAGTATTATGTTTGACTGTAAATAGCTACAGCCTAAGGTCATGTGCTTGACATGTTACGGCACCTGGAGAGCTTCTATATCACTGCGGCGCATACAGATACTATGACTATAAGTCTAAGTATTGTAAGAGCCTGAGGGAGATCCGAACTGGACCCAAAAATCCCGTGATTTCATAGATGGACTCTGTTGAAGAAATTGAAGCTGAACTTGAAAATCATATACCATATCTTTAATGAATACCCTCATCGTGGATGGAAAGTGTCGTTGGAGGTCTTACGATAATCTGAACAACGTTAACGTTTACCTACAGTGCGCCGAGCTGTTCGCCACCGCGACACAACTCTTTGAACACTTCCCACTATGACCATGTCAATGGGTGGGGCATCACATCCACGACTCGGTGAGAGCTAGCTCTAATGTTTTGATTTCACCTTTGTGATAGCCGGTGGGGTTGATAACATGTTGGTATGGTCCGGTGTCGTGAAGGATAGCGCACACTGCGAGCGAGTCGCACTTTAATCCGAAGAAGGTACATGCGGTGAAAGAGCTTGTGACCAATCACAAGCGTTGTGTTATCGTGCATTGCGCGTCTCGCGATAGAGACCGTCCTAATATATAATGGTACTCAACTGTAAGCGGTGCTACCCCTTCGTTCCTTATCCCCAGCTCACAGTCTACAATCATGGGTGCCTCACCGTCGAAACCCTCCCCATCTGTCGTACGTTCGTCAAAGGCAGAGTCTATCAACGAGAAAGACGTCCTTCAGGATACACCACCATCCATCGTCACCTCTCCATCTTCAGCTGACGGGTCCATATCTTTGTCTAATGTCGCTGCATGGGAATCGTCAGCTGCAGCGGACCCAAAGCTTCAGCTTGCTCGCACTATCCTCTCTCACACTGACATTCGTTCTGCCCTGTCTTCGCGGTCCGCGCATATAGCCAACGCTCACGTGTTCAACACAGAGGTCGACTTCAAGACTGGCCCAGTCACCAACCAAAAGTCAAGTGGTCGGTGCTGGTTGTTCGCTACCACGAATATCCTTCGGTATGATATCATGAAGAAGTTGAAGCTGAAGGAGTTCCAGCTATCTCAGGTATGCGCGGCCGAATAGCAAACGGTTCTGTACCGAGTCTGACGTGTCAACAGTCCTATCTTTTCTTCTGGGACAAGCTCAACAAGTCCAACTATTATCTTGAGCTCTCCATCGAGACTGCTGATCTCCCAATTGACGATCGACTTGTGAACTTCCTTTCTGATGACCTTATCAGCGATGGTGGTCAGTGGGACATGGTCGTCAATCTTCTCGAGGTAAGGGTCTCGTCGTAGTTGTTATTTACACCAATTCACCTTGTTTCTGTAGCACTATGGTGTTGTTCCCCTACAAGTTTACCCGGAATCCTTCCACTCTTCGCTTTCCGGTCCTATGAATTCACTTTTAATGAAGAAGCTCCGTGAACACGCCATCACCCTACGCTCACTCAGCAGCTCCCTACATGCAGATTCCTCGCTCACTGCAGAAACTATCCTTGCGACGCTACGTGCGAAGAAGGAGAAGCTCATGCAAGAGATTTATACCATCATGAGCGCGACATTAGGCGTGCCTCCGAAGCCTGACGAGCCGTTCACCTGGGATTATTATGACGAGAGCGGTAAAGCAGGAAAGTGGGAGGGCACCCCAACTGAGTTCTTTAAGGCATTTGTTGGAAAGTACTCCGTGAGCACTTAGCTATATGTTATGGCTTTCCAGCTGCTCATGACCATTTCTAGCCTATGGACAGCTTCTCCCTTATTAATGACCCGAGGAACGAATACTCTAAGCTGTACACTGTGAGCAAGCTTGGTAACATATGGGGTGGACGCCCAGTTCTGTGTAAGTGGACAAGACACTCACCCTAGCTGCTCAACACTGATTATCTCGCAGACGTCAACACCGAGATAGAGAACCTGAAGGCCGCTGTGGTTAGAGTATGTTCTATCCCTTTATGAATCACGTGTATCGGGCTAACATTGTATATAGTCCATCAAGGCTGGCCAGGCTGTATTCTTTGGATGTGATGTTGGCCAGTCTTCCGACTCGAGCGGTGGTGTAGGAATTATGGATACTGACCTCTTCGAGTACGAGGTATCAAAGTATTACCTTCCTAGGTCGCCCCTCTGCTCACCTTTTCTCCTTAGGATGCATTCAACATCAGTCTCTCCCTCACGAAGGCCGAAAGATTGCAAATGAATGAATCTGCTATGACACACGCCATGGTCATTTCTGGTGTTCACATCGACGAGAACGGTCGACCCGTGCGGTTCAAGGTGGAGAACTCCTGGGGTGAGACATCCGGAGAGAAGGGATTCAACGTGATGAGCGAGAAGTGGTTCGACCAGTGAGTTTTCTTTCAGATACATCTTTCGAGTCAGAACTCAGGTTGTACATGTGCAGGTATGTGTACCAAGTCGTCGTCCACAAGTCGCTTGCGCCCAAAGAGCTCGTCAAGGTGATAGAGGACGGACATGCAGTGGTGCTACCCCCCTGGGATCCTATGGTACGTTTCCGAGATCGATGAATCCGCTTTGTTCAACTGCTAAATGGGGATCGCTTGACTAGGGTGCTCTTGCGTGACCGATGGTCGATCCCCTTACTCATGTAGACGGTATGCTTGATGCAGCATTTTAGCTGTATGTTTTCGTTGGCGGGACTTTTAATCGTTTGTTGTTGAGTGTACTATTTTGTATACTTTTCGTTGTGCTATATATTTTGCAGCCGTTCATTAAACCGTTTTGTGGAGAAATGTCTGAAAGGTGCTAATTGACTTGCCTAAAATTTTCGTCGCAAGAGCGTGCTTGTAAGATATTCTCGGGCTGGCGCTACCAGGCCACCGATTACTTGAAGGGATCACCCGCCGGCGCTAACCGCATGTTTCTCCTAACTTCTAGATTGGCATGTGGGTGGATCTGTGCAACCTGGTAGTCTGGTAGTTACCAGAAGGACCGACATCTACGGGCTTGGCACCAGCATCGCCCATTGTAATGAGTACGGTGAGCAGAGCAGGATATCCCAACGCGGGTTATGGATCACTCTCGAGCCTCGTTTTGCGCTTCCAGGTACGCAGCGGGATGAACATTCCGACCCCCCTGAACCGTATGCAACAAAAAACTTATCAAAATCTATCTAGATGCTTTTGTATTCCGACACGCGCGGACGTGCCTTGCCTCGTCTGTCTCAGCCCTGTTGTTCTCGACATTTCTCCGCCAATTGCAGGTCCTGCTCAAGTCAGAATGACAGACAACAAATCACATTCTGGGGAAACGCTTTCACAGCGCCTAAGAAAAAGAAGACACATCAAATTCTCAATTGACGCCCAGGTCAGTTCGCGTCTTTATCATCCCTTAAAAGACACTATGTACTCAGCATGGGGCAAATTCATTTTATCCTTTTTTCCAGACATTCTTTTTTCCAGACTCTAGTACTCGTTTTTTACAGTATCTTTTCGTTCGTTTAAAGCATGCCTTTTCCTCGCAGGAATACCAACAACAACAATAACGGAGGCCTCGGTTTCTTTACGATGGTCGCCGCCGTCACGGCCGGGTTAAAGCTCAAAGAACGCTGGGACGATTGTGAGCTCGATTTTCATGCAATATTATGCATCGTGTAAGAGTTATCGACCTAAATCGCGATCCTAGATAGAGCTATCCCCGGCGATGAAGGACGGTTAGCGTTGCACAGTCCAGTAGATCCTGCTTATATGGATGAGGAAGACAACATCGGATTAAACAACAGTGCTACCTCAAATGGCTTCCTCTCTACAGAGATACCTCAAGTAACAGCGCCTAAGAGAAAACGCAGCAAGAAGTGGTGTATCTGCTGTGGTTTAGAGTAAGTGTCTTGAGTGTAAATTCTTGCATTTCCCAGCACTAAGGGGGGTCATCAGCTGCGGCTTGTTCTGGAAGGCCTTCGGCATTGTCCTTCTCATAACGATTGTGTGGAATGGCTTGAAATTTGGCAAATGGCTTGTGACCGTACGTGACACTTTGATGTTCCAAGTAGCTGACCCAGTAAATTGTTCCCGTTCACTAGCCTTCTCCCACTGGTCTGGAAGGTTTACCTGCTTATGGTGCCTCGTTAGGGTGCCCCTCTGCATCCCACATCTACATGGGATCCAAAACAAACTTTACTGTTCCCGTCGGCACCGAATCCGAACATTCTCTGGAAATCAGCGGAATAGCTTCTGGTACTTTGGTCGTGGCTGAAGGAGCGTCAGATGCCACCGAAATAGTCTACGAGTTGATTCTCCGCAGAGATGACAGTGATTCTTTTGACGATACCTCAGTTGGCTCGACCCAGGAGGGCCAATTTGTCCTACAGACCCCGGTTTCAGGATCCTTCTGCATGCGGTACGATATGACTGTCTACATCCCTCGCAACCTGAAGAAACTCCAGCTTGCATCTCGCTCCACCACCCAACTCAAATTCGCTACAGAAGGAAACGTCGTGCTCGACGACATGTCTGTAACCCTCTATGCTTCGAACGATAATCTCAACCTGCTCCTTCCCAACACAAATATCCAGGCTACGCGGATGTCCCTTGAGGTCTGGCGCGGTTGGGTCGTTGGAGATATCTCGATTGTCAACTCTACCACCATTCAGACTAGGAATGGCGATGGTGTGACCAACGTCCATGTACACCCGGATCCTCAATCGTCCGATGTCGCTTACTTGGAAACCATCTCCGGTGCGGGTCGTACGGACGTATTCTACGAGAGCGATCCTAGTCGCTTGCATCGCGTTATTTCAAGCACACACACGTGCGAACGGAAAGGCGACATGTACCTCACATACAAAGAAGCGGAATTCAACGGCCAAATCGATCTCAAGTCACAATCCTTCACTGGTCATGGGGTCCAGGGTATGATTTCTGCAGCACCTGGCCGCCCGAATAGCGAACTGCCTTGGGTTGGCAATAAAGATGGTGGAGATAGCTTGAAGATCAGGTCTCCGCAGGGATGGGTGGGACTTTACTTCTGAACGTATCTAGGACCTTCTGCTTCAACCACTCTCAATTCATGTCCGCGGGTTCTCGAGCGATCTGTGTGTTATAGGGCATTTGGAAATCAATGACAGAAAGAAAATCATGGACAAGCAAAATGAGCTGATTTCAGCTACGTGTAATGGGATGACACGTTGTGGTCCTATTTATGAACCTATATCGATGTTATCTGTAGATTGTATGGTACCACTTCAGTCGATCCAGACCTTCCCCATTGCTTGTTCAGTGCTGATATGTCAGATCTTGACAATGCATGATCATATCTATAAACAAAGTTGAGTTCGATATTTTGAAAGTTCGCGCTCGATCAAGTCTTCTTGTAAGACGTAACGCCACCTCGAACGAACGATAACGACACCGTCGATCGGAAGCTAATTGATATGAGCAAGACAGCCTATCTTATCTTGGCGCGGGTGCTTGTATCCCTGATAAGTCGACTTGTATATCACTTCATTGCCAGGTATAGACACTCGAAGCTGGCACGAACAGGTGTGAACACGTTCCATCATGCACATTCTTTTACTTGATGAGCGCCGCTCGGGATTCCAGCTATCCATCGATTCCATGCACCTGTTCTTAGCCATGCTATAATAACATGCCCTTCATCACGCAGAGTGTTCGTGAATGCCATGGAGCTTCTAAAGGTCCATATACCGAGCGCACTGCATCTTCTGCAACTTGGGTATCATAGTGACCGTATGTCGGACTCCGAGGTCTTATAACATTTACGTAAGCCAGCTTTCGAGTCACAACAAGAGCGGGAGTGGGATGGAATATTTATTGTGATGCACTTTTGGTAGTCTCTGTGATACACCTTAGCCACAGTCGTAGCTTGACAAGGGGAAAAAAAAACGACATACCCATTGATCCCAAAATGAATATCTCCCTGTCACTTTTCCCGGTGGACGTGAGTTCACCAGAGGAATTCCCAGCACTCGTTCATCTCTTGTCGGCACACACGCCATATTCCCTGACCGTGCTCGGAAGTGTTCTGAATTCAGTCAATTCGCACCCTCGCAGCAGCACCATAAGCGCTGTGGACCCTTCCAAGGTGCTAGCATGGACGTCCCAACCCTTGACCAGCATCTCGCCATCGGACCTCTATTCCGTACTGGTATTCAATCCCATCAGTCATCAGTTTCGTTATTTCTGTTCAGCAGAATCGTCCCCCAGTTCTCCGACAGAGGGAGAAGAGACGCATGTGTTGAACGTGATCCGATCAGTCTTGCAGCTCTCCCTCGTGGAGGCCCCAAAATACTATTCAGACCTGCAGCCATCGAAGACGACTACAATGGCAGCTCCGACAGAGAGGAACGAGGATGAGCCTGGCATGGCTCTGATAGGTGCTGTACATGAGAAATGGGCGTCGTGCTTGCGTCCTCTCTCAGCCAGCCAAAACCCGTGCATGCGATACATTTTACCGCCTATACTTGCAAATGAAGAGTCGAGCGATTCATCTTCTGACTGGCTCATTTCCCAACTCCAAGAATCCGATATCGAAACTGTGCGCGGGACCTCGCACATTCCACGCTCGAAGGAGTATCTGCTGTCACGTTCTCCCTGCTCCGTGTGCATCAGGGATCAACCTAGTGAAGGAAACAGTAGTGGAACGCCAGTTGCGTGGGTACTGATGCATGCGGATGGAAGTATCGGAACTCTCTACGTAGATTCCAAATTCAGAAGAAGAGGTCTGGCACAGTTAGCGATGAGAGAGCTTGTGAAGAAATTAGACTTCAGGAAAGGGGGATTCCTCATTTCAGAGAACGACGATCTTGGTGGGGGAGCGCTGGGGTGGAACTGGACGGATACTGACGTGTATAATGGTCAGGGAAGAGGGTTTTTCGATTCCTTCGATGGTTGGCAATACGGCTGGACAGGTCATTGGACATACCTTAATGCTCTATCTCACGAAACGACTTGATTAGCCCTAGATATCCCAAACGGGTTTAGGGCTAGCACCGAAACTACAATCACTTTCCTCGTTGTTGTCTCTCAAAGCACACTAACTCCAGGGCATTTAAGTGATATGTTCATGCAGGGACCCAAGATCAGTCAAGTTTCGGTGGCGTGGCTTGAAACTATGCATCGTGCCTTCACGTCCAAACTCATGGGCAACTCTTCCCTCTTGCATATATCGAAGAATACCGGTCACAGTATTTCATAGCTGATGCATGTATTCACTGTTACCATCTGACCGTAAAGCTTTCCCTTTTTCAAGCTTCAAGGTTATTTATCACCGTAAAACGTGGAAGAAAAACGCACTGCATACCTACCAAATAGTTGCTGATAGTCATCGATTAACTGAAAGTGCTTAATGGAGGTCAGATTGAACGAGTGGATGTAGCACAGCACAGCATGGTCTGCAATAGAAATTCAACACGTGAATGATCTAACTTCATTATGCAGCGCCGAGATGCAACATAACCTTGGCATAAGTAAAGACGTGAACAATCGTACCGCATTACATGCCATAATTATATGATTCGCATTATCGTTGAATAGAGGATTTGAAAATTCCTTCCTTGTCCACATACTGCTAGCGTCGAATTAACATCGGGTAAAACCAATCCTGCTAAAGAATGTCCTTGCGTTTCGGTCATGTGAGTGTCCGTCTATGGAAGTATACAGGTACAAATGGGTCTGCGGAAGAAATAGGCGGCGGGGGAGGTGGGGGTGGAGAAGATCCTCTGCGAGGTTTGAAAATCAACACGATGATCAAACCGAATATGATCAAGAGCAGGAGAAATATACACTTCCGTCGACCTGTATTCTTTTGGTACCTGTATTCCGATGACAGGGGGGAACGCTAGTAAGAAATTGCTTTCGAGTCACATCTACACATTCACCGTACCGTGTTGCAACATCCAACTCTTTAACGGCCTCAGCGACCTGCACCGAGGTCTGTTCAACGTTGTACTCCACACTATCAAGAAGGGTGCCTTGATCAATGACCAGAACTGATAAATCTTTAAAAAGCTCCGCCAGAGAAGCTATCGAATTGGCAATTTCCGTGAGTTCGCGATCACGCAGCCGGATATCGTCAGCCAATCTGTTGTCCAGCACTTGAGCCTGACTTTGGTACTACAAATTTGAGTAAAAAGGGGAAACTGATGAGCCGAGATTGTGGATGAAGATGGTATAACTTACAGCGGCTTCCACATCTTCGTCAACTGCGGTCATGCCTTCTAAACCACGGGAAGTGATTGTTCCTGATGCAATAAGCAGATCTTGATTTTTGATCGCATGCCCTTGCAAATCTAAAACAAACCGAGGATAAGGATGTCAAAACCGTTTAGTCCAGCTGAGTTAGAGAAGCCCGATGGAGTGGGCACGTACTTTCCATGTAAACACGTTGCTTCTTTCGAAATGTCGAACTCAAAGCCTGCACTCTTGCAGCAAGACCTCGTTGCACATTTTTTGCGGCTAGAAGCTCGTGTTGATTGCTTGGGACGGCGTGAGAGGATGGAGGGAAAGTGTGAGTCTGTCCTGGGCCTATCCGTTGAATGAAAGTATGACACCGGCGAAAATCCTAATCATGAAAGGTAAAATGGGAACCAGAAGTAAGAATGGGTCAAGCAGGCAGGTTGATGAATTTACTTTGGTAATGTCGGTCGTTGCCGTCTCTATCTCCTTCTCCTCAGCACTCCGGTCCGCAAAACCGGGTAGTACATGTCGTGCATGGAGCTTGTCGAGCGCGGTTACTAGAGGTAAGTGACCAGAACATCAACTCGGGTAGAAAGGACCAGGACGTGTGAGACATACTCTTAACTTGAGTGCTGGCTAGAATCTCCTCGACCTGTTCGGATATATCAACCCTGCATAGACACGAGACAGGAATTAAAGATGTCAGAGAATCCAAGAAGCGCATCAAAAACACGTTTAGATCCCACCATTTTGGAGGCAAGTCTGCGTCAATTGCAACGTGTCTTGAGTTGGCGTTTATAAGGCCTTCGCTTTCGTCTGTGCCGGTATACGGATCATCGTAAGAGAGCTGGGGGCGAGAGAAGTGGGATGAGCGTGCTCGTGAGTCTCTATATGAGATGAAAAGAAGTGTCCTTGAGCGCGTCGTGGGGGACGGTGAGGAGGACGAGGACGAGGGTGCGGTCGACATTCAAGCTACATGGACTGTGGCGTGACGCTGTGTGTCGTTGTTTGCAGGAAGTTTCATTGTAGCAAACAGAGACAAAGCGGTCCGGCAGATGTCGGCATGCCGTGACTGCATTCCCGTGTGCTGTTCTTCCGTCAAGGTTTTATTGTCCACGGCCTTTTTGCAGTGCATCTGGAGGTATTTCTGTGAGCGCGGAGGTGCGGTGATGGTGGATGTGGAGACTAGCCGAGAATTCAGTTGCTGGGGGATGTGTGGATAGCCAATCCCGGGTGATCGGAGCTTTGGATCCGTGCGCTGCAGACGGTGTTGTCTCGTTCCTGTGACCCCGCATTTCTACTAAAATACCACTTAGACACGTCCGTTTCCGAACATACTACACCGAATCCCTATACTGTCTCTCTTTCCCGCTTCTGTCCTGTCACATCGTGTCTGATCTCTCTTCATGGTCTTGTGACTCTCCTCCAGTCTTTGCCCATCAATTAACCTCTACAAATCCTTCTCTTATTTACTCTATATCCGGTCCCTCATCTAATTTTCACTATAAAACCCCCTCCCTCCTTGACACCAACACATTCCCCCCACTTTACTTTCCTCGCCGTCCTTTCTTTCTCTCTCCCCGCATTTACATTCCCACATCTTCACCGTCGGTATCTTCATTGTCTTACCCTCTTCCGGCCTTCCAAAAGTAATCACTGTCCCCCTTTCCGCCAGCCTATAGCTGTCCGCCACACACATATTTTGGGATGTGCAACCTAGAAACGTCAGTTCCTATTGGCCGTTCCTATTCTGGTCGCTGCTGACTGTGCACGTTTTTTCACAGCGAAGGAACAAAATATGGCTGCGGGGTAAGTGACTTCTCCTGTGATCTTCGAATCCCCACTCACAACCCCGCGCCTCTCCAGCATTACAAAGTGGTGTGTATTCACTCCAACTCAATATATTATTCACCCTTTTGACCACCGTATAAGACGAAGAAAGTGAGGAAGCTAGACTGCATGAGTCCTTACTGCATCCATTCGTCTCGGCACCCAAGTTATTGTCCAGACTGCCACTGTGACCGAGTAAGCACCTTCGTATACCGTTCTCGCCAGCACTCAATTCGCAATTTCCTTAGTTTTTCGGTCCGGATGCAAAAGAGACGATCACTCTCACTACCAAAGAATACTGCACATCTTGTCAGTACTGGTTCAAAGGCGGCGCGCAACAACGTCGATAGCGTTGGCGCCATTACTCTCCCCGGCTAAGAGTCTGCTCCCCTATTCCACGTGTATTTAATCTCTACAGTCCTCGTCTTCACTATCATACAGCTGCTATTCTTGCATGTCGCTCTGCCATATTTTTTGCTCTGTGTATTATAATTCATAGTTTTGTCTCTCATCACAGACCTATGTCACCCATATCATGATGATCCATATGCATGTTAATTAACCTATTAATATTCACGTTGCATGCCCCAAATCGTGTGTTTTCTTATCATTTGCCTCGTTCACATCACGAGGGACGAAGATGAACAACACATGTTCGTCGCTGGGTGAATGCCCCAGCGGGTGTGATTCAACCCCGCTATGTTTTTCCTGACGTTCCTCGAGACAAATTCCGTTTCAATCAGAAAAGACCGGGAGCAGTAAAGAACGATGACGTCTGTGAAACGCCGACAGGCCCCACACCTACTGAGGTCGCACCACAGTTGCTCATCTTAGCATTCACTTTCTGTTCCTCCTAGCCCGAAAGACCGGATATTGTCGATGCAGTGGGCTGAGACAAAATCGAGGGTACCACTACGTTGCAGCCACCATTTGGCCTGGTATGAATGCTCGTTTGTTATTATAGTTTTGGACATCCAGCGTGGTTCAGCTCCACTCATTTGCAAAATATACGAGCTGCAGCTTGAACTCAACCTCGTCATATTCTCCCCAACGTACCATGCGTATCTAGTGTAAGTCATATGCAATTTCTGGTGAGTAATCTAAGGAAGTAACCGTTTGGTAAGTACACTACTGTCATCTAAAGTGCATGTCCCTTGAAAACACCGATTGTAATATGCTAAACGGATGAAATATCACCATTTGACGGCCAACCCTACTACCTCGCTCTCTACTGCCCGATATTCGGTTCTAAAAAAATGTCTACGCCTTGATTCAGCCTCCACGTCCATAGGAACTGCCCACTCTGATGGTATCCCAGTGACTCGAGGGGCACACAGATCCATTTTTACTTGAGCGGCTAGGCGATCCGCACGAGCTATCGATGTCTTCGGATTTGAGGAACCTTGCGGACCTGGCGATGGAGGTGGCGTAGGTAAATCGTGCCAGTATGACTTCTCCACCACTTTCGTCCACTCCTTACTGCCCCACTTTGGTCCTTGCAACATCGTGGCCGTCGGATCGTCTCCAGACTCGGCTCCAGGTAACTGCACACCGTTCTCCCCCCAGTTTCTAGGGTAACCTTCTTCGTCTTGCGTTTTTGTTGAGGCGAGTGCGATGGGCTTGAGTTGCCCACCTCCATTGACGCACCCTCCAGGACATGCCATCACCTCCACATAGTCGTATCCTCTGTCTGCTTCGCCATCGGCGTTCTTCTTCAGCCTAGCGCGGATGCCCCCTGCCATGCGTCCTGCGGCACCTTTCCCAACCTGTACGCCAGCCTCACGGCCCACTTTACGGACGACATTCTGGAGGTTCCGGAATCCATAACATTTGGCGCCTTTAAATACGACCTCGCCCGTCTCCTGATTTCGTAGTGTATATTCCTCATAGTCTGAGGTTCGCACGGTCTTGAAAGAAAGGCTGGTAGGTCCATCGGAAACACGACTCATCGCTGATATCAACGAGTGTAAGTATGATCCGGAACTCGTTCCAGGGTGAGACAGGAGTTCCGGAAGGAACTGCTCCTCATGGCTTGGAGAGCTAGGGGTAAAAGGCGGCGCATCCTCGCTGTCTACAGGAACGGATAAATCCCAGCCCTTTTCTCGCATCATGAGTTCAAGTTCTCCCGTTGTGATGACACAATCAACGTCCCTTGTCGAATACATTTCATTATAGAAATCCTGGCGCGAGGCCTCCAGCTTCTTGTCATAACAAGGCATAACAGAGACATGATAAATCTCATCAGGCCTTCAGAGGTAATGGTTGAGTAAACGAAGAACCATTTTGTTATGCGATTTGATCCGTGTGACGTACCGTTTCCCCCATTGGTTCCCTATCCAAGACTTGACCAATGTGCCCATGATCTGTTGGGGACTCTTGGTACGAGCAATAAACGGCAACATCTCGGAATGCGCTTTCTCAGCATAACAGATCCACCCGGGACATGCACTCGCAAGCATAGGGAGCTTCCCTTCACCTCGTTTCCTCTCTAAGAACTCTTGCGTGTGTTCGAGCAAAGCAACATGTCTTGCAAATGTGGTGTCATATACATGCTCAAAACCCAGAACCTGCTTACAAAACACTTGTACGCGGCGTAGAATTTGCTGTAGATTCACTGGCGAACTGGAGGTGGAAGAGACGGACGCCAAGAGTGATGCTAGGCTTTGCGGTGCGATCGAAAGCACGGGGACCTTGTGCGAAGGCGAAGAAGAGGGGGGATTCACTTCTAGGAAGTTCAGAACCTCCGTATGTGACTGCATTGTGATCAGAACAGATTCGGCCGACGTTATGCACCCACTTTCGGATCCAGTCAGGAAAAAGTTGACAATCGATGAGTAGTATAGTACGACGAACCTACATGCAAGACAATCGTTAAGACTGATTTGAGCTTGTTGTAGCTTTTTCTGCGTATTCTGAGGTGCCAAGTTCTGTGATATTTCATGTGTAGAGACTTCGTAGTACGACCCCGTGGAATCAATCTTGATTTCAGTCTGAAGATGTGGATGAGCTATTGCCTACAGCTATTTTAAACGAACGCACAGATGCTGCTCCTGGCTCTTCAACCTCTTCTGGAACGTTCACTTGTTCCACTGGCTTGATGCAGGCTTGAGACGGGGTAATGAAATCGTTCAGATCGGTGAGCGTCTACAGAAGTATACCCATAAGCACAATATATTGTGAACTCCTCGCTTAGGCTTACGAGTGCACCAGAAAATGCCATTCTGATACGCCTGGCTCTGAAACTTGCTGAATTGCAAGTGGTGGATCGTAATGAAGTAAGTGGACTCTGGTATTCGGAGGTCTGCTCGGAAGTGACAAAGATGATTTAGATTGGACCTGACAAATCGTTCCCGGCATTTCGGGCCGTATGCCATAGCAGTCTCCCGTACACGTCCAATACTATCGTTGGACAATAGGTGCAATTGGTCCGGGGAGAAGTTGAATAACTCACCAGTCGTTGAGCTTTAGACTGTCGGAACTTGACCAGTAGATATAATTTTTAGTTTTCTAGCTGCCTATGTAGAAAAATAAGCAAGAACTTGAAGCATTGGAGCAGCGGAACAAAACCGGAAAGACGACACATGTTTTGGAATGGTTCTGCAATTTCTGGTCACACTGGGTCACAGCGGCACTCACAGACCAAATCAGGCGGAGCTTACAAGTCAAATTCCGCCAGGTCACACCAAGTCCTGACGCTGGTGGTATGTGCGGTACGTACCGAAGCGGAGCTAGCGGTCCTTGATTGATTACCTTGGTGTGTGATTGCCTGTTTCGGTCGCCTAGTCACGACTCCATCATTGTTTTCGTTTCTCCAGACGCTTTGAGGCCTTGATCAGCTCAGTAAGTATCTGGCATTGTAGGGGCCTACCTATTGACGTTTTCTAGAAAGATATTGCAATATTCCCAGCACGAGATCTGGTCAAATCTGGCCATCTTTCCCTCAAAATTCACACTTCTGGAGTTCAAGAGCATAGTGTCAGGTCTGTCGTTGTTGCTACAGATAAGCTATTCACTAAATTCTTTCACAATTATATTCTCTATACTATATTCTACATCTGATAATTTTCTAGCTACCTGTACAGTGATCGTTGAGCCTCTGGAGGCCCAAGTGCATATCTCTTACTGGTTGCATCCGGTGTCCAACAATAGTAATGGAATATACTAGAAAAATATAATGCCGAAAGGATATTAGTGACACATTATTGAGTTGCGCCTAACCTAGGTAGGACATGCGTACAATAAAAAGCTGTTTTTATATGATCGAGGTCAGTCCAAGGATACCGGGATGAGGTTTTACGTAGTTATTTGAGGTACAGTGTTCAGGTATCGTAGGGATGTAGTAAGGATGTTCAACAGATATATGCTACTAGACACATAGGCGCTCTCGTAGCTAGATGTAGGACAGACATATGAGACCACACATCTGCCCTATAAGCGTGTAATATCGTCTAGACACCCAGTCGATAAATCTGATTATAATCTAATATCTGTTCTCACTATCTCAAATCCTTGCGTCTGAATGTAAGAACGAGCGAGTAACACAGCTTATTGTCCACCAAAATACAATACATAAATTTGTAGTGATAAACAACATATTTATGTGCAAGTGTGATCCATTAAATAAAGGCGCAGATGTGAGGCAACGCTAAACTATAACAAAAACTAAACCTATCTCCTTCTGCACTTGCAGGGAGTAAGGGTCCAATGAGCTTGAGGTCGACAGACGCTATCAAATATAGCGAGTAGAGGACTTTTGGAGAGGTAAGCTTCAAAGGTTCTTGTTGAGGAGTAAAGCGGGTAAATTCAGTAATAGAAAGCTAAGGAGCTATACATGAATAGGTACGTCTTTATATAGGGAACTGTCCGTTCCTCAGACCGAAAGGAGAATATACGAAAAGTGGTCTGAGGAATTAATCAACCAATAAGAAAAAGGGAGAGTAACTATCGTACGACTTCTGGCTTGATTAATCAGCAGGTGAGAGACTTGTACTAATAATAGGAGATTGTCACGCGTGGTCAGGAACCGTATCCTCATGATGAGGTACGATTCTAGATAAGGCGTTATTAGTATCACCAGGCTTTACTGGGGCTTGGAGCTGGTTGGCGAGATGCCTACTACCAGTCCCTACCCAGTGTGCTGGCTAGCTGGGAGCGATGCCCAGTCTCTGATCTGTGATATAAAGTGGTAGCGATGGTTAAGAAAGCCTGTGAGGGCTATGAGAAGTAAGGTGGCAAAGGATACCTCTAGCCCTAGAGCCAGAGGTGTAACGGGAAAAGTGTTCGAGAGCCAAGACATAATGAGGATAAGAAGAAAATAATAAAACGGTCCTTACAGCAGAGCTCAAATACATATTTTAAGTCAAAGATACAACAGCGTGAGGGAAAAATAGACCTGCATGTGTGAGGAATCGATTTTTCTTATCGCATTCCCAAAGCTATATAAGAATATATATGGTTTAAATAAAAAGAGGGAAATGCTCACATCACCAGAATGCAGTGACTGCTCTGACCTAGAATAATTCCAGGAGACCGCTTGAACAACTGGGGTTGCAAGTGATTTGTATTCTTCTGCTAGAGTTACAGAAAGTTGAATGGCCTATAAGATAATGCACAGGATTAATCAACAAAAAGGCAATGAAGGGAAGTCTAGATACTTACAATGCCACCATCAACAAGATGCCTTGGTAGAACACCCGGTGTCGATGATGAGAACTGTTGTTAGAAAACCACACACAAAGACAAACTAACAAACAATCCTCCCAGATTCCACGGAACTTGTTTATGGGCTTTGCCTCCTAGAACAGTGGAGTGGTCTGGTTGTTCGTGGGGTGGTACGTATAAAGATCCTTCAAAGTAAAACCCAGAGGTGTATGAGTGTGGGTTTTGAGGAGGAGGGATAGTTGAATTTATAGAAAGATAGGGGCTTTGTGGCGAGTATAGACGAGCACTACCTTGCTAATTGTAGCACAAGGTAGGTTTGAGAACAACAAGGATGACGAGGTGACGAGGTTCCCAGTGATAGCAGGCTCCTGACGCACAAATTGTAGTGCTCAGAAGGACTCTAATCAAAGGGGATGACAATCACTTTTCAAAAGTGACGAGTGACGATGATAGCAGTTAACAGTGGTAGAAGTGGTAAGTGTTGTGACCACACTGGATCACAAGTAGCAGAGTAGTGAACTTGAGAGTAGAGAAGAAGTCTGGATTGGAGTTCTTGTTTTTTTACAAGGTAAAATACAGGGGTTTATATAGTGAAAGAAAAGTAGGCTATGCACAGTATAGCTGTGCAAAAAGAATGAGAAAGAACATGAAGGAAGGAATGTATGCTGACGAATCCTGCGTAGGTAGTACAGGATAAGATTGTCAAAAAAAGGAAAAGAAAGAGATAGAACAATGAATGCTGTGAGTAATGTCACAGGTTTGTACAGCCATAAAGTAAAGTCCAATAGCAAAAAGAGAGCAGGAAAATCATGATGTCATGGGAAGATGCAGTAAATAAAGGGCAAGGCAAAACACTATCAGTATTAACACAGTTCCTTTATTGTCAGTCAGGCATTCTAAAAAATATGTGTCTATAAAAATGATTCAAAAATCAAAAATAATTGCACTGTAAATGAATGTTCTGCTGAAGAAAAAGAAACTGGAGCCACTGGTCCACCACCTAGTCCAAATCCGACAGTTCCATGGCCTTACCAATGGACTGGTTGTGTTGGACCACCTGATCAAACGAGGGAGGGAGAGGAGTAGTTCCAATTTGGAACAAGTGAGTCCCAGGCAGCGTGTGGTAGGTGTAGCTGTAGCGAAGACGATGGACAAAAGATAAGTGTACCCAAGTGAATGGGACAGCGATGAACATGGGCGACGCAAGGGGATGAACCTTCTCCAGCTCAAAAACTACCCACCCACGCTCCAACCAGGCAAGACGAGCGACCGATGTTTTGATAGTATATGATGGCAGATCGACGTCATGAAGATGGACCTGTTGCCCTATTTGAACCGGCCGCCAGGGCTTTGCTGATATTAGCAGTGGCACGTGGTAGTCAACGGATCGGCGACGGAAGCGGATAGGAAGTGGTGACATCAGAAATGGTGGGGGTGCAAATAAGATGAGGAGGAGGAGGGTGGAGGTGACGGAAAAGTGGATTAGAATGGGGATCCAGAAACGACCGTCAGGTGAGAATAAAAAGGAGAGGAAGGGGCCCATGGTGGGGCTAGGCAAAGGAAGGGGAGTAAGGGAAATGACAAAAGCGAGGGCGCAATGCAATGTGTAGCCAGTGGCGACGCGAAAATTTGCCGAAATGCCGAAACACGGAAAGTACCGGATGGAAAAGCAAAGGTGAGCGTGACTGGATTGCCTAATAGAGGTGGTGCTGATCAGCCACAAGTTCGAAAAGGGCAATATTAATTACTATTCCATGTGGCACTGTGCCTGTGTGGCGCAAAGGCGAGTCTTTTTGAATATTCGCTTCGTTATTGACACCTGTCCATGCTACCAATCAACTTTGGTGCATGACAGCGCACTGAGCAGTGATATTAAGGAAGTCATTGATAGTCCGCATTAACTTGGCTAAATACACCTCAGTATTGTCAATTTCTGTGTGCCAGAGGAGGACCACAAGTTCTCCGATTAATGTCCAGGCATCAAGAACACTCTGTGGGACCAGATTGTGAATGAGAAATGGCATAACCTGTGCTAGACTTTTGAAATGCTTGCCTATTAACCCGCCATTATACTAACAGATGTAGTCAGCACTCATGGATGGCACATTCAAACCTTCTTTGTCAAAAGAGTCAAGACGGCGGTGGAATGTATCAAGTGTTTTTGCTTTGTCGAGTAAGAAAATTGTCTGGCCCCAGAAGTATTTGACAACGCCCAGTAGCACTGTATGGAGGATCTCTGTCGGAGTATCCAGGTGGATATTCAAATCTACAAAAAATAAGCATTCATAAGCATTCATATTAAGATACAACCTACTATCCATTCCTAAAAGTGGGTTGATAATGGCCCCAAAATCAGCGCCAGGTAGCATTTCCCCAAGTAGTTTTTCCTGTGCAGCCCGTATGTCAGACTCAGACATTGCAGAACTACCTGGGGGATGTTTGCAGAGCTTCTTTCCTAGTTCAACCAATGTATCGATGATTTTCACCGTGGTCTTGTCGCTTATACCAGTAGATGCTGTTGCGGCCTTGATCTTCTCTGTAGCACCTGGCTTGAATGCCAGTTCAAATTGTTTGCTGATTTCTGCAGCCGTATGCTCAGGAGTGCGTGCTTCTCCTGACTGTAGTGCCGATTAGCAATCATAAATTGATGATGAGACCACTTACCACAAAAATGCTATTATATCCTACTTCAGATTCTTTATACTCTTTTGTCCTGCCAACATGACATGTTCTTCAAAAGTAATTACAGCAGAGTCCTGCATGGCTACATTCCTCTGCTTGCATGGGATTGTCACCTGCAATAAAGAGTTTATTGGGTATAAGTAGCACTTCTTTGTCAGTTTTACAGTCCCAGGCAGCAATGCCAGTTTTTGCAGCTTGGCTATTGAATTTTTGTTTGAGACAGGAAACTTGAGAGTAAAACTTGACGGGACTCACACAATTGATTGTTTCATGGCTCGCATCAGTTCCATGGGTGCTGCATGTGGGGAAGAGGCCACTGTTTTGAGATGTTCCCTGATACATCGTCCATGAATACAATGAGAGGTACCATATATACCATGCGGTCATCTGCTTTCTTGCAAAGTGGATGCGGAGCAAGTGTTGCATATTTTTTAGAGGACTCTGCCACGGGATTAGTCTACTAGTGTTAATATGCTTGTGTTCATCACACACCTGTAAGTCCACAGTCCAGTTCACCTGGGTACGGAGATATATCTTGGAATGAACGATAAAATGTTGATACAGGAACAATTTCTTATTCATCATTTACGATAAAGCCAGCCTCTGTTTTTTCAACCGCACGTCCGAGTGCATAGAGTTCTTTAGCCTTGGCAGGATTGTGTTTTAGTCCATCCTTTGCTAAAGAATAGGACCCCATAAAAAAGTGCTGTGGGATGTAATAGTGACCTGAAGACAGCTGTAAAATCTCATTCATAAAGTATACATTGTCTCCTACACGAGCTGCTGGTGGTGAGCGACCCTCTTTCAAAGACTTATCACCATGCCATGTTTCTGACATTCCCTCGCCAGCATCTTCAGGAAAATCTTGCATCCAATAACAAATGAGGGGATTGGAATAATCCTAGAGCAAAAATAAGACAGATAAACAGATTAGAATTAAAACCAGACTAACCTTCGCAATAGCGCTGCCTATATTATTTATGTAGAACACATCACCTGAAATTGACGTTGTTTTTTCGGTTGGATTTCCAACCAACTCGCATACACACTCCCTAGTAGTCTTGACTGCATTCATAACAGGTACATCTTGAGCTCCTAGCTTCTTGGCCCGCGAAAGAACTGCCGACTTCTGCTGTTCGGAAAACGGTACACGTGCTGACCCAAACAAAATAGCAGTGAGGAAATGCTTGATAGAGAGGGTTAATTAAGTTTTTGCAATGGTGGTGAAATAGTTCAACTTACAGCCTTTGATTGCCATGGATAGTACAATGAGCCTGTAGGTACTTTTGCGTTTAGCTGCAAATGACATTCATTGGACGTCTCAGCTGGAATACAACAGTTAGTAAGAGCAGTCTGAACAAAATACACACTCACTTGGCATTTCAATTCCGAAATCATCTTCAAAATGTTCTTGAAGGCCAATCTCATCAGCCAAGGGAGCAAGGTGTGGGGTGAAAAATGTCTCTCCTGCATTTATGGAGTCCTTTAACTGCTCAAATAGGTCCGTAGAGTGTGCTCCGCCAATTTGATAGGTACGGTGTCATGCACCAAAGTTGATTGGTAGCATGGACAGGTGTCAATAATGAAGCGATATTCAAAAGACTCACCTTTGCGCCACACAGGCACAGTGCCACGTGGAATAGTAATTAATATTGCCCTTTTCGAACTTGTGGCTGATCAGCACCACCTCTATTAGGCAATCCAGTCACGCTCACCTTTGCTTTTCCATCCGGTACTTTCCGTGTTTCGGCATTTCGGCAAATTTTCGCGTCGCCACTGGCTACACATTGCATTGCGCCCTCGCTTTTGTCATTTCCCTTACTCCCCTTCCTTTGCCTAGCCCCACCATGGGCCCCTTCCTCTCCTTTTTATTCTCACCTGACGGTCGTTTCTGGATCCCCATTCTAATCCACTTTTCCGTCACCTCCACCCTCCTCCTCCTCATCTTATTTGCACCCCCACCATTTCTGATGTCACCACTTCCTATCCGCTTCCGTCGCCGATCCGTTGACTACCACGTGCCACTGCTAATATCAGCAAAGCCCTGGCGGCCGGTTCAAATAGGGCAACAGGTCCATCTTCATGACGTCGATCTGCCATCATATACTATCAAAACATCGGTCGCTCGTCTTGCCTGGTTGGAGCGTGGGTGGGTAGTTTTTGAGCTGGAGAAGGTTCATCCCCTTGCGTCGCCCATGTTCATCGCTGTCCCATTCACTTGGGTACACTTATCTTTTGTCCATCGTCTTCGCTACAGCTACACCTACCACACGCTGCCTGGGACTCACTTGTTCCAAATTGGAACTACTCCTCTCCCTCCCTCGTTTGATCAGGTGGTCCAACACAACCAGTCCATTGGTAAGGCCATGGAACTGTCGGATTTGGACTAGGTGGTGGACCAGTGGCTCCAGTTTCTTTTTCTTCAGCAGAACATTCATTTACAGTGCAATTATTTTTGATTTTTGAATCATTTTTATAGACACATATTTTTTAGAATGCCTGACTGACAATAAAGGAACTGTGTTAATACTGATAGTGTTTTGCCTTGCCCTTTATTTACTGCATCTTCCCATGACATCATGATTTTCCTGCTCTCTTTTTGCTATTGGACTTTACTTTATGGCTGTACAAACCTGTGACATTACTCACAGCATTCATTGTTCTATCTCTTTCTTTTCCTTTTTTTGACAATCTTATCCTGTACTACCTACGCAGGATTCGTCAGCATACATTCCTTCCTTCATGTTCTTTCTCATTCTTTTTGCACAGCTATACTGTGCATAGCCTACTTTTCTTTCACTATATAAACCCCTGTATTTTACCTTGTAAAAACAACAAGAACTCCAATCCAGACTTCTTCTCTACTCTCAAGTTCACTACTCTCTGCTACTTGTGATCCAGTGTGGTCACAACACTTCCCACTGCTACCACTGTTAATTGCTGTCACGTCACTTCCCACATTTGAAGTCATTGTTATCCCTTTCAATTAGAGTCCTTCTGAGCACTACAGTTTGTGCGTCAGGAGCCTGCTATCACTGGGAACCTCGTCACCTCGTCATCCTTGTTGTTCTCAAACCTACCTTGTGCTACAATTAGCAAGGTAGTGCTCATATATACTCATCACTAAGCACCTATCTTCTACCAATTCAACTATCCCTCCTCCTTAAAACCCACACTCATACATCTCTGGGTTTTACTTTGAAGGATCTTCATACATACCACCCCACGAACAACCAGAGCACCCACTGTTCTAGGAGGCAAAGCCCATAAACAAGTTCCGTGGAATCTGGGAGGATTGTTTGTTAGTTTGTTTTTGTGTGTGGTTTTCTAACAGCAGTTCTCATCATCGACAGTGTCATACCAACCCTTGTCTTGGCCCTCATCTTTTCCAGAACTGATTCAAAATCAGGATTATGCATCTTATCTATCTCAGTATTCACCTGTGCATGGTCATCCTCTATAACTCAGTACTGCTAACTACAACTCTTCTGAAGGGTTCACTTCTCATGTGCCGATTTCTGGAGTGTGTGCCGAATTTCGGAGTATTAAATATGATTTGTATCAGGTACCCTGCTGCTTTTTCACTGCCTTTTGTTCGACTTTTCATCTTTTCATCTGTTTATCTGACACTCACCAAAAAGAGATGCTGAAACAGAGCTCAGAAAATCCTATATCAAAGAACCCAATGAGCTCCAACTCCAAAGGCAAAGGTCGAGTATTACCTGCACCAAATGCTAGAAGCAGGCCTCCAAACACCATTTGTGAAAAGTTGGACCAAGTTATAAGTGCTAACTTGTCCGTCCACAGGAGGACACCTTCCAATGGCCCCTCAGAAACAACCTCATTGAGATTACATGCCAATGTACCCCAACTTACAAGCTCTTCTAGTCGCTCTTCGACCACTGGTGTTTTACCCCAGCCCCTGCAACAAACATGTTTCAGCCACTATTCAACCACCGGTGTTTCACCTCAGCCTCTGCAACAAACAAGTTCCAGTCATTCTTCAACAACCGGTATTCACAAAGAAAGGGATCAGGACGATGAGTGCACATCCATGCAGCTGACTCCCCACCACGCAAAGCGGCTCAAGTTGGTTGCCAAAAAACTTGCGGCAGAGTATGGCGTTGCAGAGAAAAAAACTTTGCGATTTTATAGAGGTATTTTTTTTAAATATTTTTAAAGCTTACTTTATGCTGATGGATTGCATTGTAGTCCGGTGATTTGTTTGTCATGCTTCTCGATCTCAAAGCAAATCACCTCCAGAAGGACAGTGTGATGGCGGAGTCAAAAGTTGACGAAATGGAAAAGCAGCTTGGATCGAAAGACTGTGAAGTAAGAACAAGCCTGATTTGTTGGCAAAAAGGTCTGACTTACCATGTGAAGATCATCATGAAGATTCATCTAACCGGATGCATGCTTTCGCCCGACATCAAAGCCTACCTGTTTGAAACACAAGCACATATATTGGTAATGTCATTGCTTACTTTTATGTATGTTTCTGACTGTCAATTTCAGATGCTGATTGAAGACCAGTGTGATATTTTCAAACTGTCCCCCAAACTTTTCCAGGATTTACAATTACGGAGAAAGTTGGGTAAGATGGTTACTAGAATGCTTGCAACTATCTGTGGTATATTCAAAGCAGCGGTAAGTCACAATCTATGAATTAAACTGGGGAGCTGAGACCGTCAACAGTTAATCAAATCCCTTGTGCAAAAAACCAATGTTGTTGATGTGCTCAAATCACTGGTAAGCAACGGGATGGAGGTTGACTTGGCACATTGGACTCGCTTTGCTTTTCTGGTAAGGTATCTTTCATTTCTCCTATGCATATCATGTATTCACGGGTTGTTTAGCGCCGCTGCCTTCGAGTGTTTTTACTTGACACAAGTGACTACAACTGTATTTCCCCTGAGGAAATTTTCTCTCCCTCCCTTATTCCCGCTCTCCCTTGGGATGTTTGTCGCAAGGTCAAGAACGAGCTCAATCTTGACTTGAGTGCAATGTGACAAATTATGACATTTGTTTATAGTATGAGAAAACATGCATTGGCCAGGGCTTGAACCTGGGACTCCAGCTTTCATGGTCTGGTGCTTTACCAACTAAGCTACCAAGGTGTACTTGGAAAGCATACTGATTGGTTGCATGCCCAGAAGGTCCAGAATCACTGTACACGGGTGCGGATCCCATTGTGTTGTGATAAGCGGCTGAGGTATGTTACATTACATTTATTAGAGATCACCTTAAACTAACATCAATTGTAGTTTCACATAGGTAAATAATATAGTCGTTTCTATAGCCTCTTGGGCAGCGGCTGAGTTTCACATAGATTTATTAAGACAATGGTATGTATTAGATATAATCCTCATGTACTTCCTCCTACATAGTTTTGATGTTGCACTTGGATATATTTTTGATGTTGCACTGGATATATTGTTCTTGTCGCACTCAGATATAATTGCTATGCGCAAGGTCTACATAATTTTCATGTGGTGCTCAGATGTAATACAAGTGTGGCGTTCAGATATAAACTGAATATCTCGCAGTACATGACTATGATGTAGGTGCCAGAGCTAGTCCAGAGATTATGCAACGGACACATGATTGACATTCCGATCAGATCGTAGGTGGATCAGTGGTTTGTTTCATTTAGCAATGATCGGTGACATCGGATTTGCGAATATTGGAAACACGAGTCATAGGAATGCGGAAAGCAAGGGCCCGACATCGCATTAACATCAGTCGCATGATTTTGCTAATTTATATTGTGATGATATCTCACGTTATTGGACGTGTACTTAGTCCAGTCCAAAAAATTCGAAGGAAGGCAGTCATTCTTTCTCAACAATGGTCCTCATTATAATGTATGGTAGTAGAAATAGAGTACGAATTATAGTCCAAATAACAACATCAAACCCAATGCGAAAAACCATACAAACGTCCAACTACATCCTTCTACTAAATTATGTGACGCACCACTGACCTTTTGTCCTGTAAGATTTGATGGCGACGAGCTGCCCCACATTTGGAAATTGCGGAAATAGGTATGGGTTGTCTGTGGAGTTGCCCAGCTACTGTCACTGCCTGCGTGCGAGATCATCAAATAAGCCGGTAAATTAGCGGAAAGGAGTTCTCACCTCCAAAGAATGTCCTACCGAGCGAGTACGCTTCATAGTCAGATAGGGGAGATGGATATTATGGTACATGAACTTACGAGAAATAAAGGCCACCAATATTGATATCAGTGCTACCTCGGAGCTGTAAGCTTCCTTGAGATATACCCTGAACATCATTGAAACTGAATGATAGTTAGTGACGCGGCAAGGATCGGCAGAACTATGAAACTTACAAGAGCATGATGTTCCCATTCGCTACGTTTGGAGGGTTGTTGAGTTGGACAACAAGTGTTACCCGGCTCCATCTGCATCTGGTGAGTAATTGTTCCGGTATCCCACCTAGTCCACTCACTGTCCAGACACAAATCCAAAAGCACCGCGATCAATGCTGACACCGAAGTCCGAGTTGCAAGTGATGCTATCATCACCGCATATATTATTTGGTGTAAGCATGTATGTATAGACTGCGAGCTAGTTCATCAAGGTAACCCAAGACATTTGTTATAACGTTGCATACCTTCACCCGCTCCATTCTTTCTCCACATCAGTCGAGCGCTGAAGCAATCCGAACCATTCGGCTGATTGCCCCCTGAGCAATCAAAAACATCAGGACCCCCTCTAAGTCCTGGGAGTTTTCCGCCTTGCACCCAGTTAAAATTAGAGTCGAACGCGATTTCGTAAGATAGAATCATGCTGTCAAAAGTTGATCCATCACTGGTGTTCCAAAGGGAGTACCACTGAGCGCCTCCTGTGTTATGCGAATAACTTCCTTGAGGATATGTTATCTGGAGCACTGGGCCAGTCTCATTGCCCGTTGAACCAGGTACAGGTGAGTTGGGGAAGGGATCGCTAACAAAAGCAATGTCGTTTGCACCATCTTGGACATTCCCCTTGCTGAGAGACCACTGTGAAGTAACAAATGACAGAGCATCTGAAGCACTTTGTGTTGCTGTAGGGAATGACATGCTTGTGCTGGTTGTCATTGCATATTGTGTGGCCAGGGAAGCCGCTGGGGTCAACGCAGATGTCACAACAGGTAGAGATTTTAACCATAACAACCCGATTGACGCTATGATACTGGAAGGCAACATAGCAGCAAATGCGTAAAGGACAGTGCACTGTGCAATCGGGGACCCGCCCAATGTTTTTGAACTGGACTCCGAATCGCCAACGGTTGAGGCGGATAGAGAGATCGGACTTTAAATATTTGAATATCGACTGGGTCTAGAGCTACTAGTCTGCATCCTCACTTCACTCCTCTGTCATGGTCAGTGTGCTATACTATACAGTATATTTTGCACCAGCCCCACAAGTAATACCAATTATCAACAAAATTGGAGCTCGCCTCTCTGGATCATACTTGACGGGGAAGTTAGCTCAGCAAAGTCAGCGAAGGTCCATTTGCATTCCACAAGTCGTTCTTGGGACTTGGTTGGGTAACCCCTTCTGCTGTCTCCGTTGAATTTTATGCCTTATAGGTCTATAGCAGCAGGTGCATATGTTGCCGCCGATAAGATCGAAAACCGCGCCTGAGAGATAGCAGATGATCATATAATCTACGGACAGTGGGACCAAACTTCCGAAGGCGAGTTCCTCTAAACGTATGTTACGACGAGGCGTACAATTTGACGATAGGCAACCGTAGTTCTGAACACATCGCGCACTGGCCTACAATTTCCTCGAGACGGAAGCTCTTACTGCTGCTGATTATGCTTACGTTTGCAACAGGTATCAACGATACAAATGGAACTGTAGGTAGTAAAAATACCTGCTATACCTGTGGAAGCCTGTGGAGGCCGCTCTACACCACTTTGGTGGGGAAGATTTCGGTGTTGTATACGTATGAGTATATGCGGGGCTCTCGACGCGCTCTAATCACGTGATCGAAATCAACGCGAACGTGGCACGGGCGCTGCACACCTGTGAAACGCAGTTCAAACTTATACCTTTCACTTACACGGGCCTTTCTTCGTTCCTTATCTAAAACTAGTTTCTTCACCCCATGGTAAACATTGAAAATGTTCGGTAATAGCACTCGACCGAGGGAACGGGGCTTACCTGTGGATGGCGAGGTCAGACAGCCGCTATTAAGCGATTCACGAGAAGACCTGGCTGCGGAAGAGCCATCACATGTTCTGTTCTCAGTTCAAGACGACGATGACTCGGAGAATACAGAATCATACCACTCACCGATAGGAGGTCGGGCTGAGCATAGCGTTAGGTTCCAGGAGGAAGTTCAAGTGATTGGTCCTCCCTTGAGGTCGACTATGCAAAGTCGAGAAGCAGGTGAGTACTTTCTTTTCAAATACGAGCCTATTCATTAAAACATTACATATAATAAGAGTATGAGATGGACTCGGATGAGTTAGACGACAGGTCGCTCGCCGAGATAGAGCGAGAACAACGTAATGCTCGCTCTCGTTCAAGCCGGCGTCGTGAGCGAACTGTACCACTTTTGGTTGGATTAATGGACTCGTCGGCGGCCCGGCGAGATGCTCAGGACTCTATACCTCTGTACCATGGGAATGGTCAAGAGTCCAATCGCTACGAAAATATTGACCTGGATGAGTTGGCTGCCAAGCAAAAGGCTGGTGGTGGAATGATTGATTCTGTAGCGAATATGGCAAACTCTATATTGGGCGCAGGTGATGTCGCATAAAGTTCGAACATTATATTTCTGCTAATTCAGTTTACTTTGCAGGTATCATCGGCAAGTAGATCACCCATTTCAACTGTAGCTATCCTACTGACTTTCAGGTGCAGGTCTCCCATATGCAGTTAGCCAAGCAGGCTTCGTGCTAGGCATCATCCTACTAGTTGTATTATGTCTAATCACAGATTGGACAATACGCCTAGTTGTCATTAATGCCAAATTAAGTGGTAGAAACTCCTACATCGAGATTATGAACAGCTGTTTCGGCTCAAGTGGTCGAGCGGCTGTATCAGTCTTCCAGTTTTCATTTGCCTTTGGCGGTGAGTGTCACCCAAATGTTTAACTGTGTTCCTCGCTCACTATTTATTATCTAGGAATGTGTGCCTTCGGCATCATTATTGGTAAATACTAGTTGATAGAACCAGCCAACTTTTTCTTACTTTCATTTTACAGGAGACACAATACCGCACGTCATACGTTCATTATTCCCCGCACTACATACGATACCCGTCCTCTCTGTTTTCACAAATCGACAATTCGTTATTGCTTTCTGCACTGTCTGTGTTTCCTATCCATTATCTCTCTATCGTGATATTCATAAATTATCACGCGCCTCCGCACTCGCTCTCATCGGTATGCTCATAATTGTGGCATCTGTGCTTGTAGAAGGGCCCCACGTTGGGCCAGATCTAAAGGGTGACCCCTCCAAGCGGCTTAGTTTCGTTGGACCGGGGGTATTTCAAGCCATTGGAGTTATGAGCTTTGCCTTCGTTTGCCACCACAACTCTCTCTTGATATATGGTAGTCTGCGTACTCCCACCCTTGACCGGTTCGCTAAGGTGACCCATATATCCACGGCCATATCACTTGTTGCTTGTTGTACGTTGGCCATATCCGCTTTCTGGGTATTCACCGATCGAACACAAGGAAACATACTGAACAATTTCTCACGGGTACGTCAAGCAGTCTTTGGTATGATGAATCCTTCTCAAGCGTTTGTGCCCCTGTAGAGTGATACCATAATCAACGTTGCGCGGTTTTGCTTTGGACTCAACATGTTTACCACTCTACCATTGGAACTTTTCGTATGCAGAGAGGTGTGTCTTACGCGCCTCAGTTTGCACTGATAGGCTCACAACGTCACAGGTCATCGAGCAGTATTTCTTCTCACACGAATCATTTAATCCGCAGCGACATGTCTTCTTCACATCAGTGATTCTCTTCTCATCTATGCTTCGTGAGTATGTTCATTGAAGAATAGACGATCGTGAAATTCTGATTTATATTTAATGCAGTCTCACTCTTTACATGCGACCTGGGGGTTACGCTAGAAATCACTGGCGGGGTCTCAGCAACTGCTTTAGCTTTCATCTTCCCTGCGGCCTGCTATCTCAAGCTAAGCGAACCTCGCATACCGTGGTACTCTCGAACAAAACTTCCAGCCTCAGCATGCTTATCTTTTGGCATCATTGTCATGATTACATCTCTCTTCCTTGCATTAGGAAAAACATGGACGCATGAAGGCGACGCAAAAATATGTCTCTGAGTACATAGTAAAGAAAGTGAAGATGGACCTCATATTTAGATCTATTGTCGAGTAATTCGGATGGTTTGTCATAGCTTACGGACTTTCATTTACTGTCGAAACACAGTCTCCTTCAATCCAGGGATATTTTCTAGCTGTTCAATGCGAGCCCCTTTTGCGATGCTTTCGCTTGCGGAAAGGGGCGAGACATCGAGGGATGTGAACGTGTTCCAGACTCGTTCGACACGATGTACTGGCTGTTGTTGCAGCGAAGAGTCGGGTGCGTCGCATACTAATAACCAGATCGCATCGTATCCACCGGCTACAAAGCGAAAATGAACTGTTGGGTTCCAGGTAAATATGAAAGCAACTCACCGCCAGGAACACCGCCTCCGATAACACCTGCCTGATATACGCACGCGTCTAGAAGACTTGTCTGTTCAGGGGGTTCAATCGGCACGTTTGCAAGTTGACCCATTTCCCGCATGTTCGCCCGGACATCCTAGATAGAAGTTAGGTCCTGATAAGAAAACAATTGTAAACAACTCGTGAAATGTTCTCACTTGGGTAAATTGATGAACGTCATAGAAGGCATGCACCAGGCGTTCTTCAGACGGAGATATGCTTGGATTTGCTAGCCACTGCATTATTTACGTCTTTCAATCAGATGGCCACAACTATGACCCATGGAGATACAATTTACCTGGACCGGCTGAAGAGATGAAATGTACCTGACGGCTAGCTCATATGCGATAGGGTCTTCAGAGTGCAAATCAGATAGGATAGCAAGAGCCTTTGCCAGATTTTGATTCGAGTTGTTGATTGCAGTCCACAGCGCAGTTGCTACGAGGGCCTATGGTTCAGTCTTATGGACTTTGAACTGAGAAAAGGGATTACCTTCTGATGGGTTTTGCTGTCGCCATTTTAAGACCTGACCAACTAGAGAGGGGGTGTCGCTGCCAGCATCGACATCGGCCAACATAAGTCTGATAAGTGGTGGAAGCTTGAAGGGTTCTACGCGGTAATTCCACGCCTTGTTAGATGGTGAGAGTATTGTCAAGAGAGACTGGGTATGTATCTGTTCACAACAATAGAGCCGGGACACATCAGAGGCCAGTGATCACCGATATCACGATACTTACTATTTCATCATTCATCAGTGGTTGAAGCACAACTGGGTCAAAGCGGGTGTAAAGCTGACTACCAAAGACAGCAGCCGATACGTCGAATCCACTACCAACTTTGCCTTGAGCTAAACAATGCACAAACTGAGCAGTATTGTGAGCAAGACGCCTGTCTACGCTCAAATCCTCAAGAAATTCTGCTGGAGATACAACGGAGAAGTGTAGTAGGAGCGCGGATACAAGGGATGTGATAAGCGCTGCTGAGGAGCCAAGTCCGGTCTTGTGAACATCTGAGATTGACACTCTGCAGTGGCAGAAGGGAGGGATTCGGGAGAGAGAAGCAGTTGACGGTGTGAGTTTCATAGAAGCAAGCTGAAGAAGTGTACACAGGACAGAACAACATTAGGACGAAACTCAGAACGATGTTCTCCAGCTGACCTTGGCTCGCTGCGAATAGAAATCATTATCGCCCACGATAGCGATATCCAGACCATTCACTAAGTCCTTCTCGAGCGATTCCACACCTCTAACCTCCAGGGCCAGCGAAAGGGTGTGCTGTATGGCCAGGTGTACAAACTTGTTTGCTCTGGTGCTATCGTGAGCGCCCACGTTACTGTGACCGATATCATCGTGAGTGGTGGGCGGCCATGCACATGCATATACTTATCACGATGAATATACTCACCAGGGAATTTCTTCCACTACAACACGAGCTCTATCAAGGCGCACAAAGTACCTCCACTCGGCCTGGACAAATTGAGGGGATCTTACCACTACCACATTGGCGCCATATGCAGAGCCGGCGTCCTGTACGACTGCATAGAATCGCGACGAAGTAGAAATTACGACTCCAGAATATGATGGGTCGAGGACAAGATAGCCTCCGGCTGCGAGGACCTTGCCCGGCGAGGATACAACAGTTGTACCAGGCATGGTTTTGTGTAAGATTCTGAGGTATTAACCGCCTGACTGCATTTTCTGGCCATTCATTAAGTAGAAACCCGGCAGCTGACTCAGCAAGACACGATCCGCATCTTGTTTTCGTTTCATCTTGCACTGGCTTGTAATGCAGGCACTTGGAGCCTCCATGCAACACGGAGAGACATAACTCCTACAAATAGCTCTATATTATATACGCATTACTGACAAGCATTCATGCTGGCTGGTAAAGACAGAACTCGAATTCGAGGGCTCGGAGATTTGAAGGTGTCGTACGAAATTGATTGTACAGCGGCCGTATAATAATGCCTCGGACTTGGCGTCAAGTTCTGATGCACATGTGTAACTTTGATCCAGTCGGCGACTCTTGAGGTTTGCGGCAGTGAATTAAGTCCGTTTAGTAGAAGTCTGGATCGATATTCAACAGCGCTGCGGATTGTTCCTTCTGACGTCTAATTGCCCTGAGAGGCGTTTTTAAATTTCACCGGATGTAAGAAGACAAAGAAACGCAAAGGGATAACGACTATTCACAGTTGGATCTTTATTCCCAGAAATTTTCGAATAATGCGGTTGGAATAAAAGAATTCTGTTGGAGACCTGAGGAAATGAACAAGCCTAATTTTCTGGGATGGTGTTATTTGAATCATCTCTGTATCGAATCGTGACTAGCATCTGGGTGTGGCGCCGTGGGACCCGGGTTTACTCACCAAGAATCTTAAGAGGGAAATACATTTGACAACCAGGGCTCGTGCTGTACACCGGGGAATAGTCCTTTCGCAAGCGTTGTACTTTCTGGGTCTTCATCCTTATATGTCAATCAGTCTCAAGAATAATATTCACGCGACAGTTATGTCAGATATGGAGTCCACCTACCATCAACGATGGAATGCACATACCAAAAGTATCCCCTCGAAGAGTTCTGTCCTGGCTATACGGCTCAAGCTCTAGACAGCAGGAAATCGTCAGCTTCCCCGCAACGACAGCACTCAGTCTACTTCCCGAAAGATGGCTGAGCGTGTGTCATAGTCTCCTGCTGCTTCACAACACAAGTCGGGAGGTATCAGCCCGCGCATGTTCACGCGAATCAGTGGTTTCGACAGCTTAACTCACCAAGGACACTATGCTACTGTAACCATCGTCCTACGCTGCGCACCTAGTAGTTTGGTGCGAAGGAAAGAATGCAGGACGCGATACGGTCGATGGTTAATAGAGGATGACATTGGCAGAATCGGTGCACTAGATTACGAGCAAAAACAGCGAGCGGTACGTGGGATATCTAGAGTTCATCGTGCTTCTTCTCCAGGCCAACGAGCTCGACGTCGAAGACGAGAGCAGAATTTGGAGGAATAACTGAGCCAAACCCACGTGTACCTGAAAACCAAGATTCCATCATTATGTGATTGTCAAAAGCAGTTTTGGCTAGACTCACCGTACGCCATCTTAGCTGGAATGGTCAACACACGTTTCTCATTGAGACACATTCCTTGCAAGCCCTCGTCCCAGCCCTTGATGACTTGGCCAACACCGACTGGACACGAAAAATTAGAATAAAGTCATGCAACTAAATTATAAAGACACTCACGTTTGATGGCCAAAGGTGAACCCCGATCGAGACTGTGGTAAATTCAATAAACAGTCCGCAACGACTTTATAGAACGCACCTCGAGTCAAATTTGTTTCCGTTGGCGAACAGTGTACCGGTCTATGCGATCACATCCGGAGTTCAGCCTGATGCTTTGCCACGAGAGTACGGTAGATAACCACTTACATAGTGCACTTTAATGGCGTCTCCAGTCTGCGCTTTTGTAGAACATTCTTCAGGCAAATATGTGACTTGAGTCTGCAGTTCGGTGGGGTCTGCAGCCAAAGCGCATACAGCAAGCAGAAGCAGCGTCAGACAGTACTTCAACATTTGCATCATGGTCGTTGTTCGGTGGCAGCCGTGCAGAAACAAGTCAAAACAAATGGGGCCGTGGCACGCTGAGTCAGCAACTGTACAGAGCAAGTACTCGTTAACCTTATTTTTCAACACCGTACACATCGTTCACCAAGGCCTCTGCAAGACTAATCGAAATGGTGAGCTCTACAGCCAAAATTAAATGTACTCAATGCTGAACCATGTTTGTGTTTTTCTAGCCTTCCCAAAAATCATTCAGGACGAAACGCATCCTCGCCAAGGCCTCGCGCCAGAACCGGTATGTACTCAAGGACTCACACAAGAGTTACAGATCTAACTAGTCTCTTTTTGCACCACAGACCCATTCCTCAGTGGTTCCGTTTGAAAACGGACACGAAAATCCAAGTGCGCTCATTGTATAGTGTCGATTTTGTCGAATGACTTGCTAACTTTGTTTTTAAACGCAGTACAACGCAAAGCGTCGTCACTGGAGGCGTACCAAGCTTAACATCTAAATGCTCCGTTTTGTATCATTGTTTCTGGCACCACGATGGCGAGGGGAGAGGTGGAAGGCGCTCGTTTATCCTCAGAGAGAGGTATCACACAATGCAGCATGTAACACTCCGCTATTCGCATGAGATAAAATCACCTACATGCACTATGACTTATGTTCTTCTTGAATCTTCTTGTCGTTGAAAAGGATGTTTTCAAGGGCTTACATCGATGTCACTCGGCACTTGGAGGCACTATCAGCAAGATCATGTAGGACTCGATCACCATAATGTTGTCATGGTCAAAATCACTCTCGACTTTGGGTGGAATCAGAATAGCTCGAAGTACTCATGGCTTCCGTCATCGTATCATTTTTTGAGTTTGACTGCCTCGAGATACTAAATTGACTGTTCTGCGCGCTTGACGATCGATCTCATCTTTTTTACTGTGAATTATACAGATTTGAATATGTGGTCCGTAACTTGAATATTCTTCATGATTATTTTAGTTGAGATTACGGGTCTATGACTTGATAAAATGACACTTGCGCTTCGCAATAGAACTAGAGCAGTGCTCGCCAGTGAGTTCTGCAGCATGACAGCAAGCCAGCAAAAAGACACGCCGTGGCGGCGACTTGCGAACGTGTCATCCGCGCTCAAGACTCTGAAGAGTACTCATTCATAAATACAACCAAGGTTACAATTCCCCGTATTCCTTGCACTCTTATCGTTTGTTATCCAAGTGACCTTCAAGACTCACCCAAAATGTCACTCATCGTCCTCATATTTATGCTCGTTTTCGTCACAGAGCTCATATCATGGATAGGAACATCCGTTCTCCTCGATCTTGTTCGTGTTGTTCATGGTACTTTTTGTGCTCAGAGTAGCTTACGGTGCTACACATTCAGGCATACGGCCTCTACATAAGGCTCTTTTACGCCTCTGCAGTTTCGCGACAGCGAGAACTCAAAACCGAAATTCTGACAACGAAGAAGGAGCTTCTCAGTACAAGCGCGCAGGACCAATTTGCAAAGTGGGCAAAACTGCGAAGGAGCGTTGACAAGGGGCTTGCGGAATTGGAGAAGATCAGTTGAGTAACAGTCTTGCAACGTTCTGGGTGTCTTCGTCTGTGCCACTGACTCTTGCTGTGTGAACTGACAAACCCTGAATTTCCCAGATGGAGAATTATCCTCGAATAAAACCACATTCTCCCTCAAGTTCAAAAGCATGCTCTGGATTCTGACAACGGGTCTGCAGTTTGTCGTCGGCTGGTGGTACAGAAAATCTGCTGTATTTTATCTCCCACCGGGCTGGTTAGGCCCCATCACTTGGTGGATGTCCTTGCCTTTTGCACCCAAAGGTAAGCTGGCACTGAACCGCTTTCAACCGCTTTACTCAAGCAGCCCATGGACAGGTTCAGTGAGTGTTGGAGTGTGGCAAATGGCATGTCGCAGGGTGATTAAAGTGGGAGAGCGCACAGTGCGAGATATGATTAGTACGGTTCATCTTTCGCATTGAAACAGATTCCTACGTCCTAATTATGGGTCTTGTATTCTTTTTTTGTCCTCGCAGAACCATCAGCGATACTGTCAGAACCGGTGGCTGTGGAAACGGAATCCAAGGCTTCCGCAGAGCAGAAGAAAAAGTCGTGAAACGGAGGACAGCTACGCGGGTGTTAAATAATGATATTGTAGGGTTCTTTGGAAGTGCTCGCACAACCGGCGGTACGGGATTACAATATTGGTATTGTTTGAGGACGGAATGCCATTTGTGTGATGCGCCATTTGGGTGAAAAGATACGGAAGGCCGTGGAGGGTAAGTGCGGAATGGTGATGGTCGGTATCCGTGTGATCAGGCTTCGCGGACCCGTAGTGAAGAATGCCCCAGACGCCGTGCGATGAGAATGCGGGCACGCACGTGAAAGATATGTATCGAAGGATTCCGTGTCAAGAATATGTGTCGGTCGGTGCATGTGAAGAACTGTCGCGTGTTCTTCCACTTCGCTGAGAGAAGTGTACACAAATAGGCAGGTACTGTCATGTAATACCCGAGCCATATCTGTACATGTTATTACGTACCGCTTCCTCGATATGCAACTTAAGTATCCATGGTTTGGTCCTGGCTGCTGATTGCGACCTCTTTTGGTTATGCCATCTGATGATCATTCACCCATTGGCTAGACGCTGATATTTGTCTAGCTTACACCGTTTTTTTTAACAGCAGGTACGTACTTGCGGTAGCCCGTCGGGGTGGTGAGTGTTTTTACTGCCATCTTATGCGACTGTAGCTTTGATGCGAGTTTCACAATGTTTTGGATAAACATATGATATCTCGCCCGGAAATGACGTCGGCTCGGATCCCGGATGTGGTACCCAACTGACGGATATTTCGGAGTCCCGCCAAAACTACATAACCAAGTTGCAGTTCTACCTTTCACATTACACACTTCTCCCCTTTACAGCAATCAACATGGTCTCAGGCGTTGTAATCCACACAAAAGTTGCTCAGAAGGCTCAGACAGAGATATTGACCGATGGAGCTTTGGCTTTTCTCGCAGCTCTCCACAGAACGTTCGAAAGTACGAGGCAGAACCTCCTCGTCGCCCGCGATGTTGCACAGCGCAAGTATGACTCAGGGGCTCCCCTCGACTTTGCCCCGGAGACTGCTCATATTCGTGCGGAACCCTCATGGCACTGTGCTGCCCCTGGCCCAGGACTAGAGGACAGGCGGGTTGAAATCACTGGCCCAACTGACCGTAAGATGGTCATCAACGCGCTCAACAGTGGTGCGAAGACCTTCATGGCTGATTTGGAAGGTGAGCGTGCAAAATATCCATCATTCGAACCGTGTGTTGACATGCTGCCGAAGACTCGAGCGCTCCTACCTTTACCAATATGATAGTTGGCCAGGTCAACTTGCGCGACGCTATAAAGCGTGAGATCGACTTCGAGTCTGGAGGAAAGCAGTACAAGTTGACAGAAAACCCCTGTGTCCTCCTTGTTCGGTTTGTCAAAAAAAAATGTAACGTCTTACACACCTTACAAGCTGACTCTTGTGATCTAGTCCTCGCGGTTGGCATCTTGACGAGCCCAGGTTGACTGTAGATAACACTCCTATTTCTGGGTCGCTCTTCGACTTTGCCCTCTATTTCTATCACAATGCTCATGAACTCGTGAAGCGTGGTTCAGGACCATACTTTTACCTACCGAAGATGGAGCATTATCTCGAAGCTCGTCTCTGGAACGATGTCTTCTTATTCTCCCAGTCATATATCGGAATGGCCCACAACACCATCCGAGCGACCGTGTTGATTGAGACTCTCCCGGCTGCGTTCCAAATGGAGGAGATACTTTTCGAGCTCAGGAATCATTCGTCCGGACTCAATTGTGGCAGGTATGAGGTATTTTTGTGCTATGGCACTCATGTGAGCGGTCACTTGCTAATCGCTATAACTTTAGATGGGATTATATATTCAGCGCAATTAAGAAGCGCAGGGCTGACAGGGGCGCCGTACTTCCTGATAGGAAGGATGTCACCATGACTGTTCCATTCATGGACGCCTATGTGCGTCTCCTGATCCAAACATGTCATAGGTAAGCATCATCTGCTACTCTGTTTTGAGAGTATCGCTTATAGTCTTCATAGACGCAAAGTGGCTGCTATTGGAGGCATGTCCGCTCAAATCCCCGTTAAGAATGACCCCAAAGCCAACGAGATAGCCATGGAGAAAGTACGGGCTGACAAGTACCGCGAAGTTACAAATGGACATGACGGTACCTGGATCGCACATCCTCTCATCAATGAGATTGCACGCAAGATTTTCGATGAGAACATGTTAGGTCCCAACCAGGTACGCTTAACTTTCGGTACTCTCAGGGCGTCGCACTGAACTTTATTGTTACAGTACCATGTCCGCCGCGAAGACGTGAGGGTTGCAGCAGCAGACCTACTCAGCACATCTTTCCCAGGCAAGATCACTGAAGAGGGTGTGCGTGCCAATGTCGCTGTTTGCCTTGGCTATACAACTGCCTGGATTGGTGGCAATGGCTGTATTCCCATGAACTACCTGATGGAAGACGCTGCGACTGCAGAGATTGCTCGCGTGCAGCTATGGCAGTGGGTCCATTACGCTTCACGTATGGATACCGGAGAACCGATAACCACGGATTATGTTGATCGCGTTATCACTGAGCAAGCACCAACTATCAAGAAGCTTGTTTCAGGCATTAAAGAAAGCGACTTAAGGATAACGACGTCGTATCTGAAGAGTCAGATCAGGCAGCAGTGGCCGAGCGAATTTTTGACTTCTGACTTGATGCCATACTTGTCGATGGCAGATGGTGTCGAGGAAAAGTGGCAAAGGAGCGCGCTCTAGAAGGACGCTGCTTCTTGGAAATCGTATTTGCATGTTTTCGTTCTGTACTCATCTCATCTTCTAGTGTACGATTACTGGGTGTTGTGATGGTGACTCGCATCTGTAACTTGTACACTTAGTATTGTAGCTATCCAGGATTCGCATAAGTTAATATCGTAATCATATTTTTTGAAGCTGAACTTTTGATTCACCTTTTCAGTATGCTTGCCATGCGGCTTTTTCTCACTTATCGAGAAATGAACTAACAAAGTTGCAGTTGCCTATCATAAAACAGTCGAGTGCCTAATGTAGTCAATGTCAAAAGCCCTGATCGCTGTCTACGCCTTGGACACGTTAACCACCGCGCCGTGCTTGAGCGCCCGACTATAAGGACAAGCCTAGGCATATAAAAGTCAGTCATAAAAATATAACAATAGCCGGCATAGGGCTTGCTATGCGAGATCTATCGAAAAATCACACACCTCATGTCCAGCCTTGATGAGCTCTTCGTCTTCTACACCTTCGACTTTGATATCGACGGCGATACCAAAGCCGCCTAATTCTTCTGGCTCGCCGAGATGCACGCTCGTGTAAATCACCGCGTTTTTTGCGGCATCCGTCTTTCCCGTTTTTCCGGCCATCATCTGTAGTGCACCCAAAAAACATGCTGCACCCAGATATAGACATAGATATTTAGGGGGATGTATATTTTAGACTCGTGCGCCTGCAGGAGACCCGAGAGGGATTACTTACATGCGTAACCCATGGCAAAAAGCTGTTCGGGGTTCTGTCCGTCACCTTTCCCTCCCAATGACTTGGGCATTGCAAGGCGCAGTGTCAACCCGTCGTCATCGTCGGACTTGACCTCCCCATTGCGCCCTTGACCAGCTGCTGAAGCATGGGCAGTGTACTATATGCGTCACGTAAAAAAGAAAGTGAAAACGCGGTTCACATGAAGTAAAACAGGCTCAGATATACTTTGTGATGTTTGAGTGTCATCAATGTCCTTTGAGACATTACGAAAGGCCTCGAGGCTTGAGCTGCACGAACACACGACACATTCAAACCACGCGCGCTGCGACTCAGCATGATGATATGATAGATTTTTGGTGTTTGGAAAGGAATATGAGTGGAAGACAACAAGGAATAACGGTACCTTGGCTGCGAATACGTTACAGGCTATATATATGATCGCACTGACAGGCTGGAGATCGGTCAACAAACGTCATCACAGATCGAATATGTGATGCTACGACATACATCACATTATTATATGCAACATCAGACAACAAATAATAAAATACAGAGTTAGTTGATTCTACATTCATGAACACCTAGAACCCACTGGCAGTTACGCGCAGTTGTTCAAGCTTTTTTAGCACCTCACCCACCGTCCGATCGAGTTCACCAGCAATAGCGCTCTGCTTTGTGCCAGGTAATCGCGCATACGTCTCGCAAAGATCACCATCGACCACCGACTTGACTGGCGTGTAGTAGCCTCGCCAACTAAGCTGGTCTCGCCCGACTAAACTTCCCTGCTCAGTGCGCATGTGTTGCTCCAGTGTTGAAATAAAGTCCACGTCTTCTTTCGACACGAAAGGGACGAGAATACCAATTGTGCCGTGCAGTCCGGTATACAACAGTACCTCGCGACCACCAGCAACCAACGAGACCTTGTTGATAGAAGTAACAAGATCACCAATGTGGAAATGAGCAAGCATCTTGGTCTTGTGAGGTGCGCCCATAAGTAATCCCTTTTCATGGAGGATGCCTGCACCAGTAGGATCGTCGTCGACTTGCTCCGACACTTTCGGGTCAAGCCTATTGACAAAAATATTGCCAAAGCGGTCACCCGCAGCGATTGTCGTGTAGTCTACCATCGTCGTCGCAGTAATCCATCTAGGCTGGTTATCGTCCGCAAATACTAAAAGACGATTTTCAGGAGCTTTGTAAGCGACAAATGATATTGACTCTTGCATATCGCCAACGATTATTCGAGAGCCCTGAGTGTTCAACGTGACGATAGCTGTGGAAAAAGTCTACTATATGTGTTACTATGAATAATAATATGTATGAGCTAACAGCTCTTGCCTTGTTTTCAACCTTTCGTAGAAGTTTCTTTTTCCCGATATCGTAAATTCTAAGAGCCTTTCCTACTCCGGCCACCAGGCGACCTTGGAAAGCCATTAATGCCAGAGGAACATCATCTGTTTCAGTCTATGCCATCATTGTAAGCATAATTCGATAGTAAAGTAAGAAGGCTAAGGCTGACCTTATGTAGCAACTCTAAGCCCGTACCATCCTCTGTAAACTTGTATGTTCGCAAAAATCCACTACTACATGACCGAGGAGCAAGGAATGTATCTGCTGCAGTACCAACCACCAGATGCAATTCGTTTCCACGAGCGGAAAATGGCACAATAGCAAGAGAAAAAGCACACTCGTTACTATCTAGAGTTATCATGCTGAGCGTTTTGGCCTGCGTCATATATATCAGAGACAGCTATCACTGGGGCGATGAAATAAAAAGTATACCTCAACAGGGTCAATGATCCGAATGGCAGATGCCCATGTTCCAGCCGGAGCTTTTGGTCGACCAAAGACTTCAGGTGGCAAATCAAGCATATTATCGTCTACCATTTTACCCCTCTGCCTCTAACAGGCCTATGTCAGTACTGACATGCCGGTATAGAGGTTTAATTATACATACCATTTCATCCAATCTTTTAGCTGCCGCATCTTCCCCCAGAACACGGTGATCACCTTCAATGAGGTAAAAATATCGGTTTGTTGGATGTGATATGAACTTGCGCGGAGTGTATGAAAGAGGTATCGTGTCTTGTTTCAGCTTTGTACCCAGCTTGGGAATCTGGAATATACTGGAGAGAAAAAAGAATACGATTGATCAGAACCACCGCAGAAACAGTATTCGATCCAAGAAAGAAAAAAGGTTGTCTCAGTAGGAACAATTGGTACAAATTAAAAGTTCTTCGACATCGTCCCAATAAGGGTTTACGGTCTCTTGTTTACATCTCGGACAACCTCTTCTTTGTGAACTTAATGAATGTTAGATACTCACCGTAATACACTACCGGCGATACCAATAAGCCCTTCTGGACTGAGCTCTGCAGAAAAACTCCATGCATAATCAAGGTTCTCGAAAATTAGTGGTGTGAAGTGCATCAGATTTTGGTGTGTATAGTTAAGCCAGGATCTTGATGAAAGTGCAAGGATGGCAGGATTCCCATGAATTTGTACGCGAACCAAGCGTATGGGCCTTGTCCCTAAGAAGCTGTTTACAGATCAGTAAGGGTATATAAGGTTTTCTTTAAGCACGAACCGAGTCCTCGTGTCGGTCAACTGGCCATTGATTGGATCGAGTACCGTGCGCAGTAACACACCATTTTGTAAGCCGATATTCACAAACATAGTTGGCTGCGTTTTGTTGATACTCGCGTCCAGCATATCGGCAATACAAATGGCTGAAGGAGGTGCGGTTAAAGCTTGTAAACTAATGGTTTCCAGGGTACTCTCAGGGTCCAAAGAAATGATACGGACAGTCTGGTCCTCACACCCAACAGCCTGGAATAGTAAATAGACGTTAACAAGATATAAATACTGAGAAACCAACCACATACAAGATAAGGAGTCCTCTGGCGGCCTTCAGGAACCTCACCAACACTTAAAGCCAACACAGTGGAGCCCATTGCCTTGCGATCTTGGTACTCGTTGAGTTGTCCATCCAAGTCAAGCTCGAAGTAAACCAGCTCAGCGGAGCTTAGGGCAACAACGACCTGCCTTTTATTGGTTGCCGCACTGACTATAGTCTTGCCTTGGGGAACACGCCATTCGTTGACGCGTCGGTCGGCCAAAACGTGACGAATACCCTGGGGATGTACCTGCAGTAGGGCATCGGCACCAATTTGTTGAACGGCCAATGTCGGAGCAGACGAAAGGAAACCAGTGTCCTGAACTTCCTCGATGGTTTCGCCAATAGACAAGACGAGAGTACCGTTCACGAATGAGAGAATAATATACGAGTCGAAGGGATCTAAAAAATACGTTAGAGCGCAATTAACAGTTTATAGGTGCGGTCGCAAACTTACCGTCCTCTTTCCGTTTAGTAGTCCAGACAGCATTGGGAATACCTGGCAATTCAGAGCTAACGGATTCTTCAACATCGAGACCATGCCTTAGCATTCGAAGTGAGCTACGTGCCCCACGCCCACAGGCGGCAAAAATTTGTGGAGTATCCGAGTTGGGTAGAATATTCATGACCTTCGAGTCCAGTATTGGATCTAATGATTCCATTTCGTCAGCGAGTGCAAGGTTATCTAAAGCACGAGGATGAAAATGTGCATGAGGCAAGGGCATTGAAGGTTCGGCCATGCCGAACGAAGGGTAAGACGTGGAACTGAATTCTGGCTCGTTGTCATCATCACCTAATTTTTGAAATTGGTAAAGATAACTGGAAAACAGAAGTCAGTTATTCATTTTCAGGCGAGTCGTCAGCAAAACCAGACTTACTGATTTCCGAACTCAGACGCAACAAAAAGGAAACCAGATTTGAGAATACAAAGACTGGATGCCACAGGTACAGTATCAAAATACTTGATTTTTAATGCTTTCACTTCATCATCTTCATGCTCGATGGTCACCTTGTACAGATCACCGTCTTCGCTTTGCAAAAGGAAGAAGAAAGCACCCTATAGAAAGAAAGAAATGAGACCAAATTAAAAATACGTAGTAACCCATGACCAACCTTCATTTTATGCATCACAGCGGCTACGATAATAATGCCTCGTTCAGGATCTTCAAGCGGATGTCGTCGTCGCGGTATAGGAATGCGATGCTGAGGAACACCCATATGTCTATATATAATATGGTCTTCACAACAAACCAACACGCCAGAAGGGCCATCAAAGCGCTCTGAAGATGCCAACTGTCCACCAGGAACTTGCACAAGCAGGTTAGCCCGGGGATCGGTTGGTTCACTCCACTTTCTAACAACATGATTAAGGCCCAGGTCAAGTTCGTAATATGTTAACATCTGGAATTTAGACAGGTAAGGATGATTCAATAGATGAATCGCGAAATGACTAACTTTTTCGGCGTTGTTAAAAGCCTCACCAGTTGGATCCTGGTCTGATTCAGTGTAATCAACTTCCAGAGCAGCAAATAAGGGGTTCTCAAATCCGACGTCAAGACCAACTATATGGTGAATAATTGCTGCATTTTTGTGCGCCTCGAGAGGTGATGAAATCGTTAAGTTCGCAGCAGCATCTCGGTTGAGGATGTACACGAGCTTGGCTTTTTCCATCGCAGATATCATGACACTGCGTCCCTTTGGGTCCGTAGCAAGATATTGACCAGGAACAATACGCCGCGAACCGGATTTTCCAAAAGTTTCTTGGTGAAGCTTAACGAAACTTGAAGTACGTGGATCATAATCCAGAATAACAATGCGGCCCGAGTCTGACCCTACTATTGCGTAGTCTGAGAAAATAGAGCGTAAATGCACGAAGATGAAGCGCATACGTACAATTGCTCACCCTTCGTACCACCCGTCAACCGAAAAGCAGCGAGAGAACGGATGGAGCCAAACACGTCCGTGGCAATGACGGTAGACAACTTCCCGGTTTGCACATCTGGTCGTAGAAGTTCAAGACGAGTTCCATGGGATACGATGATTTCTTGTTGTCTGACCCCAGAAAAGTTGCCCACAATAGCCTGGGTCACTGCAGAAGGAGGTTGCAGTGTTAAATTGTACAAATGCATCCTGACCACTTGTGGCGAATCACTCAAGACCCACACAGAGCAGAAGAAATCAGAATTTCGAGGGGACAAAAGAAAAGTTGGGAAGAAGGTGGTTTAGCGCGAGCAAGGTTTGGTTTGCAGAGTGTTGACATGTATTTGATATGTGGCACTGACGTGCCACTAGATATTTGGAAATCACAAAAATCGACAAAAAGTACATTACGCACAGCCCTGCCTTGAGAGCGAGAAACCGCAAAAATAAGAAAAGAGAAAATTTCGTGCTGAAGAAAAGCTAAAGGATTATCGTAACATATTTTCTAGTCCTGAGACGGCAGACTGACGGTGCTACTCGTAGTGTGCTATGTAGACCCATTGATAATGAGGCCTTTTAGATTATATATCTAGTTTTCAACATAGTTAGCAAATCCATGACGACGTCGTCGTTGGTCATACCTAAATAACGGGCTCTCGTCGCCCATGTCCTTGAATTGGTCTTCTTGCGTATCGCTTATATTTTCGGCAAGACAGAGAGCTTCTTTTTCTTTGTTAAGTCTGGTATAGTTCCACATCTTTAACGCGCTCAAAATTATACTAGAGGATATAGGGAGGTGTAATCAAGCGCGTGTGTCATGAAGTTGGGATACGCATACCTGAGGCCGAGGAATCCCATCATCGTTCCATGTCCGATATGGAAACGAGGAGGGTCGATATAGACAAATGAGGAGCATATGCTTGAAAAGTTATTGTCATTATATGTAGGTTCAAGAAAAGGTGAAATTGTAACACACCCTCCAAGATTGCCAATACCGATAACCATAGCAATCGCAACTCCTCGCTTCATGTCGCCACCTGCACCACTGGCAACCCAAGCTAGTTCGACTGCCACAGTTGGAAAGACGCCGACGGCAGCTAGAATTGCACCAGCGTAAGATGGACCAGGCCTATCTTCCACGTACAAGATAATGAATCCTATAAGGGACACAAGCGCACAGCCAATGATGTATGGTCCCCGCAATTGATGCTTATCAGATATGATGCCAACGACAATGGTGAATATGCAACCCGCAACGAAGGGAGGGACAGATAAAAGTTGAGCGTTCGCCGCGGAGTAGCCAAGCTCGTTGATGATCGTGGGCATGAACAAAGCAATGCAATAAACTGGGACTAAAATGCTGAAAAGAACATAAAGAACACGCATGAATGCAGGGAGAAAATGAGAAAATGGAAGAAAAATACCCGATGAATATTCCAAGATGCATATACGTTTTGTAGTCCTTTATGGCCTGGAACACAAAGTTTTTGTCGTAATGGGTTGCAAGGGAGCGAGAGTCTTTCTTCAACATTTCTACAACGGTGATCCGCTCCTTATGAGTCAAGAACGCTGCAGTTTCTGGGTACTGAAATGAGACAATATATGAGCGAAGGTATTTTGAAGCATGGTTTCACTTACATCGTGCATGAAGAAAAACGACAATACTGCAATAATAATAGTGGCTATTATGACATCAACATATTGAAAATTACGTGTAGGTGTATCTGGCCGACTTACCTAGGCCTTCTAAGCAGAACTAAGATCGATAGGAATGAGCATGTTGTAGCCGATAGAGACATCTTCACTCACAATCCATTGCCAGCCGTGTAATCCCCCGACTCTAGACTTTATGTCATGACACTTAACACCCTAGGTAATTCAAGCGACATACCCTTCCATTCGTTCAATTCCAAAACTTAATCACGAGATGTCAACACAGTACGTGGTAAGAATAGAATGTACGCACGCTAAAAGACCTCCAAATGCACCTGACAAAAGGCAACTACTTAATCTTTCCGATCATATACGACCAATCACAGAACTACCCACCTGCAATAGTAGCAGCCGAGAAGAATATTGCGACTCGCTTTGCTTGTTCTGCTCTGGGATACCATAGTGAAATATAATAGGTCACTCCAGGAAACAGTCCAGCCTCTGTTAAACCTAAGAAGATTCGACAGCTGCGAACCGAGTTAGCTGCAACAGTCCGAAAAGAAAATAGGACTACGTACACTATCAAAGAAGAATAGCTATTAACAAGACACATTAAAGTTATGACCAGACCCCACGCCACCATGATCAGAGGAACTTTATGACAGTCAGCAAGACAAAGAGAGCATGTTTAGAAGACATACTCCATCGAGATGGGCGAAACACTTTGAGAGCGATATTCCTGTAACACAGTTATTAAATCTGTGATGTATAACTTATGCTACATCCTTACGAGGGTACTTCAGCCAAACAGTAGAGAATCTAGCAAGAATATCAACGAGTTGATGATGAACATAATTAGAAGGTGACTCACATAGAACACGGCCGACGCTGTGTTATATCTCAGTCCCACCAAATTCAAGTCTGCCGCCATCCCAGCAACCTTGGCATTACCTGGATGATCGGCGTTTCGAGATCTTGTTACCCATTCGAGCAAGTCAACTAAGAATACTTGCCTACATTACTCCGATCCCTGAAGCTATGTTTAGGACTTGAATGCTTGTAACGTGCTGTAAACTTACAAAAAAGACAGCAAATAGAGCAAAGACACGAAAGGCAGCAAGTGCCAGTCAAGCTTTCTCAATATCCGCCTACGCTCCTGGGAGGTCAGTTCAATCGGGATGTCCTTTTCGCTATCCTGAATGGATGCACCATCTTCGTCCATTGCGTTGTTGGACAAGGATGCGGGCGGGAGCTTGGCCATTGAAAAGGGAAACGAAACCAAATCACAAGTGTCGCTGGGAGGGCTTCAAGTTGGGGCTTTTAAATTACTAAGTTACTTGGGGCCGCCAACATCCGTAACACTGTACCTGCCGACCATATCGCTTGACCAGCGCGCGGAATCAAATGTTAAATTCTCGCTCAGATGTGAGGCCTGTGAGGTCATGAGAACTGATACCGACCAGAACCGAGTAGCTACTGCACCTACTACTGGCTACAGCTATAGTAGGCGGTCAGTTCAATCCATATTTACTCAATCGCACTCGACTTCGAAGTAGGTTTGTCGCAAAAATCCGTTTTTCATGATTTGGCCGAATGCGACCTGATAACGCTGTAAGAAATTTGGATAACATATTAGATACAAAACGCTGCGGACAGGTTCGATCAGATGCCTGTAAGGATAATACGCGTGATGAGTGTGAATACGCTAGCCACGTTGATCGCGCTGACATGGTTGATCGTGCTGACACGGCTGATCGCGCTGAAGTGCCGAAGTACGCTGATCGAGCTCACCAGACTGACCTGTCAATTCAGCCTGAGTGCTGTGATCAATGATATCCGTCGATTCAGGCAGAGGACACGGACAACGCTGACCTGGTATCAGTAAGGCTCAACAGTCCTATCGCGCCTGGTTCGGCCTAATACGGAGTTTTTAATATATGCTTTTGTTTGCTTTTTGCCGGTTTTCAATTTTAAAGCTTAGAGTAAAAAGAGACAATAGAAGCCATAGTATTTCGTTGTAAATAGTATCTACTAGTTGTTAAAGTGATATCCCCGAGGTAGATTTGTATATTACTAAGCCATTAGTATCAGTAAATACCGTACACGTTGATTCATGATTCTCATCCCATTCCTCAGATGGGTAGCAAGTTGAGTGATAATGCAAGCATTAATATGGGATGGTCCAGGCATCGGAAGGGGAAATTTTGCTCCTAGTGTTGCAGAAACAGCCAGCGAGACTGACTGCTTGATGGCTGCTATAGCGGAAGACAACATTGAGGCTGATGCCAAAGTCAGAAAGATTATAATACATACCTGAGTAGTGCGGCTCCTAGCCGTGTTCTTTGTTGGCTGCTGGCTTCCTCGTTTAAACATCAGGGTTGATTGGCTCTGCAAGCATATTTGAGTTATCAATAAATGAGTGTGCATCGTGTAGCCTGATGACATACCTTGTAAGTTTGAAGACTCAAAGGCCTGCAACATCAAGTGTTCGTGTTGGTGGTATTCAAAAGGGAGAAAGCATGTGAACGACAGGCGGGAGCCTCGCCCTCCTTATACACAACATGTGGCGCTGGTGGAGCTAGAAACGTCATGATTAGTTAATTATCAAGAGATACTGTATCCTCGCTCACTGGAAGTGGAGCCCAACAATACACTTGGACCCATAATCCAACAACCCATGCCATCATACACAGGAAAGCGACGACGACGTAGTTCCACGCCTTGTATTGAAGAGACGTCGTCGTCAGAAAACAGCTCAAAGTCATCTACTTATAATAATGCTGCTCCCACAGTTCTTGCACATGCTGCCGAAGGTCCCAGTAAACTCGAGCAACACTGGCTGAAAATTCATGGAGACACATATTCAGTAAAGCAGAAGGAAAATAATGCAGGGCTTGTAGCTGCAACAAGTCCCCTGGTCTCACCTCGTACACCTACGCCGCCTCCGCCAACCAAAGACTCTCCAGTGCTGAGATTGGGCTCCACAAGCACGCACACATCTGACGGTGTGATATCATACCATGATGGTGGTGGATTTGGTCAGGGTTGTCCTGTGGATAGAAAAGGGCGTTATAAGTACAATCGGCTTGAACGATACCAGCAAAGTACCCCGAGTTTTTCGACACCCACTAAATCCCGGGTAGATGACACAGCGAGTGCTGATAAACTTCCTACGCCTGGTGTGAACCTGGTCAATTCTTTTAATGCGGCAAACAAAGAGGTAAGAAATTCAATACACAAGAATTATGTTTTGTGACTTACCAGTTTGATTGAAAGAACTCTGTGGTAAATGTTGCCGAGACAACAGGAAAAAGTGATGGAAAAGGCACCGTCCCTTTGAAGCGTCACATAGGTGATCAAGATACCATTGACAATGAGGTACACATATTGAGATCACAGTAATTTGGGCTCACCGTTGGTACCATTCAGCAGATGGTCAATATTATTCCCCCATTGACTCCTGGGACCGGTCGTGGGGCGCGTCAATTCCTCGTATCACAAATGGAGCTCTCACCGCTTAACCCAGGGAAAAGGAGGAGAGTTGCAAGGTCAGAAGCACCAGACAGTCGAGTCTCTCAAGATTTGGAAGAGACATTGCGGAACATCGAAAAGAATCTTGATGAGGTGGGAAAAGTGTTGAAAGAAGACGTTGGAGGGGCGATCCGCGAGCAGACTGAAGTGCTGAAGGGTGTTCTCCATGAGTTTGTGTCAAAGTAGAGCGGGTACAAATCACTGCTGTATCATTATTGTTGATTGTGTTAGTAAAGACTGTACGAACCTGCCTTTCTCTTTGTCCAACTTGTCTCCCATAGTCTTGGACAGTTTCTTGAACTCGTGTTTGGACTTGGCGTTATCGACACCTCAGTTACAGTTTGAGTCGTCCAGATTTAAGCTTGATTGAAGCTTGATTGAAGCTTGATCGATTGATCATTGATAAGATTACAAAGCCAATCAGTCATTCAAGGTCTGGCCATTGATAACATCAATTCGCTAGTATTTGTATCTTATCTAATAACAGAGGCACTATCTATACACATGTGCCTTCACTCCTCGAAGTTATCGCTTCCATCTTCGCTGTTCCCACCCTCGTTGAGTCCCCCAGAGCCTCGTTCAGAATGGCTGTTATGGCCTTCGGGCTGTTCATATCCATCCTCATCATGATTCAATGCAGCCATCACACTTTGCATTAATTGATCCCTGTCTGTGTTGCTCAGTTGGCCTGCGAGTCCATGGCTTGTATTGGGGAAAAGGACTTGATCCCACTCTCGGAATATATTGAGTACACTTTTTTTTTGTTTTTGAAGGCCGCTTAAAAGGTACTCCAGGTAGTTGTCAAAATCATCGTGCCAACGAATGCCAGATTCGTTCCCCTTTTCCTTGAGGCACTCGTCTGGAGATAAGGCCCAACGAGCCTAAATAAATCCCTGTATGTTAGTCAGATTTCTCTATGAGCTCAAGAAGTACTCACAAGGACAGCAGAAGCTGCGACCATGCCAGGCGTTGTATGGTTTAATCCCCATGTTAGATCCATCGTTTCATTGTTTCTTGCAGCACGGGAAGATTCGCCTTCGTTCATTGCAATTACGGATGCAGGCCCTCGTATGATACAGCTCATTGTCTGCTTGGTTGGCTTTTAGTTCTTATTTTTTTTCAGCTGTTATTGACTCACTTTCTGAAGAATTGGATTCAAAAAAACTGTTTGGATGTCGAAGCGTCCCTTGTAGTTACGATGAAGGACACTGACGTTCCATGGATGATACGTCGAGGTACCGTTTGCATTTTCTACCCGCCCAATATCTTCGCTAAACTTTGCACATCGTTTGCGGGATATCCTCAAGTCTTCCTCCGTGCAATTAAAAATGGTGGCACCTCGAGATCGAAGACGAGTAGCTGTGTTTGACCGCTGTTCTTGCATTCCATCACGGAACTGAAAATCAGGTGAGTTTCGAACACTGCTTACAAAATTCTGGACCACTCACTGAACGGCCTAACCAGTGATTCGGAAGGTCACCATGGTATGTGGCAGGAACAATGTCTAAAATATCACGAAGCTGACCTTGCACTTTAGCAGCTGTGCTGCCAAAACGGTCCAGTTTATCATACTCGTCGTCAATGGTTGTTTGAAAAGTCTTGGTAGGCTCATGTAGCCAAAGAGCATGAGTTATCTCAAACTGATGCCCCAGTCCCTTGATTACTTGCTCGTGGTGCGTGTCATCATCTCTTGAGCTCTTGGTTTTTTTTTCCTTCTTTGATCCCCTTTCAACAGACTCATCCTGATGTACCTCATTCATAGCATCGTCGTATTTACGACGCATAGTTTTAGCTTCTTCCTTTGCAGCATTAGCTGCAATTTGAGCGTTACGGGCAGCCTATATACACCATCAGCACATCTTTGTGGACAAGAAACTAACTGTCTCTACCTTATACAGTGATGCTGGTGACATTCGCAGACTGATTTGTGATAAATCACTATCTGATTCCGTGTTACTGATGGGTTTCTGCGCAGAGCTTGGATGCTCGTTACTATCTGGTGAGTCTGATACCTCTGAATCATCTCCACCTCTCTCTCGTTCACTATTGCCCTCCATTTCGGTACTAGACGCCTGTCTGCGTGAAACAACTCTGCTCTTTGCATAGGCTATTCTTCTTCCTGGAGCTTGAGCAGTCTGACGAGCAGCCTTTTGATTGGTAGAGGTCTTCTTCTTCTTGTCTTTGATATGTTTCTGTTTTTTTTCCATCTGCACTGTTTTGGTTGGAGACGAGCAACAGTGTGGAGTATCTGTTACTGACTCTGATTCAATTGTTACGTACACCAGGCTAACCGTGACTTGTAGATAACATCATGATCTATGATTTTCTCAACAACGACGTCTCCATGCTCAACTATACTAGCTAGCTACACTATGTCTCATATTCCTAGGACAACCGAGGCAAAAAAAGGACCATGGTGTAAATATTGTCAACAACACCGAAGCACACAGCGCTTTGACAAGCACATCAAGTCCTGCAAGGTCAGAAATCAGGAACAATTAGAGCTAGCGGCACGACAAGAAAACCATTCAGAGAAACGGTGCTTAGGGAGATCACTCGAGGAGCCAAATCAAAAAAGAAAGAAAACTGTTGAGGTGTTAACGTCTCTCTTTTTCAACTTCTTAAATTTACAGTTCTGTGCATCTTATCAGGCTGACGGAGACCAGACTCAAGTCAATGACGAGGTTGAAGCGGGTCCTCCAATCAGCGGTGCGGGAATATTTCATTTCATTCTGTCTTTCAACTGTGCCTGACAGACTTGAGTCTTGACTTAGCAGAATCTGGTAACGACGAAACCAATGTCCAACAGATATCAAGTGCAACTTTTATTCAAGTTGTCCACCATCCTCAAAGTGGGAAGCACGACCCAGTCATAATTCCCCTTGACAGTGTTATCCCTTCAGCTGATCAAGGCAACCACGAAGCTGGACTTGGCTCTGCATTGGAGATCAAACCGTGGGCGCCCTTTCGCAATCGTGCCGACTTTGAATATGCGGAAACAGCTGTCAAGGGATTATTAAGTAAAGCAATAGTAAACACACAGTTATATGGGATACATCATGGATGGGCAGATAATACTAACATTACATTTCGGAACTATGCAGACATCGAGAAGACTTTACAAGTAGCACGTGCGCAATATGTCCAGGTGGGCAAAGACGACCCTCAAAATCGATTCTTCTAACCTTTCTTTCAGTTTCAAGAAGGAAATGTTTCTGCATGTTATCTAGGAGAAACTCATTACTTCAAGTTTCAGTACCGAGATCCGTGGAAAATCTATCGCAACTGGATTATGGATGAGACATTAGCGCCTCTCATCCTTTGGCATCCTTGCCGCAAATATTATTGCCGTCGAAATGGTAGGATAGTCTTGAAAGAACGCATATACGACGAGTTCAATTCAGCCAACAAATGGTGGGACGTACAGGTAAATATATAGTATATACATTTACATGCTTTCTGATGTGGATTAATTTGAATGCAGGAATCCTTTCCACAAGAAGAACCACCGCATTGCTTTCTACCGATCTCTCTCTGGCTTGACAAAGGCAACATCACTAAGCGGGTCAAGAAGCACCCTATAATTATTCGTCCGCTATTTTTGCCGCGGGGGGTAAGAAATGCGTCGGGAAATGGAGGAGGTGTTCTTGTAGGGTATATGCCCATTGTAAGCGTTTTTTCTGCTACACAGGGGCTTCTTATTGCATTGTTTTTACAGCCTTTGGACCCGGCCGACCCATCTGACAGAAACACTGCTGATACCATTAAATGGCAGTGCTTCAAGCGTGAAGTTTACCACAAGGTTGCCGAAGTAATATTCCACTCACTACGATGGCCTGCACGCTTCGGAGAAGCAATGGCCTGTGGTGACAAAATTGATAGAGTGATACATCCAGGAATACCAGTCAAGTCTGTTGATGGCGAAGAAAGCTGTGCGCTAACAGCTACGCGTGCGGCCCTGGCCAAATTTCCATGCCCGAAATGTCTTGTCTGCCATGACAGTTTAACGAAACTATGCGGAAATTTTCAGTGTCGCACAACTGACAACATGGAGAAGGTGTACAAGCGTTCAATCACAGCATCAAATAAAACGGAGGCTGAACGAATCTTACAAGCCCACGGATTACATGCAACCAAGGTTTTCTCCCCGTATTTTTTTTATCTTCCACTCACTAGCTTTTTACAGAACTTTTTTTGGTCACTCGACCACTCAGACCCATATTGTTCCATTTCATACGATAAATTACACTCCGATGATCTAGGAAAATGGGGTAAGCACATCTGGCCGCTCCTCCTCACAGTGTTAGCAGAAAACGGAAACAAAGGCCATATGGCCAGAAAGTAAGTTTCAACTACACGTCAAACTTGACGTCTCACTAAAACTCGGGATATATAGCATGCGGAATGTATCAAGATGGCCTGGACTCAAACACTTCATGAACGTCACCACAGTCGAATATGCGGATGGTCAAGTGTTTTATGATATACTCAAGGTGCATAGTCCTTAATACATTATTTATTAGCGCTATACACTGACTTTTCTGTTCTTCTAGTGCATCCTCCCATGCATCGTCCAAATTCTCCCTAGGAACTCAACATTAGTACATGGTATCCGAGCCTATGCTAGATATCGGCTCATGATTGGCCTCAATTGTATGACCGAAGGGAGGACACACCGGCTAAAACAATATATTATTCAATATGAACAATGTTGTGAAGTGAGTAACGGTTCTACATGTGTCTTGATTGTTTTCTAATGGTTCTTATAATACAGCACATTTCAAACAATTACGAGAAGGACTTCCACTTTAGCAAGCAACACGCCATAAATCATATTCTCACAGAAATCCGGCAGAAGGGTGCAACGGATAACTACGACACACGAGTCAGCGAGGGCTTTCACCAAGAGGCGCAAGAAGCCTACGAGCAGACAAACCGGAAAGATACAGACAGCCAGGTAAGCAAACATATTTATGTGTACCAAAAGCCCGATGTTCAGTTTCCACAGATGGCTCGCATTGACGAGAACCAAGAAGCCATCGCCCACATACGGATGACCGTCGACAACTATGATAAAGCCCACCATAACGACACTGAGGACCAAGACTTAGGAGATGACGCTGGCAGAAATGATGACCAGAGGTCGACACAACCTACCCCCGATAACCACTGGATGCTAGGATCTCCCACAAACCTGACAAGCTCGGTAGTCATGGAGCATTGCGAGGGCCTCAAAGGATTTGACAAGCGTCTGCGGAGTTTTTTAGTCTCAAGTTGCAATGTAGCCGTTGGAGATGGTCCCATCTCAGTAAGCTGATATTAGATATACTTTACAGCTCTAACATTGTTCTATGTTCCACAGATCAGGAAATATCAATGCATTTATCTTAAGTATCAATCACACGAAGACTGGAGCGAAGGACGGGACATCCTTCGCTGCAACCCCAACTTCAATAAAGAATCACGCTTCGACTGTGTTCTCATTAACACAGACACATCGGAGCCAGTTCCTGCTCAACTCCAAACCGTCTTTCGATGTTTCCTTCAGTCCTCTTCGTTTGATATTGTGTCGGTCAAGATATTCAAGCCATCAAATGGAATTCCGAGGACCAGATGGTCGGGGGCACTTTTGTATGATGAAGCGAGAGATTTCAAGCTGGTCATGGCTAAGTCCCTGATTCGGGGAGCTCATATGATCGAGGCTTTTGATCTGAAGGAAGGCCGGTTTTATTTAAATGACTTGATTGATGGTGATATGTTCCTACGTTTCGGGAACTGACAACTAGACTGCTTTTATTGTTAACTACCACTAGTAAAATCTCAGGTGTCACATTTTGAACCGTTGAGCTAAGTCTGTCTGATGGCATCTATTTCAACCCATACATGCTCTCTTTTGATCTGGTCATGTCTGGTCAGAGAATATCTGTCGCTCGTATCCCTCTTACCCCAGCTAATCCGCCTGATCGTTTTCTGTCCCAGTTCCGATATGTTTCTCATCAGACACAATCTGTGTCTCTTATCTTCTTATCCCAGCTGATCCGCCTGATTATAGTCTGTTCTATTTCTGATCCGATTCTGATCACCAACGGCTCAGATCATCAGGTGGCCCAGGTAAGTTACAGACATTCGTAGGGTCTGATCTGGTTAAACGGATTTTTCCGACATTTAGACTCAGGAATTCGGAACCAACATACTTTGATAGAAGGAGATTGCGGCCCGGTGTCTGATTTTACTGCGATCCGCCGATGTGATGCATAATGCTAGCGCTTTGAATATGCTATCTCACTAACAGACATCCAGTGGCAAAATTTCGCTCGTAAATGGGCTGGATAATGCCACAATGTTAGTAGCTATCTTCCCGTCAGATGTGTAAGGTAAAAAAGGCTAAGAAGGATTCTTGAAGGTCAGATGCTTGATTTGCAGGATCAATATTCTTTGCCCAGAGCCGCACGATGTCACGCGGCGCATTCGAACGATGGTGATACAGCATAAGTTTACAGGTCTACAGCGGAATGAGTAATGCATAATACAGTATAATGGGGAAGACTGAGAACACGAAGACAATCATACAAGCTGTGTTGCGAATCCATGAAGGTAGCAGGCATTAAAAGTCGTCTGGGGCACCGAAAGTGTTATTCTTGGTTTTATCTCCTTTTTTCCCGCGTTTACTTCCTCTGCCTCGAGTGCTACCGCCTCTCCCACTTGCTGTTCTCGTTCTAGAAGTAGATTTGGTTGGTTTAGGTTTTGCTGATGATGCCCCGTTAGGACAGGCTGGAGAGAATTGTGATATCAAAAACTTCATATAAAAGCTGAAGACGTACCGGTGCTGTAGTGCCCAGGTTCACCACATCTATAGCACGTCCCTGATGCACTTCCCATGGATTTAGTTTGCTTGAAACCACCAGGTTGAGGGCAATCTGTTCAAAGCTTAGGCCTTCTTTCGATAATGGTTCGAGAACACCACTTACCGGCTGCCCAGTGACCCTCTTGATCGCACTAAAAGTTCTGTGAGTAACACAATAACAGAACCAGCATAATATTTATTGAAACACCTTAAAACATGTCTTCGAAGATGGTGTACCGCGTTGATCAGTGACCGAAGTACTTGGTTGAGGTCCTGAGCTACCGGAGCTGGCTTTTCCATCATCCCATTCAAAGAAATTGCAGCCGTTGTCTATGCCTTTCGAACAAGCAAAAAACGGCCGACCTTTGTTGGGGCCTTCCTTAGTCACAGTTCTTCGGACCGCCTCCTCCTTACATCGACATTGAGGTGAAGGTCTAGCTTCAGTCACCGCCTAGTGATACAGGTCAAGTACGACATATACACGCCATGCATTTATACTCACTGATCGATCGGAGAATGTTCTCTTAGTGGGTACGACAGAAGAGGGATTATCTTCCGTCCACTGGAAAAAGCCACAAGTATCACCTCTGCCACATGCAAAGAACTGCTTCCCTTTCACGGAAGATCCATTCGTCATTGTTTTCCGTAGTGCTGGCACACCACAGAAGCACATCTGTCCATTGCCATCCTGGACTCGGGCGTTGCTACTATGTGAGGGCACATGTACTATATCGTCAGCCACTAGAAGTCGAGGATTGTTAGCAGGACTTAAGTAAAGAATAATATAATCCATACCGCCGTCCAAAGCAGCACTGTGTGGGGCTGGATTAGACGCCACACGAGTTCCTCGCGCTCTGCCGCGTGTAGCGGAAATGACACTACCTCGACCTGTTCCGCTCCTTGGGGCTCTTCTTTGACCCTCTCCACCATCCCCATCACTGTCTGGACTATCGTCGTCATCATTATCAATATTACCCCCGCTTCTCCTGCCGCTCCCACTTCCTCGCCCTCGCCCACCACCACCGCGTCCCCTCCCCCCACCATTGCCACCGCCACCTCGCCCTCCGCCGCCTGGACCAACACCACCGTTACCGCCACCTGCATTTTGCGCACCATTACGTTCTATGTACCTACGTACACTCTACAAGGCTTTCATGAGGAGGATGCGCAGAAGTTGGCCATATAATGAATACTTACCGCGACAACTTTCTCGAACTCGCGTTTCGCAGTGATAAACATCTCCTTATATTGATCGATACTTTCAGCGAGCATGTCGCCCTTCGACTTATTTCCTTCGCAAACCTGAGCCATACTGCGCTCTGTCTGACGTTAGATCATAAACATAAGTATGACATATTTGGTCTGGTGATTGTTGACATAGATGCACCTGTCGCCTTAACTGGGGTTTGCTCAAGCTCCTGTCGAACCCAATTTGATTGTAGCCTTCGATCAATCCAATTCCGAGGGTTGAGGGGATGAGGTGTTTCGTGGAACCTTCCATGCGCTCGATGACGTATTCTCTGTCGACTATGGTCTGAATGTGTTGAGCTATAGTCGCATCAGTTCCTAAGGATACTCGAGTTACAATAACATTAATTTCACAGACGAGCACTTGCATACCAATCCCATTCTTGTCCATCAATGTGACTAAGTCTGCCTCTGTCAACAGCGAGGGCGCCGAAGTCTGCCCTTCTCTCACCTCGCACACAGTAGGTCCAAATTCTTCGCCCTCCCTAAACTCTGGGATCTCTTTACTGGACCACTTATCGTATGGATAGACCTCAAGGTAGTTGCGCTGTAATATTACCAGTCCTGTTCATAGCATCGAATATCAGTAGGATGAAACGGGTTGTAATACCACTACGAACCTGTCACATAAAATTGCTCGCCACCATATTCGACGTCTACTGTGGTTTCCGATCCTTCAGCGTCCTTGGAACAGCATGCTAGAAAGCGCCGTGCTATATACTCGTATACTTTCTTTTCGTCACCAGCCAAGTTTGCAACATGTGCAGTAGGGTGAATGGGAGGGTGAGCTTTGTCGTTATTCTTCCCTTTTCTGGGAACATTGAAGCCACCTTCTTGCAGACTGGACGAATGTAATTATGTATAATTTACGAAAGGACATAATCAACACTCACGATGTCGCAAAGCCACCCCACGCAGGGTCAGCAGTCTGTTTTGCTATCAGATGCATGAAGTCGAACTGAGGGTCAAACTGGTCGGTTTCCGTGCGGGGGTAAGACAAAAATCCTTGTTGATATAGTTTTTCAGCGATCTATCGTTGGGATTACTATTAAATAATTAGTTTAAGTCACACTGGAAATACTCACGTCTAGGACTTTTTTAGGCGCTAATTTGAGCAATCTTGATCCAGCCTTCTGTAGTTCAACGGTGGTGAGGGGTAACGGTTTCCTAGATGCTTATTAGAAGAGTATGATTTCATGATCAAGCTGATCACCATTTTTTTGTGTTTTTCTGGGTGACTTTAGTCACTCGAGCGGTACGACTTTCCAGAACACCTTCATACAACGCGACAGCCACATGCCAGTCAAATATATGCCCTCTCCTCCAGTTGAACTGAGTTTCTTCGGCTCCCAGTGGCCGTGAGAGAGACAAGTAAATGTACCAGAAAGGTTCAGGTAAAAATGATTTTACTTGATTATATCGTGAAACGACAAATCCCAAGGTAGGAAACTGGCAAGGGCCTATATAACACGCAGATATCGAGTCACACCTAATGTCCGCTATAGAGAAGATGACGCACCATAAGATACCGGTTCTCGTTTGTCATTGAGTTGAGCGAAGTGACTTTGCAATGCTAAAGTTTGCATGCGAGTAAACGCAGCACCGATTCGTAAATCTAATATTATGCGTGCCTCTACAGCATCTGCTTGAGCCAGGTCTAGCTCGATTGGATGCTGTGCAGCACGATGGATTTGCCTGCATGGATAAGTGACATATAGTAGATCGCATGGCAGCACAGAAATTGTGCTCACTGTGGTATAATTGCGCTGAACCTGGCTCTCTTCACAACAATATTAGGTCGAGCTTTTTGACAAACTTTAGCTACTTCATGTCCAATATTTTCCCCTTCTCTATCGCAATCCGTCCATATCATAAGAGTATTGGCAGACCTCGCTTCGCTCATCAAATTACGTTCAATACTTTTGGAGTCGGTGGGAACCTTTGATTGAACAGGAGCATCGAAGAGATAGAATGGATCGCAAGACTTCCATGATCTACATGTATCCGGGAAGTCGTAAGTCAACAAGTGGCCTGAAACAGATGTCACAGTGAAATGTGCATTTGTTTGGGGATAGTCAAAGTCAAAGTTCTTAATGTATTTATTCGTGGTTTGCCTCTAAGTATTGAATTAGCCACTGTGGTCAAAGTGACCATGATGTGTAGACGTACGAACCGTCTCAAAGCGACCACCTGATAATATTTGGCTGATAGACCGCGCTATGGAAGGTTTCTCTGCAACACACAATACCCGCATGACCTGCGTCGAACAAGCCAGCTACGACACGTAATATTACAAGCCAGGATAGAGATAAGGTCAAACAATGGGAAATGTTCGACAAGTACGAGTGAAAGAAAACACGGGATATGACCGATAGCTTAACGTTTTCTCCGAAGAGAACCAAAATTGCCAGTGCTGGCTTCTGACAATCATCTCTTAACACGTCCTGTCACGTCCTCATGTAGGTCACGAGAGGGTCACTTTCCCGTGATTATCACGTGCCCTCGCGAATGCTCGAAGTTTTTGATGAGCTGCGAGTCGACGAGACTTCGTTATGGACGACGGAAACAATACAACCACCAAATTGTTGACTCTCCTCAACGTATCGGCTCTGAAGCTTGGAAAGCGCAAGCGAGAAACCCAAGTCGATCCCGAACATGTTCTCACTCCTCAGAAGTTGAACAAGCGCGCATCCATCAAGTTCGCTATAGACTCGGAAGAATCTTCCCCTGAAGAACCACAGTCTTTATCCCTTGATGGTGCACAAAATGCAATGGACCAGGAACCTGATAGTGTTGACTCACTAGACGAAATAAAAGACGATACCGATCCACAAGGTAGGTTGAAATGGTCACTCATCGAATTTTACGTGGTCCTTAACCATGTTAGATGCTATGGAATCATATGAATCCCATTTTGGTCCCAACCCTTCTATTCTAACTGAGGAATCGAGAACTGCAGTTGATGGCCGTCAGTGGAAAACCGCCCGAGCTAATTATGAGAAACTTTCGAGCGTCGTATATACATCTCACGATATACCGACGTCACTCTTGAAGCCTATCAAAAACATACCAGTAAGATCGTTGTTTAGAATACTTTCAGATTATACGAGCTGAAATTCCACTACCAGGTTCTAGAGAGATTGAAAACTCCATTTGAGGTTCGGCAAGTTTTACAATCCCCAGGTCTGTCTCAAATCGCCACGATAACCACATCCGGATACTAAGGATCGTGTCTATGTAGATGAAACCCAACTTCAGAACAACTTACTATCAATATTGGGTTCGCACCGCGACCTATATTACCCATCCTTGTCTATAGATCATAAAAGAAGGGCTCGCGAAGCTATCGCACTGCACGCTCTGGATCATTACACTAAGTAATACACTAATATGTTATACTTTTCCATATCTAACCGCCTACCTCCAGAAAACGCCGACGAGTTCTAAAAAATAACGAGCGCATCGCCCATGCAAAGTCGGCCTCCACTCCTCCGCCAGAAGACGTTCAAGATCAAGGATTTACTCGCCCTTCGATTCTTGTCCTTCTCCCCTTCCGTTCCTCTGCCCTAGACTGGCTTAACGCATTCACCACCCACACGCCTGGATTTCAAATTGAGAACCATTCACGGTTTGTATCGGAGTATGGCTTACCTCCTGGTGTGGTTGACAGGTTGGCCTCTGCTGAACCAGGGGTGTATCCTCGAGACCACGTAGAAACCTTCAAAGGCAATGTGGATGACAACTTCAGAGTGGGCATAAAAATGACGAGGAAAAGCGTGAAATTATTTTCTGAATTTTATGCGAGCGACATAATACTTGCTAGTCCATTAGGACTACGGATGTCAATTGAGAAAGAAAAGTGGGTTAATCAAGTGGCAGATCGTGACCTCTTATTGTTAACCTTCATATCTTCAGAAGTGCAGATTTCTTGTCATCCATAGAGATTTTAATTGTGGACCAGATGAACGCACTCATTATGCAAAACTGGGATCACGTTCAGGTATGACATGTTGTATATGCTGCACTAAAAACTAAGTGGCCTCTACAGTTTGTATTCTCCAATTTAAACAAACTACCGAAAGAATCGCATGATGCGGATTTCTCGAGGATCAAGCCATGGTATCTAGATGGCCAGTGAGTCAGCTAATCGAATGATATCCCTACATTATATTCATTTCTGAGTTGCAGTTCAGCATATCTTCGGCAGTCTATCATGCTATCTGCATTCGAAACCCCAGAGCTACGCGGTATCTTTAATAGCGATTTGAAGAATATATCTGGCAAAGTCAGAATTGAGAAAGTCTGGACTGCCGTTCAAGTACCTGCATCGATCGATCAGGTGAGAAATATATTATAATCAGCCTTCACCATCGATGCATATACAACCCTGCCCTTAGCTTTTTACTTCGTTCGATTGCCCTAATCCAAAAGTCGAAGCGGACAAACGCTTCAATCATTTTACTACGCAGGTAAATGCACGACTTTCCTGTGCTTTTTGGGAGCAGAATTCAAACCCACTCTTTTTTTTTTTTTTTTTTTTTTTTCAGCTTCTTCCTAAAATCCTAAAATCCGCCGTCCAAAGTGTCAACACAGCTATCTTTGTTCCATCTTCTTTTGACTTTATTCGCGTGCACAATTACTTCAGGAAACATGCTGGAGTGAGCTTCGCTGTGTTGTCTGAGTGGGTGCCACAGTCATCTGTCATGACTATATGCTCATTTTGCTCGCTCGACTAGGTATTCCTCGAATCAAGAAATCTCCCGTGCAAGGCAAGCTTTCTTTACGGGCAAGAAATCATTCTTACTCATAAGCGAGCGCTTCCATTTCTACCGGAGGTTCGTACACCCGTAGCGCTACGATATACGTGCTTTATGGTCTAAAACTAACGTTGCATCAAGATACAAAATTCGAGGCATCAGAAACGTGATATTTTACGGCCCTCCAGACCACCCGCAGTTCTTTTCGGAACTGCTATCTTTCCCGTTCTTGGACGATGGGGTTGATGCTACTGATGTAACTTGCCGTATCTTGTACTGCAAGTATGACTGGTTCCGATTGGAGAGGATATTGGGTTCAGCAGCCATAAAGCAATTCATGCAAGAGAACGTCACGTAACGATGCAATGGTAGAGTCACTATGTAGTAGTAGATTGAGGAAGCCGCCATACTGTCGTTCCCAGTCAGTTCGTATTTGAGGTACAATTCGGACACTATCTGAAAACACCATATAGCACTTAGTACTTACTTTAGTTATTTTACTCAGTGAATTGAAAGACCTTAAAAATCCCTCCTGAAGTTTTTTCAGCTCGAACTATCAAGCCGTTTTTCTGTCCCTTTTTTCAAGCCATTTTTCGACCTGTAACAGCTACTTATGTAACGCTCAAACAATAGAGCGGAAGCCCCCGAAAAGTCAGATTCAGACCCAGGTGTGACAAATTATGACATTTGTTTATAGTATGAGAAAACATGCATTGGCCAGGGCTTGAACCTGGGACTCCAGCTTTCATGGTCTGGTGCTTTACCAACTAAGCTACCAAGGTGTACTTGGAAAGCATACTGATTGGTTGCATGCCCAGAAGGTCCAGAATCACTGTACACGGTGCCATGCACCAAAGTTGATTGGTAGCATGGACAGGTGTCAATAACGAAGCGAATATTCAAAAAGAATCGCCTTTGCGCCACACAGGCACAGTGCCACCTGGAATAGTAATTAATATTGCCTTTTTCAATCTTGTGGCTGATCAGCATCACCTCTATTAGGCAATCCAGTCACGCTCACCTTTGCTTTTCCATTCGGTACTTTCGGCATTTCGGCATTTCGGCAAATTTTCGTGTCGCCACTGGCTACACATTGCATTGCGCCCTCGCTTTTGTCGTTTCCCTTACTCCCCTTCCTTTGCCTAGCCCCACCATGGGCCCCTTCCTCTCCTTTTTATTCTCACCTGACGGTTGTTTCTGGATCCCCATTCTAATCCACTTTTTCGTCACCTCCACCCTCCTCCTCATCTTATTTGCACCCCCACCATTTCTGATGTCACCACTTCCTATCCGCTTCCGTCGCCGATCCGTTGACTACCACGTGCCACTGCTGATATCAGCAAAGCCCCGGCGGCCGGTCCAAATAGGACAACAGGTCCATCTTCATGACGTCAATCTGCCATCATATACTATCAAAACATCGGTCGCTCGTCTTGCCTGGTTGGAGCGTGGGTGGGTAGTTTTTGAGCTGGAGAAGGTTCATCCCCTTGCGTCGCCCATGTTCATCGCTGTCCCATTCACTTGGGTACACTTGTCTTTTGTCCATCGTCTTCGCTACAGCTACACCTATCACACGCTGCCTGGGACTCACTTGTTCCAAATTGGAACTACTCCTCTCCCTCCCTCATTTGACCAGGTGGTCCAACACAACCAGTCCATTGGTAAGGCCATGGAACTGTCGGATTTGGACTAGGTGGTGGACCGGTGGCTCCAGTTTCTTTTTCTTCAGCAGAACATTCATTTACAGTGCGATTATTTTTGATTTTTGAATCATTTTTATGGACACATATTTTTTAGAATGCCTGACTGACAATAAAGGAACTGTGTTGATACTGATAGTGTTTTGCCTTGCCTTTTTTTTTACTGCATCTTCCCATGACATCATGATTTTCCTGCTCTCTTTTTGCTATTGGACTTTACTTTATGACCGTACAAACCTGTGACATTACTCACAGCATTCATTGTTCTATCCCTTTCTTTTCCTTTTTTTGACAATCTTATCCTGTACTACCTATGCAGGATTCGTCAGCGTACATTCCTTCCTTCATGTTCTTTCTCATTCTTTTTGCACAGCTATACTGTGCATAGCCTACTTTTCTTTCACTATATAAACCCCTGTATTTTACCTTGTAAAAAAAACAAGAACTCAATTCCAGACTTCTTCTCTAATCTTAAGTCCACTTCTTACTGCTACTTGTGATCCAGTGTGGTCACAACACTTCCCACTTCTACCACTGTTAACTGCTGTCATCGTCACTCGTCACTTTTGAAAGTGATTGTCATCCCCTTCAATTAGAGTCCTTCTGAGCACTACAGTTTATGCGTCAGGAGCCTGCTATCACTGGGAACCTCGTCACCTCGTCATCCTCGTTGTTCTCAAACCTACCTTGTGCTACGATTAGCAAGGTAGTGCTCATCTATACTCGTCACAAAGCCCCTATCCTTCTATAAACTCAACTATCCCTCCTCCTCAAAACCCACACTCATACACCTCTGGGTTTTACTTTGAAGGATCTTTATACGTACCACCCCACGAACAACCAGACCACTCCACTGTTCTAGGAGGCAAAGCCCATAAACAAGTTCCGTGGAATCTGGGAGGATTGTGTGTTAGTTTGTTTTTGTGTGTGGTTTTCTAACAGCAGTTCTCATCATCGACAACGGGTGCGGATCCCATTGTGTTGTGATAAGGTGTATGTGCGCCACAGGCTGTCAAACAACGTGTTTGACACACTTCAAGAGTTCTACAATGGCCCATCAGCAAAAATCAGCAGCAAAATGTCCCTACCAAGCATCAAAGGACCTAGAATACGAGAATAGGATACAGGCAGCGATAGAGGACTATAAACGGGGGCTCTACATGTCATATGCAGAGGCTGCGAGGTTAAACAACGTGAGTGATTAGATTTCTGATCAATTGATCAGATGAATGTGATCTGGAGTTTAGGTTGCCCGTCATACACTTCACGATCAAGTGAAAGGAGTGCACAAGACATACCAACAAGGTCAAGAAAAGAAACAGCTCCTATCTGCAGCAGAAGAATCGGTTTTGCTTGATTGGACACAACACTATGGCACCATGGCCAACCCCTTGTGTCCCAAGAAGCTTCGGTCATGTGTGCATGGTATCTTGGGAAAAATCCCTGGAAAACATTGGCACTACAGGTTCATTAGCCGCAATCCATCACTTGTTCTCCAAAAGCCGCAGAAACTGGACCCGAAGAGAGCGAAGAACTTCAACCGGACAGTAGTGGCTGACTACTTTACACACAAAAACAGTTGAATGATATGTATGGTGGGATTCCTCCAGAACATGACTGGAACATGGACGAGAAGGGGATGTTAGTTTTGGTGATTCTGCACCTAGTTGTGCTATCTATTTTCCCTTCTTTCTAAATCACTTTCCTCTTTATTCTTTTTGCTGTATTGTTCAGTATTCACTGAACATTCTATAATTTCGCCTTTGTGGCTGATTTGTTTACCTTTGTTTACAAAACTTCGGACTAGTATTGCAGAGTCCAGTATTCCTATTCTTTAGTTACTCATACTGGACTCTAGGTACTGTACACATTCTGTACTCTCTGATAATATAGTTACTCATACTAGACTCTAGTTCTGTCCCTGTTAGCTCTCAGCAAGTGGCTAGACACTTCCCAGAAGTTCTCAATTGAACAAGGGATTCAAATGGGAGGAGGCAGGAAAGGAGACGGGACGAAGTACTTTTAAAATAGGAAGCAGAAGGGATCATACCGCATCTCGGATGACAATTTGGAGCTTGTTACGGTGATAGAGCACATTAGCGCTGCTGGAGTGTTGATGAAGCCTGGTTTTGTGTTGAAGGAGGGGCCATTGCCTGATTTAAGTGCCGTCGAGGGCATAGGAAGGTCTGTTTTCTCCATTCCTCTGCCCATATCATTTTAATAACCTCCTCTTCCATACAAAAACTGGCTGGACAAACCGTGGAATATGTGAGGAGTGGTTCAACAAGACATTTATGACAAATTATGACATTTGTTTATAGTATGAGAAAACATGCATTGGCCAGGGCTTGAACCTGGGACTCCAGCTTTCATAGTCTGGTGCTTTACCAACTAAGCTACCAAGGCGTACTTGGAAAGCATACTGATTGGTTGCATGCCCAGAAGGTCCAGAATCACTGTACATGGGTGTGGATCCCATTGTGTTGTGATAATTTATCCCTGAGTCCCAAGCTTGCTGCATTGATGATAGGCCAGTCGTTCTTACTTTGAATGGCCATGACCCGCATGAGCAACCTGTCCTTCAAGCTCTAGCTTATAAACACAGCATCATTATCTATCGCCTCCCATAAAAAACCACTCATAAATTATAGCCGCTTGATGTTGTTGTGTTTGCCCGAGTTGGAAGGAGTTGGAGTTCGCACACAAACCGCATTGCAATAGAAGGCATCAAAATTGATTGTTACAACATTGTTCCAGAGTATCTTTCTATCCGTCATGTTATTACACCAGAACTCATCTGCACGGCCTTCAAGGAGACTGGTATCTATCCGTTCAACCCGAATATCTTCACGGAGGGGGACTTTGCGCCAAGCCAAGTAATGTCCACATCTGCTCACTTCCCTGATAGTTATCCAAGTGACATTGACACAAGCAACAAGTCTTTCCATACAAGCGACGGTAGTAACGAGTCAGACACCGAGTCAGATCTGATGTGGGATGACTCCCCCCCAGGACTGCTTGGTTTGACAGCGCTCCCTGGCCCAACAGTTGAATTGGACGGATACCATGACCAAGAACCCTCTCAGGAGTATAAGAGAACAACAACAAACAGAAAGACTCGTCTTCCTATTCATCTCCATTCTATCCTATTTTCCCCCACCTCTTTGCTTCCTCGCCTACTCAAGCTTCCTCCCCCACACAAGAGGGTTCAACACTTCCGCCTGAGCTCTTTTCCTGGCCGCATTTCTCCAATACTCCACCACCATCTCCTTTGCAGATGTCTTTGCCACCACTCCCTCCTGCTGATCCTTTCGTCAATAGTGCCTCTCAATCACAAACTGGCAGTGCCCCATCCATCTCCTTCTCCATCACAGCTTGGGCTTGATGTCTTCCCCTCTCCTACACCATCTGACCGTGTGTGCGAGTGGAAGGAGATCGAGTGGGAAAGCCCGCATAAACACAGAAAAGGAGGCAAGTAAGCAGCAAGAAGACACCGCTCATAACACACAAATAACAATAGAGACTGTGATGAAAGTCTTTGACAGATCTCTTGTGTCTTACAAGCGCAAGGAGGACCTCATTGTCATAGCCGGTGCTCTTGGTTTACCAATTGATGGGACAGTCAAAGCCCTCATTGAAAGGATCAAGTCTCACCTTCAAGGACATAAGGAGTTAGCAGATAACCCCCGGTTTGCTGGCCTTTTTGGCCGTCGTGTTCAGGCCCCTGAGGGTTCTAGTCACTCCGGACAATCATCCCAATCACCCTTATATTCTAGTGTCAACTCATCTACTGCGTTTTCCCCCCAGTCTGTCCAGACTCCATATTTTTTGGCCACACAATCGCAATTTCCTGACCCCACATTTTACAACGGTTTCTCTGGCCCAGGCTGTAGTACTCCTGGGCCCTCATATAACTTCAATATCTCTGAGCGTGTTTTACCTCCCCCAACTGATGGAAATGGTGTGACAATTACATATTATAATGAGTTGGGTCAACCATACTATGTTTGGTAGTTAAATATACTCTGAATCTGGTGAAACTGTTGTTTTGATTTTGAGTCAAGCATGAAAGCAATGCCTACTATTCTACTATTATTTCTTAGCAGTGGGACTTCGTCATTTTTTGAGGCTTTCCTCTGCCAAATCGGTGCTTCAATCCGGCATATGTGACCTTAGCGTTACTTTTTGTTACCTTTGTGACGTCCGAATTGTACCTCAAATACGAACTGACTGGGAACGACAGTATTAAACGAGGCGCTTTCTATTGGTATGAATACTAACGTAATGCAAGGCCTGATGGCGTAGTTGGTTATCGCATCTGTCTAACACACAGAAGGTCTTCTGTTCGAGCCAGGGTCAGGTCATTGTTTTTTGCTCTCCCATTCGCTCTTGCAATTCCGACATTGGGTTATGATTAGATATCATTGTTTGTGTGGCAAGGTCTTTTTATTTCTCTTTTCCTCTTCAATTTGAATCCTGACTTCTACCGTTCTGAATCGTGAATTATATAAACAGCTTCGGACATTCGCGAGATTAATATTCACTCTGCATAGTAACTTTGTTCTTTTACTAGCATCCGATGAGCATCTACCTCTACGAACTCCCGACCACGGGTGCCGTCTCCTTTGCCGATTTCTGTGTTGATGGTTCGCCCCAGGACTCCCATACAGCCCACATGGCTGAGGCAACGCAGGCTCGAGCAAATCTTCGTGGTGCTCTCAAGGAGAACAAGCGCGCAGATCGTGATGAGAAAGATTACCTGAAGTTGGTCAAGGTTATACGCCCTTTCTCCTTCCCAGCAGTGGTATTAATGAATTCGTTGGTCCGATCAGGTACTGGACGACTATCTCCCTTATTTGCGAGGAATCATGAATTGCGTAGACAGCGGAGAGATTGCGATGAAATATGAACCAAGTGCGTTTGTACCCTCTTATTCATCTTTGTATCGTTCAACGTCCATACTCATTCCAGTATTCAGTTGGCGTACGACACTCTCAGCAAACATCAATCCTTTGAACACCTCCCCTCGTCTTTCTATACCTTCGTTGTATGCCGACCTCGCGTTCTCGCTTCTAACTTATGCTTTTGCGCTTTCCAACCTTGCGTACTCTATCGTTAACTCCCTAGGAAACTATGAGCGAGAACGAGCGATCTCAGACATCGAGCGCAAAACTAAGGATGAAAAACTCAACTTTGCGGTAACGTTGCTGTGCAGGGCTGCTGGAATCTTCTCTTACCTCAGTGACTCCGTATTGTTGGACTGGAGTAAGATAGAGGCCAGAAACACTGGAAATGTAACTGCCAGACCTCCAGACATGCACAAGGAGGTCAATGCTGCCCTAGCAAAGTAAGTCGATAGACCATTGGTTACGTCCTTTTCTCGAAATGCTTAAATCGAACTCAGACTGGCTATAGCAGATGCACAGAGTTTAGCTATTCGAAAATTACTTTCCAAGTCAGCTTATGATAGTACGCTCACTCCAGGCCCACCTCTTCCTAAATCGCATCCATCTCCCGCCCTCATAGCAAAGCTGCATTTAGAATGTGCATCTCTTTACTCTTCCGCCCGGTCCCTTGCTATGACTCCAGGAAAGTCGAGGTCATCCTCCGGCACTTCGAACGAGATAAGCATTGATCTCCGACGATATCTTGCTGAGAGTGTGCTTTTTCACAATGCCCTGGCACGGAAGTGGTTGGGTGTGGATGCAGGTGAGAATGGAGGCCGTCAGAAAGGAGGAGAAGCTGTCGCATTTTTGATCTGGGCCAAGAAGGATCTGGAGGACCTCAAGGATAGCGGGAAAAGTCTGGGGATAGGGAAGGAGAAGGAGCAGAAGGAACGTAAGAAGCAAAAGGTGCTCGAGGAGCTCGAGAATGTGAATGTGTTCCTGAAGCACTACAAGAAAGTCAACGATTCCGTGAGTACACGTTGTGTTTTCGTATGTAAATATGCTAACAGTCAGACAAGTTATCATTCCAGCCAGTGCCACCACAGATGGATTTGCAGGCATGCATACCAGCAGGACGACTGGCAGTGGCTGTGAAACCATTTTCCTCGCATATACCTGCATTTGGTCCCGGTTCCGTGGAGCATGCTCGCCGCCAAATAGAAGAACTTAGCGTGCTGGAGCCTGGAGTCGAGTCGGAACAATCATCCGACGCGGATAAAGCGAGTCCTTTCTCCAGGGAAACATATGCAGGAGCAGGATCATACTTTTGATGTCACGAGGTATTTCACCCGTAGGGAGTTTTAATTTTCACATTTTCGTGTGTTTTGAATTAAATTATAGTTGTGCGTGATAAGCAATGTTGGGATTAGTCTTGTAATTGGAATCGAATGTATGGTTTAAACCTCTCATGTTTACCGAACAGTGGTGTATCATATTTCCTATCATTTGTCGTACGATGGCAAGCCCCATTCTTCTGGCTTGAAATCTTCAATAGATTTCAAGGTCTGGTCAGCCCTTTCACGACCAGAATACTCCACACCCAATAAATTGGCATCTGGAACCCAGATCACTGCTCAGTCGTGTTTATCAATTAAACTTTAGCACTACAGAGCATCTCGATAAACGCACCAGCCATACCAGCTCGCTTTCCAGCTTGCATTCCAGGGATCGCGTCTTCGAATACGAGACCTTTGGCTCTCTCCCCTTTCTCTTCATCAGTACATTCGTCTTTCTCACCGACATTCCTACCAAGTTTCTCTCTGGCAGCAATTAGGAAGATATCAGGGTTGGGTTTCCCTTGCATTCTGCCGGGGTAATCGTCCCCACAGACTATTTTACCATTAAAGCATTCAAATATATCAGATAAGTGTCCAGTCTTAAGCTCAAAGTTACGTCTGCGAGAGCCAGTGGCGACCCCAATCGGGATATTATGGTTTTTGAGATGTTGGACAAGTTTGCGAACTCCTGGTAGTGGCTCCACTGTAGGCCATATCAGATCTTGGGCTGTGTCGCGTTGGCGGAGATATGAATCTATTGTGAGGGGAATATCGGGGAAGAAAGAAAGCAGATGAGCGGCTGCTTCTCGCTCAGCTGCTGGAATATTCAGAAATTAATTCACGACGTTGGACGATTCACCCACGTTTACCCATGAGACCAGCCTTAATGTCCCATGACATGGATTTGCCATATTGCGCAAGTATATCATCTGAGAAATGGTAAATAACTGATATACTAGAACTTTGTGCCTCCAAACCGAAACATACTTGTAACCTGAGTATATACACTCTCTGAATCAATCATCAGACCTAATCGCAATGATATCAGGATGTCTCCATATAACATACACATGATTCGAGGACGTACCATCCATATCGAAGATTACATATTTCACCTTTTGGTTCGACATGGCGTATCCGACTCGGAGTGCCGCTCTATTATTCTCCGTATATTTTGGGAGCGTCGTTGAATTCAGTAAACGAAGGTTTGATGCATTAAGCTTCGAGTTCCACTTGCAACTTAACGCATACGTCGATCGATGAAACGGAGGTTGCGACTCCGACTCATTTAAATATGGCGTTTTACCATCCGTATCGATGCAAGCATATGCAGATTAAGGCGGCATGCATATGGTCTCGTGCAACTGTCAACTTGATGTACTTTAGCTGGAATTCATGGCGAGTCATATAAAAGAGACAGAAATACTAGTGAAGAGGCCCATATGTAGAACTTTTAAGCCACGGTCAAAATTTCACAGAAACTTCAAGTTAATGTAAAAGGAAGTGTTCATTCTAAGACAATATATTGTTTATTCCATTGTGCTAGTGATTAACGAAAAGAAGAAGACGCGGAATTTGGTAGCTAAAATGATAAATAGTACGGTGAACAAATACCGATGCATTCGCCACGGAAGGCATTTCTATTTGACTGAATCTAAGCAGAGCCATTCTTCGAAGCGTGCGACTGCCAGATATTTTCCAATTCTTCCTCGCGCCTCTTGTGCTCGGCACTGAGCTTCTTCAATTCATCGGGATCCATGAGGTCCAGTTCGCTCTCAGAATCTCCGTTGAGCACTGCTTCAATCTTCCTCTTCTGGGCCACTATCTGCACAAATGTATCCATGAAATTGCTATAGCATGAGCTATATTGAGTGCGCAGGGTATTGTGCTTTGTGGTAATAGGGTATGATGCACGAGAATATTGCTGAGACGGTTCCACATGGTGATTGGTACGAGTCTGAGTGGCTGAAGGCGCATTATCATGTTGTGGTATCTCTCCTTCGTCCTCAGAAGAAGTATAGATGGGTGACCTGCGCCGAGATTTGCTGATATGCGTTTTGTTCCGTCCCGGATGGGGACGTTGGGACGCGCTAGAACTTTTCTCCTGCGACAAGGAAGACTGCCTGGGCGGAGGGGGCGGAGGAGAAGATTCTTTTTTAATTTTAGCGGGACGAGGTGCAGGTGACAGATCTTGCACTGGCTTCTTGGGTAATGAAAGATCCCTGGCCTTGGGCTCTTTGGTGACTGGAGGCGGCATAACGGGCGCCTCGACTATTCTTCGTTTCTTTTGCGCGCTTCCCTGGGCAGAAAATTCACCGTCATCATCGTCGCGAGGAAGAGCTTTGCGTTTGGCAACCATTGGAAAGGTATCTCTGTCTCTTTGCCTGTCCCGATCCCTATCTCTAGATTTAAGCCGATCTTTATCCCTCTCTTTGTCGGACTCGTCTATAACAGAGGGAGCGGGAGATTCCTTCACTTTCTTCACCACCTTACTAGTCGCTGCTGTATTAGGCTTTCGATCTGGAGGTGGTACCAGCACAGGCTTTGGAGGTAAGGACGGGGGTGGAAGCGGGGACCTCTGAGACGAACGAGCTTCCGACGAACTTGCCGTCTTGCGAGAAGCACCGTCGATGCTTCCGTTGCTTGAATCTAGGGAAGGAGCTTTGTTCACTTTGAATCCTGACCCTGGATGTCGCCTTTGAGCAGGCAATGTTTTTGATCCTTGGGAAGCTTGGGTAGTCTTAGGATTTGGAACGGCGGACTGACCAGCCTCCTTTCCTTTGACAGTGGTCGCTTTGGGTGCCTTTGCACTCTCATCCTTCATTTTAATTTCTCCTTTGGTTCGACTAGCATCTAGTTTAGCCTTTTTCTGTTCTTTGAGCTCTCTAGAAACAGCTGGCCGTTTAATTTCCGCCCTAGGTGGAGCAGTGGAGTTGCTGTTGCCAGTAGATCCTTTTGTCGTTACAGCAGAAGATGGTGTGACGTTCGTAGTTGCTGTGCTCCTGTAGCGGGCGAGATCCCAGGCAGGATCAGATTCGGGTATCTTGAGTCCATTGAGGGCCGACCGAACTTTTCGGGAAACGGCGGTTCGCTCTGCTTCTGTTAGATCTGGCCACCCGTATGGGCGGACGTCAAGCCACGTTTGAAGTTTTAAACCCCAAAGACCACGCGTTTTATCAGCTGCATTCTTGGGAGCTGGCTCAGCCACCTTGTACATAGTAGTCATGTAAGAGCAACGACCACGCCACAGAATGTACATGTACTCACCTCTTCTAGTAGTTGTAGCAGCTCATTTCGTGTAGAGCCATGTTCACCCTGTAGCATTTCTACAACCTCCTCGGGGTGTCGTTGGGCAATAGCTAAGCATCGGATCACGCGCCTCCGAATTTCAGGATTCAATTTCTTTGTAGTCGAAGTGGAGGGAACAGGAGATATAACTTGAGAAGGCAGAGCGGCAGAGGCCTTAGACGTAGTTCGAGGTTGCTCAATATGAGGCTTCTTCGTATTCAAAAACGTAGTTGGTGGCGCCTTGCGCTTCTTTACATTACCAGGTAATGTTGGTGGTGCATCAAGTAGTATTGCTTTACGTTCCTGGTGCTTGTTCCTTGCGGCCATTGTCCGATCTCGAACCTTGTCCTGGACTTTTTCTCCCAGCTCTCGTTCTACTGTGAACTTTCCGGTAACATTGGCGTAGAGCTTCAGAGGTGCCATTCGCTTAGCAGCTGAAGAAGCCCGTAGATAGATCTCATGTGGCGAGCTCTCTTTCAGTGGTCGCATGGGAAAGAATGTGTCTCCAATGTAGATACCCTGGTGTAGAAATTAGTATTGGACTTGTAGAAACTAGCGCTCATTAACGCACGGGGCTCTCTCCAAACTCGAAATCCATTGGTGGATGATTAGGAAATGCCTCTAGCGCCTCCAGAGTCTCTGCAGACATGCGGACTATCATTGCTTGTTTTGGCTTTGAATGCAGGGCATCTCCAGGACGAGAGAGGCCTTGCAGGGATAACACTCCATCTCCAGGCAGAGGCATGACTATCGAGGTATATTGGAAGAGAGAGCAAAGCCTGTGTAATGTGGAGACTATGTGGGATGTTTAGCGCTGAGGTCACGGTCGCGAGACGACGATCGAAAGGTCTGAGGCCACACGGCTGAGCGACAGACAGCAAATTTGGCTACACAGAGACCTTGCTCACCCAAAAGTGCAATAACCGAACTTGCTTTCTTGAAAGCAAGCTGGAAAACGAGCGTGGAGATGAGAGAGACAGATCACAATTGGCGGTACCGCCTTCAACTGGGCGCCTCTCTTTCGGAACCCGACCCAAGACCCATTTAAGTCTCATTACATAAGCAGCCCCATTGTTCTCCGAGTCTTTATTGCTATCTGTCCTCGTCCTCGTTATCCGAGTCAATGAATACTCCAGGCTATCTGGACGACAACTTGAGTATTCAGGGCATTTCCCCAACAGATGCTGAAGTGTGAAGAAATCGAGGCTCAACAGCCCTTCCAGCCATCCGACGTGTCTTCTCGTGATTATCGTGATTATTACTGTAGACTTGGAGGATACCTTCGTGTTGCACATTCCGAATTCGTTTTTCGTTACCAACACCCATATCGCCTGTGGCTTATCAGAACATCAACCCCGTTTCTCTCAAAAGCCTCGTCGCTCTGATCATCGTTTGTTCAGATTACCTATTTATTTCCCGAAGAGGATAAACGTTCGTCGATGACATGTACCACGGTGCATGCACTGGTCCGTCTAATATGGAGGCTCGTGCGCATGCACACCAATTCTCGTCGTGATTGGCTTTGCAGAACGTTGCAGAAATCACTTACCTGAAATTTGATCGTATCTACGAGCTGCGAGCTTCGACATTTAAAAGGCCATGCTCAACTTTTTTTCTTCTTCTAGACAGACGAAATGCTCAACTTTTTTTTTGTCCGGTTTTTCATTCTTGTGCTCGGTCTCGTCACGTTGTGGGTCAGATTTAGGTCGGTTGTCCTACTACCTGTTACATATCTTCTTTATTACTCACATGTCGTCGTAGAGATGTTAGTGCGACTGTAACCGTGTTCACCGGTTCTGTCGAGTTGTCCGCGTATCTCGTTCTCGCAGCGATGCTGGCTGGTGTTTTTATACTTGCTCAAGACATCAGGCCGCAACTGAGGTTTATATGGCATTGTTTTATTTGCCCGATCGGCACTGCGGACCAAAGAACAAGGCTGGACAAGGTATATCTTATCCAATCATGGGCTCAGTATCTGTCGTTAATGTTATGTACTGTGCATTCAGTTCTATGAGGGCCAAGCGGATGTCTACGATGCCACCAGAAGTGGTCTGTTACGCGGCCGGAATACGATGCTCACTCTTGCAGCTGGTCATATCCGTACCATGCGTAAGGATATCTCAAAACAGCGTCTCATTTGGGTAGATATAGGAGGTGGAACTGGTATGACTCCTAATTATGCACCCTTCTTTTTCCAACTCGCATCATAGGGCATAATATTGAGCTCATGGACAAACATATCCCAATCAAGTCATTCGATGCCATATATCTCGTCGATCTTTGCGAACCATTGCTCCAAGTGGCCCGTCAGCGGTTCTCCAAGAGAGGATGGACCAATATCACGGTTCTATGCCAAGATGCCACGGAATTCTCTTTACCAGAATGGTCGGATAGTAATCCAAAAGGAAGTGTGGGCTTTGTGACACTCAGTTATTCGTTGTCCATGGTACGTTGACTCAGAATGAGGCCTTCGGCATCTCGCGCGCTAATAATTTGTTTGTAGATGCCCAACTTCTATACGTTGTTAGATCGCATAGATTATGTTTTATCCCCTGAAAACGGTTTACTTGGCGTCGTCGACTTTTATACCTCTGGTAGACAGCCATCATTACACGAGAAGGCAATTGGTGGAACAAGCAAAGAATGTGGATGGATTAGTCGATGGTTTTGGCAAATTTGGTTCGACTTTGACCATGTTTCTCTATCTCCACATCGCCGTGATTATCTGGAATATAAATTTGGGACGGTCAGTACATGATTTTTGTGAGTGTTTGCCACTTCCTAACATTAAAGTAGATCAAATCATACAACGGGCGGAATCGCTTCGTGCTACCGTTTATCGTTAGAATGTAAGTTATGATCTGCATTACTCGCAACTTCATGTAAATTGATATTGCCATAGTCCTTATTATATCTGGCTTGGAAGATCTCGCTCTTGTGACGTCTCACCATTTTGCCATGCCTTTGAGGTAGAAGGTGGCAATATGATTGGGAACTGCTCTCCTACTCCCAATGCAGTAGTCAAAGAAAGCGAAATGGTACCTCCATTGGAAATTGGCGACCCAATGTTACCTGTCCCTGTCGAGCCCTCTAATGCTGCTGCCACTGTTATCGACATTACACCACCATTAAGTTCTTTCCATTATCAAGTAGGCAAAGTACGTGTGGTTTATCCTTCATCTCAAGCCATATTGACATGCGTGTAGCCTTGGAGGTTGCCTTACTATGAGCAACCGGTACACAAGGATTTCAGAACGTTCATATATTCCTTCACTTGGGTATGGGGCCAATATTTTTAACCCATACCTGTTTGCTAAGTGGTAGACAGGAAGATCCAGTAGTAGACTTGAAACACCTCGATCTGAGCACAGACGACTCCATGCTTGTCATCACATCTGCGGGGGATAATGCCTTGCACTATGCCATAGCAGCTCAGCCCAAGCGAGTGAGTAGTTCGACATGCTTCAGGCCTCTCTGTCTAATAAAAAGTTTAGATCCACTGTGTGGATATGAACCCCTGGTGCGTCACCAATGTCCTAATGATTTTCAGTGAACTCAAAGTTGGATATATAGCCAAGGTCACCTTTTAGAGTTGAAACTCGCTTCTATTCAGAGTCTAGAGTATAAGGACTTCTTCGACATGTTTGGAAGTGGCTGCCATCCCCAATTCCGTGGGCTTCTCGACTCCAAGATTTCTCCATTTCTATCATCTGCCGCGTACCAATTTTGGCACATCAATGACAACGCGTTTTCTTCTGCGTTCTACCTCAATGGATACAGCGGCTGGGCCCTTCGTCTCGCACAGTATATCTTCTCATTTGTCGGGGTTTCTCAGGACGTAGAGGCCCTCTGCAGTGCCGAGAGCATACCAGAGCAAGAAAAGATATGGAAGGAGAAGCTGCGTCCTGTGTTGTTAAATCCGATCGTGGTTGCGCTCCTCAAAAATCCCATATTCTGCTGGAACGCTTTAGGCGTTCCCCTCAATCAACGCCGAATGCTTCTAGAAGAGGGCACCATATACGAGTTTGTCAGGGATACTTTCGACCCTCTGCCGTCCACTTATTCGTTCAAGGATGGTGCTTATTTTTACCTACTCGTAAGTTCCACTTCGTCTGTTACTAAAAGTGTGTACTGATTGTATATTCTAGGCTTTATTAGGACACTACACCAGATCGTCTTGCCCTGAATATCTTACTCAGTCCGGATTCGATGCACTGAAGTCAGACAATGGGAAGGCAATGGAAGCATTCCGGTTGCACACCGATTCGATTGTCAAGTAAGGTCTCTATTCCTTAAAATGATAAGATGCTGACTAGACTCCAGTGTGCTACGGGGTTTGACTACATGGTCCCTCACCCGTGCGGTGATTATGGACCACCTCGACTGGTTTACCCCTGGATCAAAAGACGTCGATGATGAGATTGATGAGTTCTACCGAGTTCTTGCTCCAGGAGGGTTTGTGCTATGGCGTTCTGCGGCAAGGAAACCATGGTATAATGAAGTGTAAGTTGACGCGCATACATGTACCCACAGCAATATCTTATGATTATCCTCTTCAGTTTCGAGAAAAAAGGGTTCAAACTAACTGCATTAGGGGTAAGATCGGGTCCGGAAGTCCCTCTTGACAGAGTCAATATGTAAGTACTCTTGTCCCGTAGCCAGCCTCCTAACTCCCACTCATCGACGCATCAGGTATGCCTCTTTCTGGAAAGCAGTGAAGACCTAAACGACTGTATGCGCCACGAGGGATTGATTATAACAGGTTGTTGGTCCCAACAAGCGTCTATCAATTTTTCGATGGTTAATGGTTTGCACTTCACGAATATCTTAGATTCTCCTCGAGATATGTTACGAATTTGCCCGCTATACTCTCCTCGCTCCAGTCCACTGCGCCCTTTTCCGTAGTGCCCAAAGTGATAGCCTTCTTATGTACCGTTACGAACTGCCTCTTAAACCGTTGTAATTCTGAAAGTGTAATATTACGGGGCGGCAGTGTTATCCGCGGTTTGATGGCAGATATCGTAAGAGTGATAGGACCTCCGAGTCCCTGCGAGGCTGCTTGCTCGTTCATGATAGCGGATACCATAGATGTTGTCGTGTGCTCCAGAGTTCGCAATGTATCTGTGGGTGCTTTGGGAACCTGCGATAGATAAGTGAATATTGCTCATGAAACAGTGCAAAATCGGATAGGGGCGTACCGCTTGCGTTCCGACATTTGGAGGTTTTATGTTGCCCGCTGTGACGGCTTGCCATATCCCTTCTGCTGGTACGTCGTCGTCCGCCCAAGTAATAGTAAAGAGGGGAGAATCCCAACGGACCATAGACGATGGTTCTTCGTATCTCATAAGAAGATTATCCAGGCTTCATGAAACGAATGTAAGGACACGACACTGACGTACTGCGATATATGGATGGTGCTCACGTTTCTGAGGCGTACGTCCGCCCATCATTTCTAGAACTGTTCCATTCTTTGCAAAGATCGGGTGTCGCAACCACAAACACCTACTTCCTTGCAGTCAGCTTACAATGGGCTCTTTTTTTCCGAGGGAGCAAACAAAAATGCACAGTGCAAACCCGAAGTCTTTGCTCTCTCGCAGCGCAGTACATCTGGTACCGAAAGCCCTTGATGTAGTTCAGCGAGTCAACGATGAGGATGGTGTCCTGGCCCATCTGTCTTTGCATGGCTGTGAACAGGGCGCCACGGGCTGGTTTTTCTGATCGACTGTCTGCAACGACGGTGGTAGATTAGCATCTGAGATAGGGAGGGAAATATTGTTGGGTTACCATTGTATGCGTTGCGATCGATGTTGAGGATGTCGTCCGAGAGGATGCTGACTTTGAGACTGGGCCCGGTGTAAGAGGCATCGTTTAATCGAGCTTCAAGATGGGATTTTATCTGCTCAGCTCTCTTGGACTTTCCACAAGATGGGAAACCTGAGATCGTGATCAAAGCCATGAAGTTGGAAGATCAAATTAAAAACACATCCACTTTGTTGAAACATCTAACTGACCAGAACAATGAACCATGCAAATTTTTTAAGAACCAGCACAATCTCACATGAAGAGAACAGAAGATCGAATAAAAGCAATATATTTTTTTTGAAGCTAACTCGAGGGTCCGTGTTACATATTTTACTCTAATGACTACTCCCATGTATATTCCCAACATCTTGATCTGAAGGCCATCCGAAATTCTGGAATAAAAACACAAGCACAAGACTCGTGAAAAGGTTTTCAAAAATTGCTGGAAGCCGAAGCTAACAGACGGGTTCGGATGTGTAATTTGCAATCAGCAAAAGACTGTGCCTCGGTAAAGACCTCACTGGCGACAGTACATGCCCGAGCACAAGAGATGGGGATCAAAAATGCTCAGCGCGTGCTTTATATACTCCCCAAAGGGTGCACGGACCACAGCCTTGATTGGACATTGAGGTCACGTGATTTGATGGTGATTGCAGCACCTTGTTGCGTCACCGTTGTAGTAGTCAGTACTTTCTCATTGATGATCAGAAGTACACACTCGGTTACGTGCAGCGAGGAGCCCCTCATTGGCTAATTTAAAAATGCCGCATTATGGCAAGCACGTCGTGATGCTTACAAAGCCTTTTACTTTTTAGGCAGAACGTCGTACCGCAGTTTCGGCCAATAATGGTGCCATGCGATGTGCTGTGATAGGATGTCCCCAGACAAAAGGCGTTCACAGCGGGCGTCCGGTGCAACTAGCAAAGCAAATGCCAAGGAGACGAGGACTTCCCGCAGCTTATTTATAAGTTGCCTCGTTGCAGAAACGCCGCAACTTGTCACAGTCGGTCGTACATGATTCCAGATCGGTGGTTAAGTGGACAGAGTGCAATTCAAACAGGCACGGCCAGCCAGCCAAGTCACAAAGCAAGAGTGATCTAGACAAAAGAACAGAAGGCTACAGTGAGACTGAAACCGCGGATGCGAATTGAATTACAGTAGCAACGCACCCCAGCAGTCACTATTAAGTTACACGTCAATAACTATTGTTCATCGACTGGTCATTGCGATGGGAGCGATCAAGTCCTGGTGCACATGATGTCCAGGCTCTGTGACAGCCAAGACGACAGGTTAGATAGCTGGAGAGAGGCTGATGCTGGAGCAGTGGCAGTGGCAGGACAGGCACCAGATGGGCGCATCACGGGCTTGTCACGAGTGTGACCAAATGTGACCGACGACATGACCAAATGTGGACCAAAAATCAATATTTTCTTCGATTTATTACATGTTGGTTGGCGTCTGTGCTTAGCGACCCCCGTTCCAGGCTTTGCAGCTGTAGCCGCTGAGCTTTGGTTGCAACTCACATCTCCCGTTCTCTGAGCGCATACAAGCATCACTTTCTCTGGTCCGCCATCATCCTATCCACCATCCTTGCATTTCACAACTTTTGGGTCCTCCTCGTCTACATTCCCCTTCCATATTCCATTTAATCTGAACCACGCGACGATCCCGTCAGAACATCCATCTTTGTGCTCCGTCTCCCATTTCGCATCGTCGCATTGGCACGTTGGATGTAAAGAGGGGGACTGCTCAGTGTTTTCCTAACGACGTCACCCACACCACGACAGGACACTACTATGACTGATCTTGTACAATATGCAACTCCCATCAACGGCTCAGGCGATTCCACGGCTACATCCAAGTCAGAACTTGAAAACAGACTCTGTCCAGGATGTAAGTTGTCAGCGGTGAACGAGACGGGCGGTTTGGTTGTCGCTTTCGGGTCAGTGATTTCTTCTGCGACACAGTCATGGCAAAACCATGACAAACACGTATCGTTCTGTCTTTCTGACCTTTCCAACGCAGCCAATCTTTCTTCCACGTAGACTGTTTCAAATGCGCCAAATGCAATAACCAAGTCACAGCAGATACCAATCTCCTACTGTTATCGGACGGTTCTCCGATCTGCGCCAACTGCTCTTACAACTGTAACGTTTGCCATCAACCTATTCTTGACGAGGCTATTATGACGGGAGACGACTCTTATCATGCCCATTGTTTCAAGTGCAAGGTTTGCAGCAACCGGATAGATGAACTGGTTTTTGCAAAGACGAGTCAGGGGATCTACTGCATGAACTGTCACAGTGAGCGTATGGCTAAAATTCGTAGGCATGCCCAGAAGAAGCGAGAGAGGGAAAAGGCAGCTGGTGGAAGTGGTTCCTCTGCGACGCGAGAGCAGGAGGCTCGGGAGTTCCACAAGGAAAACGGAGTATGTCTTGTCTCTTCTCTGTCTATTTTTTCACTTATGATTTCTTATGATTATCGCTAGCTTACTAATCCATCAAATTCGTTATCCCCAGGAGGGGCCCCATTCCTGAGATCTAAAGCGTCTGCTGCGACTTTTCGCGATAATTCGTCTACACTTAGTGGAAATACCCAAGCGTCGGAGGTATCATATACCCCCTCACAAAACCGAGTTTCTCTTCCTTCCTCGGACGACGCCCCTTCGCAGCCTCAGAGGAATTCTTCTTCGTCTAATCATACTGCTTATGATACCTCATCACGACCAGGTTCCGGCTCCAAGCCATCACAAACATTCTCTGTTACCGTTGCACCCCCCGATACCGATTCAAAGAACAATACCAGCCATGCCACAACTATACATAACCACTCGCCCTTGCGCCCGAATGGTTCGGCAATGCCTCGTCAAAATTCCCAGTCCTCACTCGTATACCTTCGTTCATCATCACCATCGCATGACGATGATGCCAAAACACAACCGAAGCCTTCTACATTGCGGCTGAATAGCTTCCCGGACCAAAGAGGTGCTTATGACGATAATATCCGTCGACCCGATCTTTCGAATAGAAATGGTTCCCTGAATAACCAGCAGAAATCGGAGCATGGCAAACAAACCAGTAATAATCTAGGTGTTCCCGGTGGTATCACCTCACGCATCGACAAGCGTCGCTCAATCAATCCTGTGCTCCCTCTTAACTACGGAAAGATAGCACGTCCATCAACCTCACCTGGCCCATCGTCTCAGCCTATTGGTATGGTTCGGTCCCAGACGGCTCCTGTGCATATAAACGAATCTTCAGCGAACACATCGCCCTCTAGTGCATATTTCCCGGATAATTCGTCTTCACGGCGTACATCGAATAATAGTTTACTCCGTGATAATGCATCTGGACACACTGTATATCACTCTCCTTCATCGTCCCCTGGTCCTCCAGAGGACAGTCAGCCGGCTTCAGAGCCGTCATCTCGTGCACGGTCCGCATCTTCTGGTGCTTTATTCCCCGACGCCAATCCCACAAAGGATCAGTCGGGAATACACTTCCGTAGTCCGCTCCGCCAGGATGTTACGCTGCAGCGGCCACCGGCAAGGTTAGAGAGTCTTGCCAGTAGCGCAAATCCTTCAGACGCAAGCCGTACAGTCAACAGCAGCGAGTCGTCCATGGGAAAGCGGTTCTCACCTATTTTTACTCCTGATGGCGCAAGCGTTCGACCTACATACTCCCGTGAAAATAGTCATTCAACTGTAGGCGAGCGAAGAACTTCAGCTAACTCTAGTCACAGCGGTCGTAGATCTAGCATGATTCCTCCTCCTTCGCCATCACATGCCCCTGACGTACCTCACAGCATTGAAAGCGGGACGGATACCGACGAGGGAGATGGTGGGCGTAGATTCCAAAGTCGAGATCAATCAGTGGATAGACCCCCTGTTTTACCACCAAAGGAAAAGGAAAACAAGGCCAAGGCACAAGCTGAGGGATTGAAAGTTGATATCGACCCTGACGCATCGGCTGTCTCGCAGTTTGACAGCTCGACCAGCTCGGAAGATGCTTCGGAGTCTTCTCCTGTAGAGCGCACGTCAGTTGCGACGTTTATCGCTCCTGCCTTGCCTCCCATTCGGTTTTCAATGACCGGTGCTGATTTCTCGGATTTATTCAAATCAGTTGGAGGATTACCATCGCTAAAGTCCTTGGACAATATCTCTCAGGCAGACGAAGGAAAGGATACCCAGTTTGGCTCTGGTCACCTTGATTTATCGTTCGATTTCGGCACAGATAATAGTACACGCAATATCACTCCTATATCGGAATCCTCATCTGAAAGTATAAACGGTGCTAAGACTCCTGTTAATACTCCAACTGTTGCTCGTACCCAGATCAACCAGCAAGAGCACAACCCACTCCTTTCTACATACCCCAAACGGGCACAGACGCTCGATGCTCAGGGAGATCAGTCACCTGATGAATTTGGTAAACTTCCTAGCTTATCTCGGGGGTCCGCAACCCGAGAACGTGCAGCATCAGAATCACGACCTTCTCCATATGGTAACGGGACTGGAATGCGAGATAGGCTCGACTCCAATGCTTCCCTGAACATTAACCCACAGAGTACCCGAATCGTGCTCACTTCTCCTGACTCGAATGCACCCAAGCCCATACCCAATGACAATTCCGAGCTGGTACTTCGTCGGTTACGCGAGGCTTTGTCTGACGCATCGGAGCGTGGCGCACAGCAGCTGAAGTTTGATAAGGCTTTCATTGAGGCGATTTTAGCAGTCCTGGAACAGCGTCAACAGGAGGTAACTGAACTGAGAAATAAATATGATGGAACGAAGGTAAGTTTATTGTTCGGATTGTTAAGGGTCAGTGAATATATAATGATGTATATACAGAGGGCTAGCCAGCAGTATATCGATGGCCTTACGGTTGCTCAAAAGGAGTATGATCGAGAGTTGAAGGCTAGACGCAATGCCGAAGCAGAAGTTATACGTCTGCGAGTTCTACTTTCTGGGCAAGCCGCGAAGATTACAGCCCTGAGCGGCGAGGCTAAGAGGCACGAAGCACGACAGCTGTTTTCTGAGGAGCTATCGACCAATCTGGATAAGCTGGAGAATGACCTATCAAAACTGAAAGTGGAGAGAGACATGACTCTGGCAGAGGTAGAGGAACTTTGCGCCTCCAAGAGGTAAATCAAAATCCCAGTCTTTTGGTATAATCTTCAACGGTACTAATCATCTCCAAAAAGCTCTTCAACTGTTGTTAGCGCTGGCGAAGTTCCCACTGTCCAGATGAGCCGGTCACTGACCATGCGCCTTGACAATATCAAAACACAATATCAGCACGACCTCGTACCACTCACTAAGCAGCGCGAGGCATTAGTTCGGGAGATCGCAGAACTGAAGGCAACTCGTGACCAATTTTTGGAAGAAACGACCGTCCTCAATGCTCGCAACGAGGAATTGGCGCAGCTGAATGCTCAGTATGCCCGTAGAGTGGAGGCCTCTCGCGCGGAAACACCGAGCGTGGAAGGTACTTCTTCCAGAGAAGAGTACTCTGTTCAGGAAAACAAAAGCACCTCATTCGATCGCAATCGTCCCCAGCCAGAACTACCGTCAAGTCTCCCCTCCTTCACTATATCAACAGCTAGTACCTCTACGCTCATTGAGGATACCGAGGTGAAATTTGTGAAACTTCAGCGTTCTGATACTCCCGATATGATGACACCGTTATCAAAGCCCAGGCAGTTCATCAAGTGGCCGGGCTCAAAGGGGAGGGACCCTGCTGCGCTTTTGGAGGCGAAGGGGAAAGGACGTCTCGAGCATATATTCCACCAATCCAGCGTTTTACGGTTTACGCGGTGCGACCACTGCGGGGATAAGTTATGGGGATCGCAGTTCCGTTGCTCAGGTATGTTGAATATACTAGAAAGTATCGTGCCCGTGTTTACACTCCTTATGAGGCTGTCACATTTCCATTCATGCTCGTTGTGTAAGCCACGTTCAACCATCGTGCTCTCAGCAACAACATTCATCAATGCGTGATGAGCCCTCGACCCAATTAACTCCATTGCGTACGTTTCATATTTATACTCCTTTTCATATCGGTGCTTATTTAAAAAATCTTCATCGCAGCTCCATCCATGTTCGGACGTGATTTGATCGAACAGGTAAAGGCAGACTCAAAATGGGGCGACCGTACAATTCCGATCCTTGTTGAGAAATGCATTGATGCAGTAGAAGCTCTAGGTGATTTTCCATATTAATGCATGGGCTTTGCGCATTGGTCTAATCTGTCGCAGCTCTTGATTATGAAGGTATATACCGTAAAACAGGTGGATCGGGACAGTCCAAGGCTATCACTCAATTATTCGAACGAGGCGACTATGCTTCATTCGACCTCAGAGATTCCGATCGATTCAACGACATATGTAGTGTCACGTCCGTTTTGAAAACGTACTTCAGATCACTACCCGTGCCATTGTTGACGTTCGATTCACACGAGGAGTTTATTGTGGCCTCCGGTATTAAGGACCCTGCACTCAAAACTAAAACATTGCAAGAATTGGTAACTCAACTGCCAATTGAACACCACCATACCTTGCGTCTTTTAATGCTACATCTCCATCGGTAAGGGCTTTTTGACATTAATTCATGTTACTCTCATGAAACGTGATCCGGTAGCGTGCGTGAGCACAGTGCAAACAATTTAATGAATGCCAGGAATCTGGGTGTGGTGTTTGGGCGTGAGTGTCATTCAGAGCATATTTCCGGCTTAATCTTAAGGTTCTTCCTTCCAGCCACACTTATGCGGTCCAGAGACCCAGGTTCAGAATTTAGTGATATGGCTGGTAAAGCCCTTTCGATAGAATGGCTCGTCGACAATGCGCCGTCAATTTTCCAGCCTACAACTTAATGGACTCTTTTTATCTCTATCGTAACTCCTTCCCGTTTTGCGTATGTTTCTCAGCATTATCCTTTTACCCCCATTTTCGCTTTTTGACTTCAGAGGTCATCGCGATTAGTTGATCATCGTCATCGTCATTCATTCATCTTTGAGCGTGGTGTATCTCACTTATTATAATCGATTTTTTTCTATGACTGTCGATTTTATTCATTTGTTTGGTAGTCATCCTTGTGACGCTATGCACCTTCATCGTTTTGCATCTGTATATACCAGATACCAGATGGAAGTACGAATATGTAGAATTACATAGATTGGAAATACATACTAGGCGTCGAATGGAAGCAATACGCGGTAAGACGTTAATATCAAAGATTGTACATAGTAGGATACTGTGATGGTATTGCATGGTCAATGCTACAGGAGTTCCCGTGATCGTCGGGGACGAGGAACAGGCTTTTCAGGCTTCAAGGTGCAGAATAAAAAATGTCTGCGCGGACCAGCTACAGCACCTGCAACTGCTGCGACGCGAGCGCCTAAAGGTGTCATGTCAGCTCCACTACGGACACCCAGCGAAAACATTCTGTCAAAAACTGTGATCGAAAGGATGATGAGTAGCCTGCCAACAACTTGCTGCAGTTGACATACGTGTAGCAGTGAATGCCTTGGCTGTCGTCTGACAGGTAAGATATGTGAGGGAAAGTGGAGGGTTAATGCCTTCCAAGTTTCGCAGGTAGCGGTATACCATAGAAGGTTGACATGGACCTGAGTGATCCTTCTATCATTAGCTGAGAATATCACCGGTTGCATGTGAAGATGACTTGCCAAACCGAAACACGGCATTATAAGCCTGTCTCCATTTCTCCTCTAGTTGACGTGCACAGTACCCTGGATCCGGACAAGTGGAGCACTGGGGCAAAGTCATGATGTGGATCTAAACATGCTGCAATCAATACGTACACATTGATATTCCTTAGCAAGGGGAGTAAGACCGAGTTTGAGAACACGTTCCAGAAACCAGTTGCGACTGACCGAGTATTTGTCAGCTGGTACATAGGATGTGGGACAAAAGGAACATACCGTTTCTCAAGCTTTAATAAAGTATCCTGACTGAGTGTGCTTAATTCATGTTCGGACCATCCACCAGGATTATCAAGCACGAATCGACTAGATTCGCGGTAGAGCTCTTCTTCTTCGAAGAGCTCTGCAATTCTCATGGCCTTGATTGGTTTACCGGCCGCGTGAGTGAGGAGAAAAGTAAGACATTCGCGCTGCAGGGTGGGTACACAGAGCTTATGGGATATATTCATGAGACCTTCCACGTTGTTCCAGGTGATGGTGCACTCCAAGCTGTGACACTTTTATCAATACATAGGTGGTTTGGGAGGAGAAGGTTGCCTACTGAGGGTATACAAATTTGAGAAAGTCATGAAATGTGCTTGCCTAGATAGCGTTTTAACACGGAATACACACAAGGTATACAAATCACATACTCTTTCTTCCTTCAGCACAATCACGGCGTCATGTCCCGTAGGTTTGCCACGTCTCTTGGCATTAGACTTTAGGGTCTTTTTGGCAGATATATTTTCGTCCAAGGACGAACGTTTTTGCTTTCCTTTATCTGACTTTGTCCTATCGGCACCCTGGAGCTTCGCTAGACTACTGTTCCTAGCATGAACCTTGTCTTCGTCTCGCTCTGTGATGGGTTCATTGTCCTCAGCATCGCTGGCGTCACTCTCTGATTTCATTAGTTTTTCCAAGTCCATTGGTGAGTCTAGCTCATCTGGGTCCACAGGTGCAAACGTCATTTCAGTCGCGACCTCGTTGATCCTTTTGTCACCTGGAATAGACGGGGGCTGTGATATCGTGATCACGGAGGACATGGACGGTGGGCGTCCAGTTTCTAACCAACTGCCACTAAGAGCGGCCTCGAAAAATGGGGATGCAAAGAAAAGTACTTCTTTGTGAGCCCTGATAAGTACGAGTCATTCCATGTACAGCTACTATTGACAAAGCCACTCACCAGAAAGTAGTACTCTCCACGATGATTTTGACTGTGCCAGGAAATCGGCTGTTTTTCGTAAAGCTATCTTCGATATCAATGGCTTCGTCGTCGTCATAAAGGCTTAGTTCAGACACAATGTCATCTGTCTCGCATTCCTCGAGCAGCCATGGAGGTGAACCCGAGGACCTGAAGATGCCTGCAGCTGCAGCATGGGTTTCCGTGGGTGAACTGAGAGAGGCAGAGGGATTGTTGGGTCCTCTGGAGTTTCGAGCTATGAGGATGTGAGAAGGGTTCGTTGTCATTCTCCAGGCTACACAATGTGCAGTAACAAGGCTGTCAGACTTGTGAAAGATATTATGGGGTAGTGCATTTCATTCTGACAAGTACCGCTTGACATCTCTTCTATACATCGGCCATATAGTGTAGTGGTTATCACTCGAGATTCTGATTCATCCGGAGTTTGAATTCTCGGAACCCAGGTTCGATCCCTGGTAAGGCCTAACTTTTTATAATTTTTGTTCTACAGTGCTGGTATGGCATGAGATGGTAGTCTAGTCCAATATAACGCTGATTTGGTGGGTGCCCCCGTTCGGTGGTTTTAAGTAGAGAGAAAACTGCACAGCACACATTGGCTTAACGGCCTATTTGGCATTGCGTAGATAGAGCAAGGACTTAGTGAAATCAGATGAAAAAATATATACTGGTGATACATTGATACATGTATTCTAATGCTGGTATAGCAGCTATACAACCTGAACAAAGCCAATGGCTTTCACAAGAACGACGGCCCCTCCATCCCCCAGACAGGTGAAAGCATTCATATGATTTATTGCCTTGCGCATAAAACCGACGATAGGAGAGTTTGCATCCCTAATCACAATGAAGACCTACACTTGGACATTTTTTGCGCTCTGGCCGAGATATGCCAAGACAGCTTTCCCAAAGCAACTGCGTGACAATATGCTATTGTATATGCTTTCTGATGAATTCAGGGATTTTGCCCCACACATGACGGCTATCAGGCCAAAATGAGTCGCAAGTACGGCAGATGTCAATCTTCTCATACAGGCCATATGGGAAGACACCACGTACTTTCACACCAACCGTATGCGCATACTGTTACAATTGACATACCAGCACCTATTTACGCTCCACTTTTTTGTACTTTTACTTTTTATTTTCCAAGTCACATAACTGATCATGTGACCATTTACTTTACTTTACATTTTCGACTTTTCATAGTCACATGACCAGTCATGTGACACAACACCTGACCAGTGTCTAGACTCATCATGTGACCGGTCACATACTAGACATCAGACTTTAAACTTTATTTACAACTGTACAATACCTTATGTATTTTAGTATATATACAGGAGCAATACATGGGGAAGGACTCAGCAAGTCCTCCTGTTGTCTACCAACAACTAACTTGTTCCTACCAAATGGGTAACCACTCCCACCTCTTCCTCTTCTTTTGAGTGTTGTTTTCATTGTGCTCCAGTGCCCCAAGACTGTGTCTTGTTGGTGTTGTCACACATACAAGCCGCTTACACATGTCTCCTGTCTGCCATATCCACAGAATGACAAGGAGCCATAGTCAAATCTGCATGCTACCGACACACCAACCAGAGCATCATCTGGTCTGACCATCGGTTCCTGGTGTATCCCAAAGATGGCACAATTGAGGTGGCCATTAACATTCTCTTCCACAAGCTCAAGGGCCATTGAGAGGATGATTCTTTTTTTAAGTTGATCATCATTTACCCTGATCCTGTCACAGCGTCATGTCCGGTCATATGTGTGTTTACCTTGGCATTACAAGATGGAATATTCAAAGACGTCACAATGATGGACGAAATTCTATACCCCAAGCATTACCCGTCTACCGGTCATGTGCTACAAATCAAAGATTCTATGCGCAAAGTTCCTGTATTGAGAAATGGATCTTATTCATCGACCGGCTGGTCGATATCCAATGCAATGGCTCTGCCTTATGGAAAATACAGGCACATTCTCAAAAATTTCAGCAACAAAGCTGGATTTCCAAGTATGCACATCATCCATTGTCATTGCTTGGATACACTTGACTTATAATCATGTTTAGATCACATCAGGCCTTATAATTTTTGACGGGGCGCTTCTAACTGCTTGAGCAAAGAAGTACCTGAATTAGACCTACACCTGCTCCTGAATCACACACCAGAGGGCCATCAATTTTAGGTATGAATCAATGATGATGAATATTGGGTTATAAACTCATTCTATGTTCACTACAGTCTGCATATCAGAGCAGAGATTCAGACGTTGACATTCAGGCCATATTCCAGGGGTGGCAGCAAAGAATGGGCCATGCCGTGGGCAATGATATTTTGTTTGGCCACAATGTCAATGCTCCAACCACTCTCCCATTAGCAGAAAGGGAGCACCTTAGGCAAGATCCTGTTCTTCTGGAGGTCGAAGAAGAGCGCAAACAGGCAACAAATCAGTTGGCAAAATTGGAAGATAGTGAAGAAAATATTGTAGCGCAGGGCGATGTCATGCACCAAAGCTGATTGGTAGCATAGACAGGTGTCAATAACAAAGCAAATATTCAAAAAGACTCGCCTTTGTGCCACACAGGCACAGTGCCACATGGAATAGTAATTAATATTGCCTTTTTCAATCTTGTGGCTGATCAGCACCACCTCTATTAGGCAATCCAGTTGCGCTCACCTTTGCTTTCCATTTGGTACTTTCCATGTTTCAGCGTTTCGGCAAATTTTTGCATTGCCACTGGCTACACATTGCATTGCGCCCTCACCTTCATTGTTTCCCTTACTCCCCTTCCTTTGCCTAGCCCCACCATGGGCTCCTTTCTCTCCTTTTTATTCTCACCTGACGGTCGTTTCTGGATCCCCATTCTAATCCACCTCTTCATCACCTCCAGCCTCCTCCTCCTCATCTTCTTTGCTCCCCCACCATTTCTGATGTCACCACTTCCTATCCGCTTCCGTCGCCGATCCGTTGACTACCACGTGCCACTGCTGATATCAGCAAAGCCCCGGCGGCCGGTTCAAATAGGGCAACAGGTCCATCTTTATGACGTCGATCTACCATCATATACTATCAAAACATCGGTCGCTCGTCTTGCCTGGTTGGAGCGTGGGTGGGTAATTTTTGAGCTGGAGAAGGTTCATCCCCTTGCGTCGCCCATGTTCATTGCTGTCCCATTCACTTGGGTACACTTATCATTTGTCCATCGTCTTCGCTACAGCTACACCTACCACACGCTGCCTGGGACTCACTTGTTCCAAATTGGAACTACTCCTCTCCCTCCCTCGTTTGATCAGGTGGTCCAACACAACCAGTCCATTGGTAAGGCCATGGAACCGTTGGATTTGGACTAGGTGGAGGACCGGTGGCTCCACTTTCTTTTTTTTCAGCAGAACATTTATTTACAGTGCGATTATTTTGATTTTGAATCATTTTTATGGACACATTTTTTTTAGAATGCCTGACTGACAATAAAGGAACTGTGTTGATACTGATAGTGTTTTGCCTTGCCCTTTTTTTTACTGCATCTTCCCATGACATCATGATTTTCCTGCTCTCCTTTTGCTATTGGACTTTACTTTATGGCTGTACAAACCTGTGACATTACTCACAGCATTTATTGTTCTATCCCTTTCTTTTCCTTTTTTTGACAATCTTATCCTGTACTACCTACGCAGGATTTGTCAGCGTACATTCCTTCCTTCATATTCTTTCTCATTCTTTTTGCACAGCTATACTGTGCATAGCCTACTTTTCTTTTACTATATAAACCCCTGTATTTTACCTTGTAAAAAAAAAAACAAGAACTCAAATTCAGACTTCTTCTCTACTCTCAAGTTCACTACTCTGCTACTTGTGATCCAGTGTGGTCACAACACTTCCCACTTCTACCACTGTTAACTGCTGTCATCGTCACTCGTCACTTTTGAAAGTGATTGTCATCCCCTTCAATTAGAGTCCTTCTGAGCACTACAGTTTGTGCGTCAGGAGCCTGCTATCACTGGGAACCTCGTCACCTCGTCATCCTCGTTGTTCTCAAACCTACCTTGTGCTACAATTAGCAAGGTAGTGCTCGTCTATACTCGCCACAAAGCACCTATCTTCCTATAAATTCAACTATCCCTCCTCCTCAAAACCCACACTCATACACCTCTGGGTTTTACTTTGAAGGATCTTTATACGTACCACCCCACGAACAACCAGACCACTCCACTGTTCTAGGAGGCAAAGCCCATAAACAAGTTCCGTGGAATCTGGGAGGATTGTGTGTTAGTTTGTTTTGTGTGTGGTTTTCTAACAACAGTTCTCATCATCGACAGCGAGTAGAGGACTTGGGAGGTAAACTCAAGGGTTTCGGTTGAGGAGTAAAGCGGGTAAATCAAGTAATAGAAAACTAAGGAACTATACATGAATAGGTAAGGCTTTATATAGCTAACCGTCTGTTCCTCAGACCAAAAGGAGAATAGACGAAAAGTGGTTTGAGGAATAAATCATCCAATAAGAAAAAAGGGAACAACTATCGTACAACTTTGAATGATTAATCAGCAGGTGAGAGAATTGTACTAATAATAGGTGTTTGTCACGCGTGTTCAGGAACCGTATCCTCATGATGAGGTACAATCCTGATCAAAGCATTTATTAGTATATCCAGGCCTTGATGGGGCTTGGAGCTGGTTGGCGAGATGCCTACTAACAGTCCCTACCCATTGTGCTCGCTGGCTGGAAGTGATACCCAGTCTCTGATCTGTGATATAAAGTGGTAGCGGTGGTTAAGAAAGCCTATGAGGGCTATGAGAAGTAAGATAGCAAACGATACCTCTAGCCCTAGAGCCAGAGGTGTAATGGGAAAAGTGTTCGAGAACCAAGACATAGAGAAGATAAGAAAATAGTAAAATGGTCCTTACATTTATTTTACCTTGTAAAAAAAACAAGAACTCCAATCCAGACTTCTTCTCTAATCTCAAGTTCACTACTCTTCTACTTGTGATCCAGTGTGGTCACAATACTTCCCACTGCTACCACTGTTATCTGCTGTCATCGTCACTCTCCACTTTTGAAAGTCATTTTCATCCCTTTCAATTAGAGTCCTTCTGAGCACTGCAGTTTGTGCATCAGGAGCCTGCTATCACTGGGAACCTCATCACCTCATCATTCTCAAACCTACCTTGTGCTACAATTATCAAGGTAGTGCTCATCTATATACGCCACAAAGCCCCTATCTTTTATATTCCAACTACCCCTCCTCCTCAAAACCCACACCCATACATCTCTGGGTTTTACTTTGAAGGATCATCATACATACCACCCCACAAACAACCAGAGCACCCACTGTTCTAGGAGGCAAAGCCCATACACAAGTTCCGTGTAATCTGGGAGGATTGTGTGTTTGTTTGTTTTGTGTGTGGTTTTCTAACTACAGTTCTCATCATCAACACTGCCCTATTTGTTGCTTCATTTTAGGGCTTCTGTGATTGATTCTAGGCAGTCTGGAATGTTTCATTGTCATTATTACTTACTGGGATCATTCATTGTGTGATTGTAGGAACACTTCATTTCAATTATGTACTATAGAATTACGCACTATAGAATTTTCATATTGCATCTCTGTACCCCTAATATTTGTCTAGGCTCATTTTTTGTCTTTCATCGGATAAATGTAGGGTATCTTGAAATTTTGATACTTTGTCCTTAAGCATACTTGTTACTCCGTTACAACTGGATGTGCAATGTTGTGATACATCCCATGTAGGGTCCAACAAGACAATGGGACCAAACTATGGTTAGTCATTTAATTCATTTTATGTTTGCATTATCTGAATAAATCAAACCTCATTATATAGCTTGTAGAAATTATTTCTCAAAGTTATCTGTTCTATGCATGAACATTTCCACTTTTCGAATTCCACTTGAAGATTGCCCATTTTTTCAGCTTTCTTGTGTTCATCAAGGTTTTGGAAAGCTTCGCTATAAGGACCAAGGAGTTGAAACATTGCGATATACATCTGAGTCTTCCATTTTTCCCCCCTGGTCTTGATCCCTTGTTGTTCCAATCATATATGAATTTGAATGATTCAACCTGAGCAAGTATATGAGTGGTTAATGAGTTTCCTTCGGCACGTTTCTCATCAAGTTCAATCCTCTGGTACACTGTAAGTAACTGGCTACATATCAGAATATGAATCACTAACCTGAAATCTCTGTGTAATTCGGTCATCAATATTAATGGTATCATCTATCTTTTTAGAATTGTTGCATATGTCTTTGAAGGCTGTAGAACCACCTCAATAATATTTGAATATTTTTGTCTAGTAGATGAGGTCAGTTTTGTTGTTTACTTGAGTACAATTACTGACACATTGGTGTTCTGGTATTTCTGCAAACCTTCAAACTATGCGACCAAAAGCCTGGTCTCCTCTGTCCAAATGGGTTGACCATTGATTGGTTTTGAACATCATATTGAAAGCTTCTTCAATATTCAGAGGATTTTTGGGTATATTGGTATTTACAATTATCTGAATGCAGTTGTGAATCTTGTCATTTTTATCCTGAGTTTGTTCGGCCTCATCCTTCTCCCTGTGCACTATGTGGTTTGGATCATCCAGCTCGATCTATATTTTTTGTGAGCTGTATGCTGATAATAATGTGAGTTGAATATCACATGATCGGGTATTTCTTCTAATAGTTCCTGAATACTGCGTCGCAGCTCATGGGCTGCTTGAGTATTTGGAAAGTGTGCAATTTGGAACATATAATGGACTCTTGTTTTGAGGTGTTCAATTGTTTCCAGAATGTCTGTAGCATCAATAATGTGATCCATGATGCAGCAGAGGTTTGTGGTTTTAAGTAATAGATTAACCTTGATGATCCATTATAGGTAGTTCCGTAACATTCCAGAATGAAGTCATGGCATTGTTCCAATGTCATGTGTTGATGCTATCAATGAAAAAAACGAGTGGTGGTAACACTCAGAGAATCCAATAGAGTAATTCCAACTGAGATCAGACTCAGAGTATGATGGAAAAAAGGGGTGGGAGGAACTATCTGGTGTTCAAGACAGAGAGCGACAGGTTTTATACGAACTAGCATTCCAGTGTGCAGAGAAGCCATGCAACATGTCATCGGTGACCCAGGTCAAGTGACGTAATAAGCCTTGCCTCCCATGCTTGTTGTGACATTGCGTCCGACTCCATTTCCTTAATGACAACTGCACATCGCATATTTCTAACAATTGGTTTGCTTAGAGTTGCGCAGAATTAAGCTGCTAAACTTTCTGTACAATTTGTTAAGGCATAAATAAGGTTTTGCGTGTGCCATTAGATATATACAAGAAAGTCACAGGTGATCATGTGACGTTAGTGGTGTGCATGAGCCCTACCTTATCGTGACACTCGACTTGAACACTGACGGGCATGAAAGAGTTGACGGACCTGGTGTTACCAAATCTGGCCATGCTCTCACTGAAACTCAGAACAACGGCAATGCTGTCACCTTGCTGACACAGTGTAATAGCAAGCTTTGATTGGTTACTCTTTACATTTCAGCACTCGCCGAAATTTTATGTATCCAGCGGTGCTTTGGTCAGTGCCAGAGCATGGCCAGATCTGGTAACATTAGGTCCATCGTGGCTGCCTTTCGGCCATGCCGATCCGATACTCTTTCATGCCCGTTGTGTCATGAACTTGCATTCAATCATTGTTGTTCGGTTTATGTAACCACTGTCATGTTTTCGAGCACATCTCTTCCAAGTACAACCCTCAATAAATCCCCTCAGAGCGAGGTAATATCTGGTTCAGCAAGCTTTCACAGCCATCTTTCCACACGGAACCCATTCAAGTTGCATCGTTCACGTCCCCAATCTCAGAATTTGTTCTCTGCAGGAACGCATCAAGCCCTTCCCCATAGTACTCCTCAAAATGCTCAAGCTCATTCAGGCTATTCACCTCACGGAATAATATACACGCTCAAATTCTGGGCATTGGACTATCCATCTCTCGGTGAAAACAATTCTCAACCCCGGCCTCGACTCGCATGCTTTGGTCGATTCAAGTGGCTTTTCTTCTTCTATTCTTGTTTAAGTGTCGTGATGTTCTCTGCAAAAATCCTCACTATCCTCTTACATCGCGACACAGTTATCCATCCTCACTCTAGTGCTATAGGTAGGCCTGCAATGACGGTCACGTCGCCTCTGGCAGAAATTTCTCCGAATTTGACACTGTCAATCATGTTTCCCACTTTTCACGGACTTTTGGACCCTTTTGTTCTTCGTGGAACCGCTACATCTGGACTGACGGCGTGTTTCTGGTTCACGGACGAGGACCTTGATTCTGCACTTGCCTGGGTTTCTCAGTGGTCAGGTAGCTTATTTCTCTTTACAGATCTACACGCATAACTTAACAGCCAGCCAAGGCCCCTCCTCTTTGGTATTAACAACGACTGCGTCGCCTAAGTCCGCACAACATCATACACTATTGCAGCATTTATTATCAGTACACGCTCAAATGAATGCTACAGCTCTATCTGGACTATCGTTGCATATTTTACATGTCGCATCCCTATCCCAAGGAGTTCCCAACGCGTATCTCAATCTTGCAAGGCTCATGTCTCAAACTTCTCAAGTTGTTCTCTTTCCAGAAAGGCCTTCAAGTGACTTACACCACAGCCTTCTTGCTCATTCGGTGACTGGTGTTTCCGACCGTCCCATTTATCTAGGAACCTCAAGTCGCATGACCTTTCCCTTCAAGCCCTTGTCCCCCGTTATACTTCCTAGAGATTACCCAGTATGGTGTACAGAACGCTTTTATTTATTCAATTCTCGATCAACTCATTGGGAGGAGTGTCTGTGGCAGCTATGGCTCAACAGCTTCGACGAAGCCAGTTTCATAGCACTTCCAGGATGGAAAGATACCACGGTCAATGCAGTCAACGATACGTCTGATCTACCTGGCTTTGTGGTAGGTGTCTGCTGGTCCACCCATCACAATGTGTAATCTCTTTTCAGGCTCGAGTTCGCCGTCGCTGGAGTTCGAAATTCCGCACTGAGACTTGTGTTTTAGCTACAAAGCAGTCTCTTGCTCTAGAATCCGCTGGTAGAGCCACAGATAGAAATAAAATGCAATGGCGCAGGACGTTTTGTCTTGAGGTAAGTTACCATTCGTCAAACAGCCTCTACATCTAATCATTATTGTGTAATATGTAGAACATCGAGCCTTGGGCACTCGACCTTCTGTAGGGGGACCAGTGACAGATGATTTGGAGTGTACCGCGATAATTCCCACTCTTGTAACACCGAACGCTACTCAGTTGATCTCTGGTAGTCATCGTTTATCTACACTCTTTTGCCAGCTCTTAGTCCGCAGAAGTTAAATCTCATTCGCATCCAGACGTCGTGCTTCAACTTCGTCATCGTCTGCTTCACTTTCTTGCTCAGGCCCTTCCTGGTACGTAGCCCATACGCTATCACCCTCAGGCCCTTCTACAACTAGATCCAACAGCTCCCTTGCCATCTCTTTATTTTAGAATATACGAAAATGAGTAGAGTTGTAAGGACCAAATGGGCATGGTTCACTCACCCGCTATATGTTCAAGTTCTACCTTGTCTTTAGCCGCAATCCATTCCGGAGGGTCTGTGTAACTAAGTCTTCCCAGCGTCACAATAAACATGTGGGTGATACCGTTGAATTGACGACTCGGAGTAACCTGTAATTTGTGTCGCAAATTGAACGCTGCCTCGGGGCCGAAGATAAGCATATATAGGAGGAAGAGCGTCTGATTGATCGTCCGTAATGTGCTGTATAATATGCTTAGAGATTTTTTGAAGTAAAATTAGTTTCAAATTACCTAGATGCTAGAGATGGTGAACTCCTCAACAGGTCGTCGTCTTCCCATAGAGGAGTCGATGAATGCGTCAAGTAAGCCACCAGCGAAGGCACCAAAGTCCTCGATTCCACTAATATAGTTAGAGCGTCAAGATGGGATTGTGATAACATGGAAAAGAACGTCAGTATTGACTCTTTCATCGATGTTATCTGAAAGTCGAGACTAAGCAACAAGGCGCATACAAAGTATTTAACAACATACTTCCGGTCCTCCCCGACTTGTATCGACTAAGAGTGAGCAGAGTGCTTCTATATGCGGCAGCTTAGTGAAGTCTGCCATATTTCCGTTCGGTATCTCTGGCTCAGGAAATGATAATAAGACTCTGAAAAGACTTTTCCCTACACAGACAGTCAATTCATGAACGATTTACACCCGTAGCTTCACGTACGAGCTGATAGCCAAACAAGAAGACGAGCACTACGCTCGAGTAGCCAAGGCGGCTGCGATGCATCCAAAAGGATGGTAAAAACCTGAGGGCTACGAACGATTAGGGTGAGACTGGAAGTAATATAATGATTAGCTCTGAAAACACCACGGGTTTGGACGCACCAACTCTCTAAATCAGAGGGGAGCTGCCAACACAAAGACTCGAACAAGTCCATGTTTTCTCTAGCAAGGGAAGCTACATCAGGGTCGATCTCGGCCTTGGTATCCTTGAAAAGCGTGAAGAAGTTTTGAACGATGGTGCAGAAGATAGAAACTATCTCTGCAGGGGAGTCTTCATCACTTTCATCTTTTCGAATCGAGACCAAGACAGGAGAGAAAGATGGTATCGTACACGTCAAACAGGTCAACAAACTGAACAGGGCAGTCAGTGCTGGAATCTGTGCAAGGTCATTGAGATAAAGCGATAAAGAAAAGGAAAACATACAGAATTGACAGCGACAAGTAATCCAGCGATTTGTAACATTGAGATGCAAACCGTCCGCACGGTGTAAGTCCATTCATCGCGCGTTGAAGCAATAGAAAGAACATCTAAAATCCGAGCTGATGCGGAAGAATACGTTTCGACAGATGAATGAGGCAGCGATTGTAGCGGCATTGCTTGCATCAACATGTGAAATGTTGACAAATTTGACGAAGATGCAGTATGCCTTAGAATGGTTTGGTGAAGCTAGGGTAAAATCAGTCGCCATATATGTAAAACCACCACAGCAAGAAAACACACATATATGCTCCAATTGAGTAGCTCGGCTTCTTCGACCTCCTCAGGAGCAGCATCCTTGGCGTCGGCTTGGGTGCCATCCAACATGTCAAAATCAACACCATTGTCATCGACTTCATTATTGATGGACGTAGAAACTTGTTTCTGAGAGCTGTTTTCTATATTACCAGCAAAAGGACTACTGGGAGGTGACAGAGGAAGACCTCCAGAAAAGGACTGAGACGGACGTTCAATAGGATTGCTGAAATACATATTTGAATTACTGGCGTGAGTTTGTTCCGCATGTTCCCTACCCTTGCCTTTAGAAAGGTGACGCGAGGAGGAGCGAGCCGGGGAGGTAAGAAAGCCAGCAGGCAAATTTCTATCACTAGAAGGCATAGACTTCCGAACGCGCTGACTTTGATTCAAGGTTTCACCAAAATGGGGATGATGGTTATCCGCAGGGAGTCTTGACGGGCCTGAATTGGTCGACATTGGATTCCATCCTTTTATCTGCGAAGGCACTGGAGCAGGAGCAGGGTATGGATCCGAAATGATTTTCTTTGAACGTACTGACCATGGAGGCTTCCGGATTGCAGTCTCCATTTCATGTTGCTAGATTTGAGTCAGAGTAAGAAATCAGCCGACATAAGGGTAAAGTTTTGACCTTGAAGGTGAACTGCGTCTTCAATCGTTCGATATCTTCTTTCAATTCTCGTTGAGCCTGCTGATGCTTGGTTTCAGTTTCCTCTCTGGCAGCCTTAAGCTTCGCTATTTGTGCTGCATGGTCTTGGGCACTCTAGATGGGTGGGTCATACGTTAATTCAAAGTCCTAAGCCAGTAGATGAGCATATACCTTTTCTTTACCCTTTCTTAGGATCGTTACTTCTCCTTCTTTCGCGAATCTAATGTCGATTGCTTCTTGTAGAGATGACTGCATCTTCTCATTTTCTTTGCGGAGCTAACAAAGGAAAGACACGCAATTGAAATCACATTACAAAATGGATAAAAAAGGAACAAAAACCGCAGACCTCTTCCACTTGACGACGCAAAGCCTCTATTTGTTCATCGATAGCTGGTGTAGGTTGGGCTTGGGCTGTGATATGGGAAACATGAGTATTCTGCCGTTGTGTCTGAGCGGAGGAGCTTTGTCGTATTTGATGGATAGAAGATGGTGGTACATTCCGGGTTTGGGGTGTGAAAGAGTTACGGCCAGTAGATGGTGGTTTGGAAGCTCTGGACACAGGACCAGCACTTGACTGAGATTTCTCTTTTACTTGAACGGGGATAGCTCTTGAAGGTCCTGGTACTACCGACGTGTTTTTGGGTTGTGCATTGTAAAACCCATCTTCTCGTATCGATATCTCTGGAAGTTCCAATTCGTCTAAAGTATTGGACCTCTGGACACTTATTCCTGGTCGATAACCAGATCCGGTTTTCAGTCGTTTCGCAGGAGGGAGAGCACCCTCGGTTGGACGAGGGATTGGTGTATGAATGCGCGTAAATTTGTGTTCTTCTTCATCCAGGAGAGCCAAAGTCTGGTCATCGAGGATAAAGTCATCGGTAAAGTAGTCATCAGAGTCGTCCATTGCCGTTTTGCTCTTGGTTGATTGAAACCCACTTAGTACATCAATGAAAGGTTGACCACAAGTACCAGTCACTGCAAAACTGAATCAAGAACACTGTAGTACGTGCTGAACTTGAAAGGAGTCAATATGTGACGACGTGACTACACTCAGCTGTCGTTCCCACGAAACGCTTCTTATTAGAAGATTGGGTGATGGGTCTCAGATCTCAGTCCTCAGTCCTCGATGGATATTTTGTCGATATGCGCCGTATTTTCAGCAGATATCAACCTTCGGATATACGGTCAATATCTCGTGGATATCGCCAGAATATCCAGAGATTGGTGGGAGATATCCATGGTTGAAAATCTGACTTTTTTGCGGTGGAAGGACCGTCATAATGCATAATGCATCCAGGCCCGGAGGCGGTGATACAGGCTATGACTTAGGTGACTGAATTGCCCATCATATGGCAGTGCCAATCATGGAATAAGGGGTTTCATCTTCTTCCCGTTATGAGTCACCGCGAGTAAGCCTTATAATAATCGGGCCATACTTGAGTTATGCACAGAGTGCTGACTGAAGCGGCCCATTTTATGTGACGAGATCAAATTCGCAGAACCGCGTTATAAGTGGTGGGTCTTGTACCCTCTCTCAATTCTAAAGACCTCCCACCCAATTGTTACTAGCTTACCATGTCTTACATCAACTCATACCATGCTCCCGAACTGCCAGCTCTCTCCGATGAAGAACTCCTTGGTCCAGAACCATATGACGTGAACTTCCTCTATCGTCCTGGCGATCTCTCCACCGATCGCATCCGCTTGACACCCTTTATCCCCCGCTTACATGCTGAGGCCTTTCTCGCTGGTATCAAAGGACATGATGATGTATTCAAGTACATACCATTATCGCTCGACACACCCCAGCTTTTACTCGGTTTCACGGAGTTCTTAGTACGCAGACAACCCGAAAACATTCTCTTCGCCATCATCGACACGACCCGACCCGATCCCGCAAGGCCTGAGCTACAAGGGAGCCTCGCAGGGTTAATTGGGCTCTTATACACGTCGACGATGATGCTCAAAACGGAGATGGGGCCTGTCGTCGTTCTACCAGCATTCCAGCGAACGCACGTGGCAACTCATGCTGTTGGCACACTGCTGAGATATGCACTGGAAACGCCCACTAATGGCGGGATGGGAATGAGACGAGTGGCATGGACGGCGCATCCAGATAATGTATCATCTCATAAGGCTGCGACAAGGATGGGTTTTAAAGTAGAAGGACAGCTAAGATGGTTTATGACAATGCAGCCTGGAAGTGTAGAGGGACTTGCTGTGAGAGAGGGAGATCCAACGCCAGAAAAACTAGGGAGGGATAGTGTTTTATATGCGATCTGTTGGGATGATTGGGAGAAGGAAGCGAGGGAACTTGTAAATCGCGCAATTACACGTATCTGAGCTGATGATCATGAGCTCGTTCTCAACTACTAGCGTCCTATTGCTGTTGTTAGATAGCTCTACACCTATAATTTGCACGTGTACCAATCCATGGATCATTGAAATTTGGACCAGAGCAATCACAGTTATGGGCGACTCGTACCAGTCAGAAGCAACCTGAAAATAGCTTCAAAATGGCGAGTATTGTAGAACGCTCGAAACTTGTTTCTCGATTTATACTCGCCGAAGACAGATACGATAGGTCGTTTTCCTATGAATAGATAGTAGGCTGCTCAACACGGTTTGAGCACGACCCTGCATAATTGAAATGAATGAAATGAGACTTGGAAAAGTTCCCAGGATTGTAGGAGATGCCGAAACGTGGCCAAGAAGGTTTAGAAAGGTCAGAAAGCTCTTGATTAATTGATGCTGCACCTTGTGCTGAATTGCACATGATACCATCCGCAACCACGGAGAATAGAGAAGGGCGCTACAATATTTGGAGAGACGTGATATAACTGGCTGTATAGTCCGAAGGTCTCGGGGCATTTGCTATGCAGCGACCAAGATGAGCGTATGAATCAAGGGTGCGTAGCTAGAGTGACAGCTGGGATATATATGTCATCGTTATCAGAGAGCTCTGGCATTGGAACCGCACAGCAATCTATATTAGCTAGCGTTGGTAGTCAGATTATGGTGAACTGGCAAATTTTGCACCGAATAATACAGAAAAGTAAGATTTTGGTGGAGTAGTTCGCAGTAATCTCGCTGGAATCGAGTCGGGATTACGTCCCAAAACGAGTGGGACAGAGAACAAAACCACGACGATCGTATCTGCCTATGACGTCACAAGACACTAACGCCCATTTTTTTGCTATCTTCGGCCCAAAAAGGAAATACATGTCCTATCGATGAACGCATGAAAAAGGGACAAATGAACACAGCGGTATGTGTCGCACTACTCCTGAAGTGGAGCCACCCCAATAGAAGGATATCACTTATTCCTCATCTATAAATGCTGCCATATACCGTCCCCTCAGCGACCACACCTCTCCCGCCCAATGTCTACCTCAATCTTTGCACAATTCCCTCCAGAAATAATACGCGATATCTTCGATGTCGCTGCAAAGAGCAATCGCCAATCAGCCCTATCACTTTCTCTAGTCTCGTCGTGGGCTAACCGCGCTGTAGAACCCCATCTCTATCATACCGTCGTCCTTAACTCTGCACGCACCCTCACAGCTTTCTTGGCTGCCATATCATGTAAACCTGCCACGTTCCCAGCAACTCGTGTGCACAACCTTGCCATATTTGCGTTGGGTCCAATTCAGGCTATACACACAGTTATAGCCATGTGTAGTGGTGTAAAAAGCCTCGCGTGCGGATTTTCTCTTCCTTCGTACACCCATCTCGGTGGCTCAGCCGCCGTTCAGTCTCTCGATATGACTGAGCAGCATCTCCTTGGTCTCTCGTGCCGCGAGGGGGTCGACACTTCTGCCATATCACCCTCAGTCACACGCCTTCGTATCCTTCTTACTTATCAGACGTCTCCTGCTAGCATCGCGCGCCTCGCAGAGCTCTCCCTCCTCACACACCTTGCCGTTGTCTATCGTTTTCGAGAACATGTCCTTGACATGGGCCATATCCACAAAATACTCTTGCCCCTGCTTCAATCCGACAAACTTCATCTACTCCTAGTGCAGGTCGCAGGTGTCGGTAATCAGACTCATTACGAAGAAGTAGGCAAATGGAACGCATGGGCAACAATGGCGCAAGGTGATGAACGCATAGTGGCAGAGAAAGCCCCCCAGTCACTCGTCAGACAGTGGGAGGTTGCATCAACAGGGGGGTTGGGCGTATGGGACGCTGCCGAGAAAGAGGTCGAAAAGCGCTGTACCTTCAGAGCATGCAACTTGGTCAGCTGAGGCATGTCAAAACTATATCACATACATCCCATGATACCCGCATATTGTAGACTGGATACTAGCAACCCACATGAACAGTGTAATCAGTATCGTAACTTGCTGTAATCAATATTTTCAGACGAACCGGGAGCGTTACACAAATTGCCGTTCTATCGAAGTTCACCAGCCCGCCCAGCTGCAAACACTATAACTAAGCGCATATATGTAGCGGTGAAAGGAATGACCAACCCTCATTATGGCGAAATTGCAAGATCAACCATTTCCCTGACACCGCCCTCCCAGTCGTCCCAGCACACCGAATACACCCTATCGTCCCGCCCCATCTGGTCTGGCAATGGATCCCCCTTCCTTGAACGTTTCCCTTCCTCATGCTCCCCCACCTCCATAATCTTTCCCCACCTCTCAACACCCCCACTGCATGCGTCGCAACGTGCGTCCGCTGAAACGCAGGTAACACGATGACAGGAGCAATTTCAGTCTTGAGTTCTCCTATCGACATGTACATGTACCCAATCACGCCAGCTGCACTCCTTCCGAGCTCTGGACGGCCTGGGCGAGCAGGAGATTCTCGGTGCGTCAGCGCATATATAGTTCAAAGTGGGTGAGCACGTCACGCGGAGTATCGCGTCGGGCGATCATCCACCAGAAAAAGGCCTCACTTTTCCCTTGCATGCCCTCAAGGTAGGCCTCAGCATGGACTCGAGGTATAAAGGGTGTGAGATGGACGCGATCAGTGGAGAGTTGGGCAGGAGAACTTGGATATGGAAAGTCGACATTTATGTCATACGGTTCTGGGCCATAGAGCTCGTCGTCCGACAGTGTCACTGACTTCAAGGGCTCATACAAGTTGATGAAAGACATGGTATTCGAATTCTTTGAAGGTGCGACAGCAGACAGTACCATGTCCTCACGTCTCTTATAGCGCTATCATTGCGCATTATGACTCGAGCATCGAGTCCAACGTCAGAGTCGAGCGTCAATAAGGCTGCCAGTGTTCTGAGTGCAATGGCCTGCAATGGGTGCGCGGTTCGCAACGAATATATGTTACTGTATATTTGATGCGTCTAGAAAGTGGAGTTTACTCACACATTCGAGGAGATCGTACGTTCGCGACCTATGCTCTACAGCAGATCCCATTATGTTGCATAGCCACATACACAGCCAGATGGAAAAGCAAGGTAGGAGAACAGAAAAAAGTAAGCTAGAATAGTGATTTTATGTAAGAAAGGAGCGAAACCCTACTAGTAGCTACAGTAAAAAAAACACACGCACAACTCCAGCATATTGGACAAAATAGCAGAACGCTAGAAAAACCCAGTACTCGGGAACCTTAATATCAACACACATAGTCCGTCGTGAGATGTCATAAATATGAGACATGGGAGGGTCGCCAGACGGGAGTCAACAATAGTGACTATCACAGGGTAGAAATGTCGCGAGGTGTCAGGAAGAACTGAACAGTGAGTACGCCAAGTATCTCCAACGTGTTACGTCTCAGTAATGTCCAGCATACGACAACATGTGGCCATGAGGGTATTCACTCTCTCCTTTCAACGGCGTGGCCACCACTGGCTGTGAAACAACAGCTCCACCATACCCGCGCCCAGCAGGCATCCCGCCTCCACCACTATTTGTATTCGCACCATATTCAGCGTGGGTATGTTCCCACCCATTCTGCCAGTTGTATCTACCCAACGCAAGAAAAGATCTTGATGAGCATTAGACTACGCGATCACAGCCGATGTACACACCTGGCACTTCGATCCCATCCAGACTCGCTAACTCCGAGGCCACAACGCGGGTGGGCGATTATATTACTTCTGCCAAGATGTGGGTTTGAACCAGGCAGCGTCTCATATTGGATGCCCCCTCCAATCACTCCGTCCACAGAGGCTCCTGAACTAAGGCTTGACAGTGAGGTTTTGCGTCCAGTAGATATAGAAGGAATGATTTGTGCTGTATCATAACTCTGAATGGTAGCGGTTGGATAAGATGCAGGCTGTGAATGCGGTTGTAATTGTTGTGGCTGGCGACAACGTTGCTGCACCTGTTGCTGATTCCAATTAAGACCCGCATTAGGGGTGCATAGCCATGGTGGATAAACGGGCATCGTATGTGTTGTGATATGTGGAAAATCGAACCATCGTGGGCTTGCCCCAGTTGAAGAAGGGCTGGTGTATGGATAAGTACTAGACACAACTGGACGACACTCGGGTGTACGAGTGTAGCTTGTGGCCGGTTGCGGTTGATATGTATATTGTGAACGGGCCTGGCGTTGTGGCTCATCCGGATAATATTGATCATCTGGGGTATGTGGCATGGATGTGCCTAGATCCCGTCTACAAAAAATCTAAGCGAAAAGTTCAAAGATTCACTGAAAAGTCAATACTCACAGATATACTTCTGCATTCCTCCATCGAGGACGTACAAGCTCAAGCGCCTCTGTGAACACTGATACATCCTCAAGCAGTTCAGCCATTGCATGAGCCAGGGGTGGCTTCACATCCTCCATCAACCCTGACTGAAGCTGCGCTCGCTCCTGTGCCTTGAGGTCCCAGAAGTTCATGAGCAGTACGGCAGCACACATGTGTGCAGTGCAAATAAGATTTGGAATATTGGACAATCCACGTTGAATCTGCGTGCGTAGGATACGCGCGCAGCACTTGCCTGCATTAACGCAAATGGCAATGCATGGAACAGGCATATTTGAGTGCGGCGGTTTGGCCTGGAGGGAGTGCAAAGAAGACGGGAGGAATGGACGATATATAAGAATCTGAATGAGGTAGTAGGTTGTGTATAGAGTGGCAGCTTGGTTCGCAAAGAGCTGGTCCTCGATCTGGGATGACCATCGCACTACAATAATAGTCAGACATGAATTTGAAAATACGTCGAGAGTATTTACGCACAATGCGAGGGGACAGAATCGACCCATTCAGTCATCGCAGTGTTGAGCTGCGTTAACACTTCCTGCCATCGTGGTCGAGCAGCGCTGACCATCAACTTGGACCTGTCAATGGCATACTGGGCAAACTGTTTATCCCACATGACACATAAAGCGGAAAAAATATAACGCTTACGATGGTCCGAAGAGCGTATGCAGCGATCTTCGTAAGCTTGAGATGCGAGTTGAACGCCGCTATCATTGAGGGCTTATCAGCGGGTTGGTGGAAGGCCATCGCCGGATCCTCAGGTTCCCAGTACTCGTCATCGACTTCGAGCGGAAGTTCCACGTCGAAGCTATATAGAGTATATTGAGCCTCCAATGGCCATTGGTTGATACCAGGTATCTACTTACTCTTCTTCTCCAGAACAACAAGGCCGACCTAAAGCAGCACTACCTATCCGGTCGTAAAGGACAAGCATCCAGAAGGCCCGCTTCCAGAGCTCTTCATCAACGCTTGGCTTATTCCCATACACCTTTTTACGATGCGCTCCAACGTCCTGTGCCTTACGAAGCCCGATACTGATGAATAACCATGCTACAGGGTGGAATGCGGTGCCTCGAAGGAACATCCCCATGAGCTAATGGTATGACCCGCATCATCAACTAACGTGACTACTCCAATGACAGAGAACCTACCGATAAAGTTTGCACTTCGAAGAGATTGGGAGGGTGGAACAAACTTCGTGACCCTCGATGAACATCTGGATGATGCCCGTTAGCGAAGAACGTATACCGTTGGTAAGAATGACCTCACCAGCTGCAGTATTAAAGTAACTCCAGCCCGCCCGTTGCCATTTGGTGTTCTGATTCGCCCCTTCCTCTTCTGGCATATCGTAGAACCCATCTGCTAGCACGCGGGGGTCATCGCTCCATCTGCTAGCCACAGCAAAAAGTGATAGGCAAAGACACCCAAACCACGGATCTTTCTCTGCTAACCCATCGCGCCATTGCTTTTCGAAAGTGGGTCGATGGAAAAGAGGGAATTGTGGATTGACATGTCGAAAATATAGCTTGATCAGATTGTCAGCGAGGTCGAGAGGAGGGAATTCAGCTGTGAGTGAGGCGCAAAGGTCCTCGAACCCATCTTTGAACCCTTCAGAAGCAAGTTCCCACTGTAAGGTGCAAGTGAGGCAAGCCACGAGGTGAAGCAGTAAATTACAGAAGATCGTTAGAATTAAAACACCTGATGTTACAGACCACGTGAACACTCACGGAAGGGGTACTCCAGAATTCCGACCTTCGCTCATTGGGCCTTGGAACCGCCTGCTGAGCGGAATTGCTATTTTGCGCGAACCCAGTCCCGTACGGGGTAGTGTTCGTAACCATATTCATGTGTTCTTCTCTCAACTTCCTAGCTGGTCCAATGAGCTTGAATGAGCTGCTCTTGCCATGAAAACGGTTTTGACTGTCCGCCAACATCGCGCCTTCCGATGCTGGTTCAAGCCCACGTAAAGTGAGACGTTTCATGCCTCGAGATATGCTGAGTTCGCCAAGTTCATCGCTGTCAGAGGAGGAACAATAATCAGATGATGCGTCAGTATCGGTACGAGGAGTACCAGCCGAACGTCGACTGTAATTGCTTATGTGGGATGAGGGTACTATCGGAGTGGAAATGCCAAGAGGTTGTGGGACGCGAGAAGGAGAAGATGCAGGGGGGGTATCCTTCAGTCTCTGAGGGGGAGCGGAAGGAGAGGACGACTTCTCATGAGGAGATAGCCGCCTTGCTGCCTCTTGCTCAGTTTTCCAAGAGTCGCGGACGACAGGCGGTCCAAGTTCGGAGGAGAAATCTGTTTCAGGGCGTAGCTGTAAAGAACAATAGTCAGCTTCCTCACCCAATGAACCTACTACCCAAGTTGCAAAACATGGCAACCACAAATTTGATTAGCTAGCACTCAAGTCCTATGAAAGACTAGATGCTAGAATCAAGGGTATGACCATGCTTGATATAACTGAAAAATGGCGCATCGCTTCGATGCAGCGCACCACGCAAACAGGAGTGCCGTATGGTGAACATGCACCACGACCTGATTGCAAGAGAAATGCTGAATAAGCATAGCGACCACTCACCCGCCGCAACAGCGCTTCCATTTTCTCCAGCCTATCCTCGAGACCAGTAATGTAACTGTAAAGGAGCATGTGTCTCAGACGGCGTGGGGGCAATCAGTGAGGAAAGGTAAAACGTACGCCTTGGGTGGACCGCGAGGTTTAGATGCCTCGCTGCCGAAGAGAATGAAGTGAGTAAAAGAGATGTGATATGGAGGGTGAAGAGACGAACAGATAAGTGCAAGACTTGCGATTCTGAAGACAGTTTGAGCAGACATTGTCAGGCATTCGAGGGCCGTCGCACTTTGTCTTCCTCCGCCTGCAAGCGTCGCAAGCCCTTTCGATTCTGCGTTTCTTGAACATGAGAGAGTCTTCTGTGCATCTTTGCTGGGCCTGTACTGCGAGCATGGATGAAGAGCTAGCAGCAGGCTGGAAGGATGAGAAAGAGTCAGCAATTTCTATGACATTTGATGAGGAGTATCCATTAGATGGATAGTAAGCGCGGGCCGTCTGCATAAAGACCGATGGGAGAAGGAGGACAGAAATCAAGATCGGAAGAGGGGCAAAAGAGAGAAGAACCAAGTGGGGCAAGCGATAGTATTTCGAGACTTATTTCGAGAGGCCTAAATAAATCTGTCGGAAGGTCGGCGAGAAATGCAGAACGCGGACCTGATGGCTTCTGTCAGCACTGGGGATATGAAAACACGTTTGGTGAAGGTTCAATGAAAAGAAAGAAAACAGCGGCTGTATGCGCCTGGGGGCATTTCAATGGACAGGGATGCTTACAATAAATGTCTCAGCCTGGGAGGCGGTACTCTTGCTCTCAAGAAACCAAAGTGTCCACAGTTCGACCAGTCAGCGGAATATTGCCTCCTTGGACACGTGCTTCATCAAAATCGTGACTGCGGAGTTCCAATACACCGTCAACCTTCGGTGCCGTCTCACGATGCCGACCCACCTAATAGCACAGAGACTGCAGCGCTGGCTGAAACTCAATAGTGCACCGGTCTATGTAGAGGTAGAGTTTGCAGAATTCGAAACTGGTGCGGAGAGCTTGTTCACCTTCCAGACTGTGTGACCGTTCCTGGTGGGAGACTCGCACTTTTCTGGATGCCAATTTCTTGGCCATGAGAGAGTTCGTGCATGTATATCCACTTTTTACAAAGCTGTCTGCCAGGTACAGTGTGCTCATTAATAACCCACCTGCACCTTCGCAATGACCAGTCCTCACAAGATCTCTTTTTATTTTTGACTTTGACATTAGACGCACACATTATTCATCCGGATCCGTAATCCTGGTCTCCAATCCATACCACCACTCGTCTCGGACCCTGATCCCAGCTTCGTACTGTGCTATTCGCAGTCCAACTTAATTTTGTCTGTCTCTCCTGTATCAGCGTCTCTTCAACAGATCTCAACCTTTACTCAGCAGTGCGGGGCAGTCCAAATCGAGTAACCTCTTTCGTGATCGACGGCAGCCGGCGGGAAGAACACTTGCCATCCTCCTTTTCGTGCACCACCGTCGACTTGCACACTTCTTCGCATCACCGGTTTCATTTCACCACTAACGCTACGTCCATATTCAGCGTTATCCAGCTAGAACACAGCCAAGCGCATCCGTAATCCGCCCAGGACGCACCCGTTAGCACCGAGACTCTAGTGCCCTACCCTTTCTCTTGCTGCACCATTCAGACACGTATCACGACTCGCGGCCTTTCATTTGCCCCCATCAGGCATTTCTTTCTCTTTCCAGATAACACGGCTCTAGCCTTATCCCCGTTTTGTTTTTGTTGCTATATTTTGGTGAGCAAATCCATCCCGACAAGGTTTCCCTCGTCTTCTCGCCATCCGTGACTGACAAACCTCTCGGTATTCTGCGTGATTCTGCCTCGTGCATCCAAGGTTTTCACCACACCTGCGTCCATATGATCACCCTTCGCTCATCTATTCCGTTCGCTCTCCGGGTGTCTCACCGCTCCACCTGCTCCCAATACCCGA